GATTCCAGAATTACATAATTATGTCGGCTTAAACTTGAGCCCACACCTAAAACTCCAAGCATCCATGAGCTCAAAATGAATACTAATTCGCATCACCCCAGAACTCTGTGTTTTTGTGGGTCCCCAGGTACCTTGTCCTGCAACTGCAATTTCACCGTCGGGTTTCCCTAAACCCCAGACCCCCAAGCCCCTAAAGCCTAAACCCCACACACTAAACTCTCAACCCTACACCCTGTTTTTATGTGCTATATATATATACATATATATATATATATATGTATGTTTATATTCATATTCATACTTATATTCATACTTGATTTTTTTTTATATATATATATATGCAACCAGGATCATATACTGGAGGATGTTCCTGGAGTAGAACCTTCTGGTAACCCTTGCTATCCACCCGAAAGGAATTCTTGAAGGAACTCTGATAGAACCGTGCTCGTAGCCCTTATCGAACCTTAAACCTTAGTAACCTTTGTTTTTTCTTCTGGGATTCCCAACCTTAATCAGATCATCGTATTTCGGCCCCTAGTATTTCAGGCCTTTTGCTGAATGAAGGAGTATTGGGCATTCTGCGCTTCTATCCCGTAATGAGCCCCTAACAGACCTTAAACCCGGCAACCTTAAACTAAACCCCAAACCCCTACGCCCCCACACTCTTAAACCTTAAACTAAACCCAAACCCTTAATCCCCCTAAGCCCTAAACCCCCCTCAAAACCCCTAAACCCTATAACCCTGGACCCCAAATCCTTAAACTAAACCCAAACCCTTGAGCCTTAATCCAAGGTAGGATTCCTATGTTAGGAATTACTATTTTGATTTGGGGAAGTATCCCCCATAACAGTACTTTGGACCCTTCGGGCGGGGGGTATTGGGCTTTGTGCGCTTTTGGGATTCCCGAGGAGCTTCTGGCCGAAGGCGGCCGGTTGGCTTCGGAAGTGAAGCGCGTGGAGTTCAAGGCCACGGAGGGCTCGGGCCCATAGTTGTAATTGCCTTTTTCTAGTAAGGATTGCATACTTTGAGGTTTAGCTTGTAGACGTTTGCACGATTTCATAATGAGCTTGTAGTGTAGCTGGTTAATGTGTGTCTGTTTTTGTGTACTGTTTCCGGTGTGCTATAGGGTTGTACACTTGTCTTAGCCGGGCGTGTAGAATCATTCAGAAGTTAGACCACTTCATCAATTGGCATGTCTCTAGAGTCCGTATACAATTGCAGTAGGATCTGCCACGACACTCCAACGCTAAACCCTAAACCGGATGAGTCGGGTTCCAGGGGGCTTCTGGCTACTGGGGCATTGAGGACTGGTATTGATAAACCATCATGGACGCTTCTCTCTTTCCCTAAGGGTTGCCAGGACCCAATAATCAGGTACTCAGGTTTATGATGGTAGTTATGTGGTTTACGATTTTGGAGAATAGATGAGAGTTAGGTGCTTGGACCCCTATTAGAGGATCCTCAGAGGATCCGGATCTTCAGTCCCTTCAGGAACAGATACGGTTTAGGAGGTGCCGGCGGGTTCAGGAGCAACAAGCATCTACAACGCCGTCAGGTGATGAATGACGACCTGTGATTTTTGAAAGATCAGCACAAATATCGGGGAGGCCCGGACAGGGCAGCAATTCGGATTCCAGACAAAAGCTCAAAGCCCAAACCCCGAGCCCAGAAACAGCTACGGAAAGAAAAATCCTTGCTGACCGCTCTCGCACCACTTGCCTTGCCTGGAATGGCCTTGGACGGCACCTGGCGAAAGCATGGGGATCTTAAATAAGAATAGTAAGGCTTGAGGGTCCGGAGAGTCTGGGGTATAGGGTTTAGGGTATCCTATTGAAACATTGTCGACACTTAAGGGTTTTTCATCAGGGGCTGCCCGTGCTTGGTTTTGAGGGTTAGGGTTTATGGTGTAGGGTGTTAGGTTTTCTGTAGGGTTGTTGAATCACTTTCCGTGAAAGCCCGGATTAGCCCTAAGAAATGAGTTCATGGGTCGCGGTTTAGGGTATATGGTTATGGGCCACAGTTGAGGGTGTACGATTCAATATTTAGGATTCAGACTTGGGGGTTGTGCAAACCCGTGTAAGAACCCAAATTGAGAATTCGTTTTGCAGGCTTGACTCCCACCTTACCTCAAGACTTTCCCGAGCAGGGCTGGCTTCAGGATCCAAAACTAGGTAGGGCTTTGGGACATTTTATATTTTCTCTTATTGGGCTTAAGAGGATCTTACCTACTAATTTTTTCACAAGCTTCAAAAGCCCCTCCTACAAAATCGAGATGTGGGGTTTAGGGTCTCATTAATTCGTGCTTGAGCTTCTTAGCGCCAGACCCTAAATCTAGCTTTGAAGCTTAAGAGTATCAGACTCAAGCATGTTTGGAGCCGCTCATGCTTGTCCTGAGCCTTACGAAGGAATCTTCCCGTGTTTCCTTAGATGCAGCTTTCTTAAAGCTGCGGCTTAAGGATCTTTGCGCCAGAAACCCTAGGCCCTAAACCCTGTAGAACCTTTCCCGATGATGTCAAGGGGAGTTCGTTTTGCTCAGTTAGCTTGTCTCGAAGATGGGTTTAAGTTTAACAGTCAGTATGTCTGCATTGCCATGTACTTGTAGCAGGGCTAGAACGACGCAGGGAACTTAGCATCCTCCAAAGACAGTCGCACTCATACCCCTGAAGCGGCACGAAGGCTCGAGCAAAAGCTCAAACCGAGATGTTCTAAGTCCAAGCATGCAAACATAGTCGCTTAGTCGATACTTTGGCCTTAAAGTCTCTGCAAAGGAACCTCGTTTAAGGCCGAGGCAGGTGCTAGATGGGTACTGAGACATTAAGCTCCTGGCGAAAGCTTCAATTGAAATCTTCTGCCACGTGACATCGCGAGGTGTGGCGCAGCCTACTGGCAAGCATCTCGACCTATCTGCGAGATGTTTTGGGGAGAGGGGTTGTTTTATAATGGAGCCCAGATGCCTGCAACTTGTAAGACTGGAAGTTTGTAGTGTTTAACTCCGCATTGTAGAGCTTAGTTGGCCCGCCCCGCAAATTTTGCTGTAAGCGGAGAACACCAATTTTGCGAAGCTAGTGAATCTGAACTTTCGTCAACCTTTCAGCCCAAAGCCGAAGGAATTTTGGGCTTTTGAGTTTTATACTGATTCGTACAAGGTTTTCATTAAGGATGTGAGCTTTTCACCTGGAAGTCATGTCATAAGGTTTCTAAGGGGTGGGGGTTGTCGACTTTACCCATACTCAAAGACCCTAAACCACTAAACCCCTAAACCCTAAACCCTGTACCTCAACCCTAGACCCTTGGAGACTCCTTCAACTTGTGCTATGGGGTCCTCTTGCGATGCCCAAACGGCACGGAGCTGAAACCCCGAGCCTGAAACCTGAAACCCCTCGAGCTATTATCGTAAAGTCCCTAAACCTGAAGACCCTTAGACCCCAAGGCCCTAAGACCTGACAGCCCAGATGGTTGCTGAAAGCCTAAATTGAAAAAAAGCGCAACCTTCGAGAACCCGAAGTAACCGAGGTTCGGCTGATCGCCATTATCATGCCTTCGCTTAAATGTTTACAATGATCCTATAGTTATCCCTAAACCCTAAACCCTAAACCCCTAAACCCCTAAACCCCTAAACCCTAAACCCTAAACCCCTAAACCCTAAACCCCTAAACCCTAAACCCCTAAACCCCTAAACCCTAAACCCTAAACCCTAAACCCTTAAATGTTTACAATGATCTGATCTTATAGGTACCCGAGACTTGCGGACTTGTAGTGCGCGGAGGATGGTCGCCGGTCTTCGACAAGATGGTGAACTCCGAGAGGTTCACAGAAGCTGCGCAGGTTCCATGCAGTGGGTCGCTGTGTGGTGGGGATACGAATGGGGTTTGGGGTTCAGGGTTTATGGGTTTTCGGGTTTAGGGTTAGGGTTATACTACAAAGTTAAAGTTCAGAGTTTAGGGTTAATTATGCAGAAGCTGGGCTGCGTAAGGATTACGATTGCTATAAGGGTTATACCGTAGGAGCTACCATATGCGCCCCAGTGCGTACAGTCGGCTCTCGCTGGGGATTTTGGGTTTAGGGGTCCGATAAGGGCTGCTCCCAAAGGGCCCAAAGTAGCTGTATAGTAGAATGTAGGGTTTCTTTTTTACTACTATTTGCTTAAGAACCACCAAAAAATAAAAATATATTCCTTATGGGGGTAATATAGGGATTATTATTTTTATTTTTTGGGGGTTTCTTAAGCAAATAGTAGTTTAGGAATTACGATTATGATTTGGGGAGTATCCCCCATAACAGTACCTAGGACCCTTGGGGGCTGTAAGGGTTGCCATAAGAGCTACTATAGCGTCCCCAGGGTCCGAGTACCCAAATAATTACTTTACGGGGTACCACAATTGTTCCTTAAAAGTGTCGTACACGGTTCTAAGTACCGAAATAATTAGTGCGGTTTTAAGTATCGAAAGCCATTCAGGGTGTAGTATTGAAGGTTTTCGGTCCCTACGCTTTGGGCATTTGGACCCTCAAGATAAGTTTCGACTGCAGAATCACTCCTCGTACTGTTCTGCCATTATTGCAGTTTCTGTGACCTTGTTGTAAGTAAATGCATGTAGCGGTGTTCCTCAACTAGAAGGATCTCCTGTGAAGGGACCCTGTTGTAGCTTTTGCAAGATCAAGAACTGCTCAAGTCAGGATCTCGGTGAAGGAACCCCTCTATAATGCGAGGACGACTGCTCACTGAAAAAGTTTTTCTCCTGGGTCTCTGAGAATAGGCGGCTACACGTACGTAAGTGACTTGGCTTCTCTAGGATGTTTTCGGTGTTAAGGTTTTGGTTGCCTGTGGTTGAGATTTCAAGGTTTGCGGCTGATAATTTAAGTTGCCTGCCAATTCTGAGAGTGCACGTCTGTTTCCCTGTCAAAACACGGTGATGAGGCGCAAGTGGTCATCGAAGACTTCTCCGCTGCTGCAGTGGAGATCTTCCTGCGCTTCTTCTACTCGGGTGTCGTGGAGCTTTGGATGCAGCCATGCGGGTGGCTCCATAGGGGTTTAGGGTTTTCAGTGTTTTAGGGTTTGGTCCCGTTTCCGGTACATGTACATAGTGTACGAATAGTCTCGCACAGTAAGGCTCCGGAGCGCAACAGCACTGTAGAGCTATCCCTATACTGACGGTATCCGCGCACAGAACGATAGTGTTGACAGGGGAACTGACACAGACAGGTCCGATTGGCAAAGATAGCAGAAAATCAACAGCAGCGCCCACGAGACAACAGATATACCCCGCAACAGCTGCCTGGATCCCCCAGCTATCTTCCAGTACTACCGAAAAGCCGCGTGAACGGATCATAAGACCTCGACGGCGGGTTTTTACATGCCGCAGGATTCAGGATCAGCCCTGCGCGGGTTGCAGGTTCGCTTGAGTCTGTGTGCACATTGTGCACATGTTGGAGACTTCTTCAGTCGTGAAGTTCTTCAACTCTCACACTAACCATCAGAGTGTTGATCCTTCAGTCCTTCGTTTTGGGTTTCCAGAAACAAAAACTTCTCCACATCGCCCAAGCCACAAAGTGTGGCCAAGCAGTTGGCAGGAACAATCAATATTTGTTTTTTCTTGCAGTCACTGAACACATACTTGCGGGCAACACCAAGTCAGCTTTTTGAAAACAAGTTAACCCTAAACCCTCACGCCCCAGACCCTATACCTTAAACCCGAACCCAAGATCTGTATTTCCAAACAGGAGGGCCCACTGACCACCGTGGTGGAGGTGGGGAAGATGGCTGACAAGCAACCCAGGCTGCAGACAGGTGGGAGTTTCCGAAAATTAGGGCCACCTTTGAAGGGATTCTTTAAGGGTTCCTTAAAGGGATCTATAACGGTTCACGGTTCCATACAGTTTGGGGCAGTTTAGGGTTTCAGAGTTAGAGTTTCCGAAAATGAGGGATACCTTATCTTGGGGTTCATATAATAAGGATAAGGATCCTACTATTCAGGGCACTATGTTAGGATCCCTTCTTTTGTTTTCGGAAACTCCCATGTGAATGTGCCACTTTCGTCATCGACAGTGCATCTCAGACATCCATGGCCTGCCGGGCTTGTCAGAATACCTAAAAGTGTAAGTGTATCCAGCAGCGATACTGCCGGGTTTTGGAGTACTGTACTTGACCGGGGTTTTGACGAAGCCTGCTACTAGAAAGAACCTTTAGGAAATCAACGTGTGTGCGATTTTATCTCATTGGTTACTTCAATTCAAATCCCAGTCACCAGGCATAAACGCAAACATACCTCCCCGCCTTTACAGTCCGGCAATACATTGTCGCCGGCTTGGGTCTAAGGGTTTAAGGTTGGAGTAGGGCTTATCGGGTTTAGGGTTTTGTTTGCAAGGGCTTTATTGGCATTTTACGCAGCTTTTGGAATAGTTTGTATTATCTCCGTACTGGAAGTTACCCCAAAGCCCTGTTCTGACAACTGCCCACTAAGGCCCTTGTTTTACGGTAACACGCTTTTGGGCCAAAACCCCCGACCTTATTGGGTTCCGGGTTTAGGGGTTTAGGGGTTTCGGAGTTTAGGGGTTTCGGGGTTAGGGTTAACCCTATGGAGTCCTAACACTTTAGGGAACCTCAAAATGTAGGATCTCTGAGACCCAAAAGAGACCCAAGGGCTCTCCCTAGGAGATTCCGGACCCTGCGAAGGAGAGACCTGGATGCTTAGGGTAGGGTTACTACTATTTGCTTGAGAACCACCCAAAAACTAAAAAATATCTTCCTTGTAGGGGTAATATAGGATTACTATTTTATATTTTTGGGGGGTTCTTAAGCAAATAGTAGCTGGGGTGAGGTATCAGGTGGACCAGCTGCACACGCTGTGCACGCAAGCGGCCCGCAAGATGATGAAGCCTGCGCCTTGCCAGAACCCGAAGGGTCCATGTGCCCAAATAGGGCTCCTTTAAGGGTTCCTTTAAAGGGTTCCATAAAGATACCATAAGGGTATAGGGTATAAGGGTACATGAGCCCACACAGTATAAACTTTGGTTTTAAGCTAGTCCCTACATAGGCACATTGGGGCCTAAGTATATGTTATGTTACTGGAACAGTATTTCGCAGGCCTTGAATAGAGTTGAACTATGACTTGGCATTAAGGAACTTTATGACATCTATTCTTACCATCATATCATCCCTGCACCCCAGACTCCCAAGCCCACGCCCCCGTGGCACTCTTACAAAGCCGAGCCGAACCCGCCCGAAGCTCAACAAGCCTTCTTCCCTTGAGCGCGCCCTTGCTGGCACTGAGGTGACTCCCAAGCCCGAAGCTAGACCCTGAACCTTAAATCCTAAACCACTAAACCCCTGAACCCTCAACCCTAAATTCCTAAACCCCCAAACCCCTAAACGTTCAACCCTAAAACCTATCAGCCCTAAAAAACTGCCCTGTAACCCCAAACCACGGCCTGCTACAGAGGCCTAAATGATTACCAATACTATTTTGGGGGTCCCTTATCACCTATTCTGATTACAAAAGGCATGTAGAAGCCCAAAAGTTGAAAACCCAAGTGTAATGTTTAGTGAATCCCAGCACTATTTGGCCTTAATCCGGTTTCCAACTGTAAGGGGTTTACTCTAACCCTCAATTCTTAAAACCCTAAACGCGAAGCCCTGATTCAAAAACCTTCCAAAAGCCCCAACCCACTTACAGCAACCATCCTCCGGTCGCAGCGAGGAGGTGGCCTGCGACCTCTTTGCATGCGCGGATCGCCTCGAGGTGCCGCGCCTCGGCCCGGAGCTTTGCAAAACCAAAGGCTTCCCTAAAGGAGCCCTCAAAGGAACCCTTAAAGGAACCCTTAAAGGACCGCTTCACAAGGAGCCCTTAAAGGACCCCTTGAAGGAGCCCTTAAAGGATCCCTTAAAGGAAACTTTAAAGGAGCCCTTAAAGGACTCCTTGAAGGAGCCATTATAGGATCCCTTAACGGATCCCTTGAAGGAGCCCTTATTTAAGGGAGCCCTGATAGCATAATAATAATTGTGGTAACTTAGGGCGTATTAGAGGGTGTTTGTGTTCAAGGATCCCTTAAAGGAACCTTTACAACCGATACTCAAACGATCCCTGAAAGGATCCCTTTAAGGAACCCTTAAAGGATCCCTTTAAGGATCCTTTTAAGGATCCCTTTAAGGAACTTTAACCCTATATTATATAGGGGTTCAGAGGCCCCAACCTTTTAGGTTTCGAGGCCTGAAAGCTCCTCAGTCTCATGTTATGGACCATTTCTAAAATTTCTATTCCTCAAAGAAGAACCCAAGGAGCCTGCGCCGCGAAGCACTGGAGCAAATCTGGATCCATCCCAAGGCATCGTTGCAGGTCTTGGCTTCAACGTAGGGGTCGGAATAATTACCGATGCGATCAAGAGTTTCCTATACTCTGGTTTTTTGGTTTAGGACAGTCGTAGCACTGTGTCGGTATGTGATAACTATTGGTACTTAGACCATCGCACTCGCAGTCAGGATCTGCAAAGGCAGGAGCAGCAAGAACCAACGTTTTCATTTCGGGTTGCATAAGCGCTTTGTAAGGGTGATTACAAGGTTGAGGGTGTATATGTGCGGCCTCGAAGAGTTTTGCTTTTTGTCTGCACTCAGGGCGTGGATGGACCCTTCCTAGTTTGCCCTGAACCCTGAACCACCTGCCTACATCCTCAGCCGAAATCCTATAAGGGCCCGAGTATGTTTTTTTAGGAGCACTCTATTCTGCAGGCTGCGCTGAAGATCCGCCCAAACTTGCGACCGAGGTTGTTGGAGGAGCACAGTGGCTCTTCCAGCTTTTGCTTCAGGGCTTCGATATTCCTGCAAGGGTTCTTTGGTTTGTTGTTGTTTTTCATTTTGTTGTTTGCGTTTTTGCCTGTTCCGCTGTAAGACTCGAGTGTTCAGGATCTCGGAAATTGGGGTGTTATGGTTCTAGGCTGTGGGGTTTAGGTTTTAGATGTCTGCGGCATGAGGGAACGCTGCAACTCCTTAGTACGAATATGTAAACGCCCATCATTGCCTTTTGAACCCTCAAAACTAGACCCTATAAACCCTAAATCGTCCCTAAACCCTAAAACCTACAAGCCTAAACCCTAATTAAAACTTTCAACCCTAAGCCCCAAAACTTAAAACCCTAAACCCTAAACCGTCGCATGGAACACCTCGCCAAAGCCTTTGGAGGAGATCTTGGACTCACCGCTGCTACCAGGCTGTTCAGTGGTACACTTCTTTACTTTCAGGTTTCTGGGTTCCCCTTATCAAATGCTAAGAAGCTTAAAAAAGGTATATGGGTCATTGTCAGAATTCAGGCCCCTTTTTGGGTACCCTACATTTTAGGTGCCGTATTATACTAGGGACCCAAAAAGGGGCCATCATTTTGACAACCACCGATATACTTTTTCCCAGTGGGTTACTGAATAGCCTAGGCTATGCGTCGATGACGACGACTTGGTGAGCCTCCTCAACAGCTGGGGCCACGGGAGCCTTGGGAGACTCGATTGGTTAGGGTTTAGAGTTTAGGATTTAGGGTTTATGAGATGTAAAATAAGTATCGACCTGACATTTTCTGAGTTTCTCTTATTGTTAATCATAAAGCCCTTGTTATAAGCAATTTCGGTGACTGTTGAAATCGACGCCAGTTTAGGGTTTATGAGGTTTAGGGTTGAAATTCACATTCAGTTGAGGGTCGTGCAAGGGTCCCTACGATGACATAAATCCTGCATTACCTTCATGACCTTAGACTACCGGAATTATGGTATGTTCCTTGTTATAGGTAATGCAGGATGTATATCATCCCTAAACCCTAAACCCCCTATAGATCCCTTACAGGGGCCCCTAGAGGTACCCATGTAGATCCCTTTAAAGGAATCATCAACCGTAAGCAACCGTAGTAAAGGTGTTTGAACTTGTTCGGTTTGGGGTCCTGATCCTCGCTTGCGGCTTGAGCAAGCAGGACCCAGAGTAGGCCCTTATTCCCTTTTTTAGGGTTCAGGTTCCCTTTTAAGCCCCTTTAAACCAAAAAGGGCATCCTTTTTATGCCTGGGTTACTCTTGGGTCTAGGCAAAAGAAGTTTTTTGGGGGCCTAAATATAATTACCTATACCAATTTGGGGGGTTCCTTTAAAGGGCTCCTTAAAGGGGTGTTCTATAAGGGGCTCTATGGTATAGGGGCCTAAATGATTCCCTGCGCTATTTTGAGGGTGTTATGCTTATAGTTATTAAGGCCCCTATACTAATAGTAGTAGACACTGTGTCCGGAATCCATTCCCGACATCCTCGTCATGCTGAGCGCCTGAGGGCTTGCCTTCAACAGCAAACCTCGTCATCGAGATTCCTTTTTGCTATGACTTCCATTGGCGATGTTCATAAATCATGAAGGCTGCAGATGAGGGTGCTTGTAGGTGTGCGGTGCGGTTAGACGACGACAACCCTAAACCCTAAACGCCTAGAGCCCTAAAAAGAAAACCTGGGTCCCTAAATGCTAAACCCTAAACCGTAATGAGCATGGGTTTAGTTCAGCAGCTGCCAGCCAACCTCAGGAAGAAGCGGAAGGCAGCGGCTACAGCCGCGACAGAACAGGATGAGCTGCAACCCATCATCGACAGCCGCCGCCGGGCCACATGCAGGAGGAAATGACGCAGTTCGGGGTTTTATGATTCGGGGTTTAGGCGAAGCGTCGGATTCATACTTTTTTAGTAAGGGAGCTTTTGGGGTCCCACTTTGCAGGCTCCAGCACGCAGTTTTTCTGGGAGGTTCAGCTGGGCTCATATAGACTGGGCCTGAAACGTCGGTTTCAGGGTATGGGAATTTCGAAACTTCGGGACCCTCGCAGGCAACTCTTTGGGCCCTGACTCTCAAGGCGCCCAATCAAAGACGTAGAAGCAGAGCCTAGGTGTTGATCGAGGGTGTTGATCGAGTGGCAATTCCAGCAGCCAGCATCATGATCTTAGTCGCGTTCTAATTCAGAGAGAATCGATATGTTCCTACACAGACAATGGAAACGGAAGCGCTAATGAGCCTATATCGTTCATTCGAAGAGCCCTATTATTCGAAGACCCTTGCAGAGACTTTACAGGACTCCGACCTGTAGGGTATTGACAACGAACCGCGAAGCGATCCAGGTGTGGCAGAGCTGAAAGCTCAAAAGCCGCGGAAAAGCCGACAGCACAGCGTGGATATACTGCAGACCTTGTGGTGCCTCTACGAGGCCTGATCTATCGAGTTTTACCACCTCTGCTTCCATCACCAGTAACACTGCTTTAACCTTCAAGCAGTGTGGCTCCTGTCGATGCCACCTCAGTGCCAGGTCGAGAAGCACCCCAATTGACATCGTCAACGTGTTTCGAAATCTTGCGGTACGAATTGACGAACTCAGCGAGCAGACCTGAGCACTACAAGATACTTTGAGATAATCCTATTACAAGCTGAAAACTGAAAATCCTGAACCGTGTGAGCCCGAAGAGACTGTACACCCCAAACCCTTCTGTATCAGGAGGATGGGAGCAGAGGCACTTTCCTGGGCTACTGGGTCACCATCATTCCGGGGCAGCTCAAGGGTCCTTTCGCCCACGACGACCTGGGTGCCCTTAGGGACTATGCCAGCAACAGCACCTGCCTGCTCCTAGGCAGTGTCTGGGGTTTCTTGTCGAGGTTTTGAGCGGGTGCTAGGGTTTATTGGACGCAGCAGGTTCTTCTGTTTGGGGTTTTAGGTGATGGTGACTAGCAGCTTGGAGGGCCATTGCATAGGTTTGAGCAGCAGGCATTGTGAAAAAGGGACCCGGAGCTGCAGTGTTGGTCGCATTCCCTTTGCAGTGCGATGTTCAGGGGATCTTTGAGCTTAGAGCCTTAGGTAGTAGCGTATCTGGGGTTCCTGCTGTGTTACTTAAAGGTTCCTGGTTAGTTAGAGGTGGGTTTGTAAGTACTAAGTACCTGTGCAACCACAGGTATAGTGATCTACACTCCTATGGAACCCAGTTTGTGCCCGAGTTATTCTTCCAGCGAGTCCGTCAGTTGAAGACTTCTCCCGGATGAAGGTCGGATAGTGGACTATACCTCACCCTGAACTCTGAGTACTTTTGTTGGATAGCCTGTTTTATGGCTGGGGTCCTGTGACTGCTAATGCAGAAAAGGCATTCCAATATTAGGGGCAGGTCTCCTCCCTAGTTACTCAGGCCCTACCGTTGATGATATGAATCCTGCATTACCTTAATTAATGACCTAGACTATGGGAGTTATGGTATACTCCTTATTATGGGTAAGGCAGGAGTTACATCATCAACCGTAGTTTCCAAGCAAGCCCTGGCGATGGGTGAAGATGGTCTTCCGAGCACAATTGTCGAATTCGAGTCGACGTCACGCCCCAAGCTGCAAACCCTTGGTGCGCATGAGGCCACAAGCACATGCATGCCGATACATCATGCAGAACAGCCAGCCCACCCAAACCTTTCACCTAAAAGCCCGCAGGTGTGAATCCCACAACAGTTAGCCCCTAAGCCGCAAAACGTCTAAATCAAGCCCCCAGACCCTTAAAAAAGCAGAACCTTCCACGTTGAGAACCTAGACCCCCCAAACCTTAGTTTTAGCAGCCTGCTAGAAATCCCTCAAGCGCCCCCGAAAGCAACCCTGTTCTGAGGTGCTTGGGAAAGGGCTGGCTGATTTGGATGCTGCCGCACTTCTCTGTCTACCTCACGGGCTTCTCCTTCTGCAGCGCCCCGCTTTTTGCTTGGCTTCATGTTTCCGGGTTTGTAGTTTTTGTGGTTTCGGGGCTTTAGGCTTGGTGTTTGGGGATGTCAGGCCGTTCCTAAGCCAGATCCCAAAATCCAGACTAGCGCCAACACCATGATGCATCCCTTTTTCAGCCCCGAACCTCCACTGAGTCGACCGCTCAGCCACGAGCACGGAAAACTTCAAAGCTGATCATCAATGCCGTGCAAAGGTGCAAAGCTGGAGTTATAGTTTAGGGTGTGGGGCTTAGAGACTTTGGCTTCAACTATAAGTGATCTTCCACAGATGGTAGATTTTGGTACCTCTATGTTTGGTACAAAGACCCTTAGGGCGTCACAGGTGCGATGTTGGGGAGCGTTCACTTCCAGATCTTGTGCTCCAACGATGGCTGCAACTGGCACGTGGCGTTGGCCTCAAACAGAGAGGACCCCCAAATAGGGGGCCGGTTCCTTGTTTTGGGGTCCTAGGGTTCCGTTGGCTTTAAGAAGTTCAACATGGGATCCAAAAGGCTTCGGGTTCAGGGTACAATAAGGATCCTACTATTCAGGGTACTATGTTAGGGTCTCCTATTTCCGGAAACATATGGTATGGGGTTTATAATCTTAGGGTTCAGGGCGTAAGGCTTAGGGTTTTTTAGGGTACTATATATGTTGGGGTCCCCCATTTTCGGAAACTCCCAAACAGAGAGGATTCGCGAGACCATACCCAAGCTTTGTGATAAGACAACTACAAGTATTGTAAAGAAGACTGCCCCCCAAACGCCGACAAAACCCGATATCGCCCTTGAAGCAATCCTACAAAGCCTGGTCATTTATACAAGAGAACCATGAAGAGACAAAGCCTTCTTTGCATCTCAAAGATCCCTTAATGGGGGTTCCTATATAGTACCCTTAGTAGTAGAAGGCCCCAAATTAGGGGATCTACTTTCTACAACAGCACTACCCCTAAACCCTAAGCTCTAAACCCTATAAACCCTAAACCCTAAACTCTAGGCCCTAAGCCCTAAACCCTAAGCTCTAAACCCTATAAACCTTAAACCCTAGACCTCAAACGAAAAGCGCCGGAGGAGCTCAAGGCTTGGAAGCCCGTGGCCTGCGAGAAGCCGCCGCACCTGGTGAAGTGGTTCAAACTCGAGGTCCTCGAATCTTGGGCTTTGGCTGGGTGGATTTCGTTTCTTGCAGTTTAGGGTTAGAGTTGGCGTCCTTCCAGGCTGTGGCTACGGTTCAAGGTAGCTGGGTTGAGGGTTTAGGCTTGGGGTCCTCGGGACATGGGCTCTTCTTTCGAGTTTGGGGTATTGTAGTGAACCACGAGTGTCGCGATTGGCAGCTGGACACGGAAACCCCAAAAAGCTTTAACCCTCGCCCCTAAAAAGCCCTCAAGCCTTGAGCCTTCAACCCGCAGCCTCTCCTAACACCCCTGAGAAAAGAACCTCTTACCCAAAGGGTCCTAGGTACTGTTATGGGGAATACTTTCCCAAATCATAATAGTAATTCCAAATATAGAAAACCCTACATTCTACCATATAGGTACTTTGGACCCTTTGGGTTACCAAAGCCAAGGAGGGGGAGTTCAACAACGACTTCTGCATCCACGGGATCCTCCAGGAAGACTGAGCGGCCGCCTCCTGCAGTGCTAGGAGTTTGCGAGCCGGAGGCAGTGCTAAGATAAGGCTGTGCAAACTAAAGAGAACGAGTAACTATAGTTGTGTTTAGCACTTAGGGTTTAGGGGTTTAGGGTTTACGGATACATATGGGAAGCATAGACAAGAGATATGAACAGACACGTCAGCATCAACAATGCAGGTCTTTTATTTGTTCCTATGTACCTTTTTGATTCACTTACATGTACAGATAAACAGAAAGAATTCATGGCTCAGCTAGACAAGCTGGTGTATAATATATCACACGGCAGAATCAGATATAATCTGTCTTGTCGGCGTGCGTTTATGTAAAGCTTCCGCGGCGTGGCAGTACTGGTATTGCCTACGGGGACTTATATGTTAATAGCACTAAGCCCCTGAATCCAGGCTAGTTTTTCAGGTCACTGTATCAGCTCAAGAGCAAGTCCAGCGAGAAGGGTCAAAGAAACCCAGCTGCTGGTGTCGTCAGCCAGAGACAGAGGACAACAGAACGGCCGATAGGTTTGTAGATTAGGTTTCAACGATTCGCAAACAAAGCATCAGGTGCTGTGCCGGCAAAAAAGCTGGCAATCCCATATCCCAAATCCTGAGCCCTAAACTTAAAATCATAAACCCTACGCCGCCGAAACCCTTACCCGGGAAAATGTATGTCGGGATTGCTTCGAGATTTAGGACTGTTTTCTGGATCCATGAAAGCTCTCTCGAGTCTTTGATGCTTTGGATGTCGTCGGTTTCAGCTGCCGAAAGATTTCTGCCCCGAGATGCTGATAAGACCCCCTAAGACTCTAAAACCCTGAGGTCTTAAACCGTAAAACCCTGGCGCCCTAGTAGACTCGAGTCCCTTAAACGGAGCCCTTCTCATTCTAGAACCATCGTACCCATAAAGGGAACCCTATTAAAGAACCCTATGGTACCTCGTACCCAAAAAGGGAACCCTATTAAGTATTCAGGAACCCTATGGTACCTTTCAAGGATCTCGAACATGCCAAGGCCGAGGACACACTCGTCGTGCGGGCCCTGCACACAGACTGCGCAGCAGGAGCGCATTCATGACCATTAGGGTTTCAGGTTGGGGGCTTTGTAGGTCATTGGGTTTAAAGTGGGGGGTTTAGGATTGAACTAAGGTTCACTGGTTCATTAAGGTGACTTGGGGCGCAGGTTAGTTGCATCAGGACCTCAGGACTCTGACTACAATTATGTCCACGGCTATCGCGTGAGCGCATCTGAATAACCTTGCTCTGAACAAGCCTTCTTAGTCGATCTTTGAAGAGCCCAGAGAGATCAACCCGAAAAGTTGCAACATAATTGCATTGATGGTTGAGAACGACAAGATGCCACAAATTGGAATTTGAATCATGGAATAGGGAACATTGTGTTAACAGGCGGCACTTTCCTCCACGCACTTAAAATTTCAACCCCACATACGCACACAGACAGATATACACTGATTCACTTTCCTACACCGACACATTCTCGCGACAGGACTGTGCAGGTGGCTTGCAGCTGGGGAGGCCCTCCACTGTGCTTTCCTGCATCGGAACAGACGATGGGTTTTGTGTTGAGATCTGCTGACTATTCAGGGCACCTCGTGCAAACATCGCACGATGACACGGCTATTTGCCGTGATTCTCGCTTTGAGGCACCTTGCTTACTCTGGCTTGGTCTAGACGTGGAGCGAGGGTTGACAGGTTCAGTTGAGTCGTGAGCTTTGCATTCATCTTCCTCAGACAAGTCGCGGCTCGAAGTCTGGAGAGTCTGGAATCTACGACTACGACCACCCAGCCCAGAGCCATGGCAACGACTGCTGCATACGGCGACCAGGATCTGTCTGCAGCATCGGATGTATGGGGCGCCTGCTTCGGCAAGGAGGGCAACTTCACCGTCATCGTGGAAGAGTCCCCGGCTGACACTTCCGACGATGTTGAGGTCGAAGACAAACACACAGAGTTCAAGGTGTGGTCTTTCCTGCTGACACAGTGGTCGCCAGTCTTTGAAAAGATGATCGGTTCCGACAACTATACCGAGTCGCAAAAGGCAAAAGTCGTCATCCAAGACTTCTCGGCCAGTGCAGTTGAAATCTTCCTTCGCTTCTTGTATTCTGGCAGCGTCGGAGGCTCCGTCACAGCTCTCGTGGAGGTGGCTGCAATGGCAGACAAGTATCAAGTTAAGAAGTTGCATGCTTTGTGCCTTCGCATCGTCCGGAAGGCCCTCAAGCCCGAAGTCGCTTGCGAGATCTTCGACTCCGCAAACAAGTTTCAGTTCAGGTCCTTGCGCATGGGCGCACTCGATCTCATCTTCACACAGCCTGCCGAGGCACTGAAAGAGCGTCCGGCACTCCGGCCGGAGCTCCTGGAGGAGATCTTGGACTCCGGCTTGCTGTGCATGTCGGAGGATGATCTGAAGAAGACTCTCCAGAGTTGGGGAGAGAAGGAAGGCGACTGCCTGCAGCCGATCATCGACGCTCGGATCCAGTGCGCAACGGTCCGAACACCCGGTGAGCGCACGACAAGCGTGCTGAAAACTCTGTGGGATCGCTACGTGAATGCTGGAAAGAAGGGCGCCTTCCTGGGCTTTTGGGTTGTCGTCATCCTGGGGCCTGAGCAGGCCGAGATGTGCCAGGAAGATGCACGCAGTGTGAAGTCGATGGCTTCCAACAATTTGGGTTGCATCTACCGAAAGGGGTGGGTGCAGTGGCTGCTTCCCCATTCCTCGGTTCATCTGCAAGGCTTTTCGTTCTCAACGTCATACAGCGAACCCATCTCGGCCTCGACATCCTTGCGGATCTGGTGCTCCGAAGACAGCACGACCTGGCACCTTGCTTACGAGTCGACCGAGAAAAAGATCGCAAGTCGCACTTTCCTGCCTTGCAAGAGACCTCCGGGTTTGGTGAAGTCGTTCAGGCTGGAAGTCCTGGAGGGTGAGATTTCGATCGCTCTCTTCAACATCCATGGCATTTTGCAGACCTCCGTCTGAAGTGGCTTTTATCAGCGGCTCTCAGAGCAGAGTTGCAGTTGACTGAAGCAGATCCGGCAGCGCCGGATAGGATAGGCCTAGTTGCCGGCGCCTGGCACAGTCGAGTTTTGTATCAAGGAGGACAAGGAGGCAGCAAGAAGCCTGTCACCTGTAGTTGTAGTAGCAGGTAAATGATATCGAGAGCAGTGCAAAGCAGTAGTATGCCAGGCCGCATCGAGCCTCCCGTTCACCGCTTATGCTTAAGATGCCTGTCCCCTAGGGCTCCAGTTACCTAAATAGTGGGTTACTGGGCTATATAAGATATGGTTAGTAACTTACTATTGAGGTAACTGGAGTCCTAGGGTGCTGACCCTAGAAATTTGCATAATTACGAAGTAGAGAGAGGCTAGCACAGCCGTTTGTTTTGCGTAGTTGTAGCCCCAAACAGGTTGCTTGTTGCTCCACCTACATCTACCCATGATGGTTCTTTTTGCGCTCCTTTGGGTCGGTGCATAGGTCCCTATTTCAAGTGTCCCGTGTTGCAAGCCGGCACTAGGCCTCGAAGCAGCCTCTGTATATCCTTAAGGGTCCAAAAAACTAATTATTAGGGACTTAGGTTTAGGATAGTAAGTAGTTATGTAGGTTACTGTTTTGGAGAGTATATGATAACTATTTACTCGGACTCTTAGGGTATCCACAGAGGCTTGTGTGAACCTGGTGGTGCTGCTTTTGATTGGGTTCTTGATAGCGCAATAAGTCGGACCGCAGCGGGATATCAATAAGGAAGTCATAAGCAACAGATACAATAGCGCCGACACTGAAGCAGCATAAGAAGTAGTGCTCAACATATATGAACAGCAGGAGTCTCAACACGTGCGCTTGATCAGATGTCGCATACGCACACACATATGTCCAGTTATGCAGTCTGTCGGAGTTTATCGGTCGTCTGAATATGTAGCTAATGTATGCATGGAAATGCAAGCACGTGGATTCGTGCTGTGGCCGTGAGGATCCAGGCACCTATATAGCCTATATAAAAAATTAAATGTGTTTTTGGGGCCACCATCTCTACTATAGCCGCTTAATAAGCCTCAACCTTCCTTTAAATCCCAAACCCTACAAAACGTGTTTTGGGAGCCACAATATACCATAGTGGTAAGTGCTTAGCAAGCCTTAACCCTCCTCTCAACCTTAAACGCTGCAAAGTATGAACCCCAAGCCCACGACCTTGGGGACAGAAGTTCTGCCAGGGCAGCGCCGCAGCCGGGAGTGCAGACCTCAAGCTTGAAGGAGCGCTTCGGTTTATGGCTTAGGCGTTAGGGTTTAAGGTTTAGGGTTTGGGGTTTAGGGTTTAGGGTGTAGTGTTTGGGGTTAGGGTTTAGGGTTGGGGGTTTAGGGGTTAGGGTTTAGGGTTTATGGCTTAGGGCTTAGGGGTTTAGGGGTTTAGGGAGGGGCCGAAGAAGAAAAGCCATGATGCCGTTCAAATCTACTTGGTGGCAATATACCTCTTGTCGTTTAGTCTCCGCTGTGGCTCCGATATGTGCGGTGCACGGTGGTGTAGGGTTCTTTAGCTTCACCGTGTGGCCGTGCTAGTGCTTGGAAAGAAAAGCTAAGAAAAGTTCAGCGTGTCTTGGTCTGACGAGGCGTGTTGAGCCCTACTTGGAAGGGCAGGGCCTTAGTAAGTCGTTTATAAGTAGGGTTATAACTGGGGTAACTCCATTTGGGGTACTCATAACTCTACTTATAACCTACTTACTAAGCCCGCTGCCCCTCCAAGTAGACACTGAAACCCCGCAACCTAAACCATGCAACTCCAGACCCCAAGGTTCCACACTCAAGCCTAAGGCCTTGGCTATGAGCTATACGTAAAAAACAAAATCGTTTGAGGCCGGCTTGCGCGAGTTGCGGTGTTGAGCTAGGGCCACAGGAGTGCGACATGTTGAAGCTCCCGGATCCTGCGCTATTCCATGGCTTCTTATTATTTCTTTGCCTTAGGAACTTTTGGATCTTGTGACTTTTGCTTAGGCGAGACTGAGGCAGATTTCCCCCCATATTTTCTGAATCCCCCGACTAGTCCGGATCTCAAAGATGAACTCTGGAACCGTAAATAAAATCCCTAGACTTGGGAAGCCCTACTTCATCCGGGAAGCCTTGAACCACTGACCCCGAAACAGAGAATACTGCCTGAAACTTGTTTGTTGGAACAAAACCCTAAACCCTAAACCCTAAACCCTAAAACCATAAAGCCCTGACGCTCTAAAGTCGGCCCGAGAAGCCTTGAACCCTAAACCCTGAAAGCCAAAGCCCAGGTGCTTTTTCACGGCACGGCCCCGAGATGCTGAGGATGTACGAGGCAGAGGGTACGTCCCACTTCTTCACGGTGGTTTACGGTTTCGGGGACTTCGGGGGGGGGGGGAAGCGTCACGGCGCTCAAGATGTACATGGGGGTTTGTGTTTAGGTCTATGGGTTTGGGGTTTTCAAGTGTAGTTACTTGGAGGTTCATGGGTAGTTATAAGTGGAGTTACAAGTATGGTAGTTATACTTATAACCCTTTTGGGGGGGACTTATAACCCCACTTATGACTACCCATCAACCTCCGGGTAAAGGTGTTGAATTTATCCAAGGGTAAAAGGAGGGACCCTTAATAAGGACCCCTAGGTATATAATTACCCCTTAGTATAGCTGTTATATACCCAATATATAGCCCATGATAGGGTACGGGTCCCCATTAAGGGTCCCTCCTTTTCCCCTTTGAAGAAGAAGACTGAGGGTGTTGGGTCGTCTCGGCAGACAGCCACCCAGAGCGCGAGGTCATGACGACCATGGGGATGCTGTCTCAAGGGTTGCTTTCCCTAAGGGTCCTATGTACCGATATAGTAGAACGTAGGGTTTCCATATCAGGCATTACTATATTGACTTAGGCAAGTATCCCCCATGACGGTACATAGGACCCTTTGGGTTTTCAAGGGATCCTTCAAAGGTTTCCGTAGGGGCTCCTTTCAGGAATCTATAGGCATTCTATGGCTATGGTATAGCGTAGAATCCTGAACAATTACCCATATTACCCCCTAGAGCTCCTTCTTACAAGCGATACCCCTGGGCATCAAAGTAGCCCCAAAGCCTTATATAGTATTGTCTTTGGGCCCAACAGCCTCAATATATGAGTCCTTGGATGCCCAGGGTACTGCACTGCAAAACCGTATTCTAATTATCCAGGCCCTGATTCTACGGTTCAAGAGTGTGCTTGAGAAGGTTTCAGAGGCTCAGTGGAAGGGCTGGTGGATTCTGCTCGTCGCGCTTGTCTGGGCAGCCAACAATAGCCCTAAGGCTCAAAATAGGCCAAAAGCCTTCTCTAGTATGGTCTTTGGGCCCAAAAGCCCTAAAATACGAGTCCTTCGGTTGATGATATAAATCCTGCATTACCCATAGTAAGGAATATATACCATAATTCCCATAGTCTAGGGTCATTAACGTAATGCAGGATCTAGATCATCAACCGTTAGAGTCTGAGGGTAGGAGTTCCGGCCTCCTGAGTCCTGTCGATGTATATAATCGCAAACAGCAGCACCTCAACCGACAGACTGCAATCATACGGTCGATGATACAAATCCTGCATTACCTTAAGGACCCTCAACGATGGGAATAATGGTATATTCCTTATGATGGGTAATGCAGGATGTTTATCATCAGCCGTAGTTCCTTTAGAAGCAACATTCTGGGGCTACAGTTACCTCATAGCGGGTCAGTGGGTTACATGTTTTGGGTATGTTGAAGCTGTATATGGGTAGTTCTCTAAACAAGGGTCCCTTTTGTGGTCCGGCTGCCGTACCATATTGGTGACCTAAAACGGAACCCTGATATGGCGAAGTGCCCATGTAGAAACCTACCAGTGTAAATGACGCACACGGGTGATTCTGTCTGCAGCAACAGTGCTGGCTCGAGCACCAATCCTACTCAGTAGGATGGTTTAGGGTTTAGAATCCTACTGGAAACTGAAGCTGTGGTTGCAGAATCGATACTATTGATGTAGTCAATCTTTCGAAGCATCATTTGGTTTGTTCTTCGAAGTTTCGACATGTCCGCAGGATCCAAGCGGAAACTGTCTGATGTGTTGACGGCCTGCTTCGGCAAGGACGGCAACTTCACGGTCATCGTCCTAGAGCCCTCGGGTGAGACTTCCGACGATGCCCAGGCAAAGCGCACGGAGTTCAAGGTGTGGTCTTCTCTGCTCGCACAGTGGTCTCCCGTCTTTGAGAAGATGGTAGGATCGGCGAACTATGCCGAGTCGCAGAAGGCGGAGGTCATCATCAGAGACTTCTCGGCCGATGCTGTTGAACTCTTCCTTCGCTTCTTCTACTCTGGGAGCGTTGCGGGCTCCATCCCAGTCCTGGTGGAGGTGGCTGCAATGGCAGACAAGTATCAGGTCGAGGCATTGCAATGTTCGTGCCTGCACCTTGTTCGGCGAGCCATGAAACCTGACGCAGCCTGCGTGGTCTTGGCTTCCGCAGACCGCTTCCACATGGCTGACCTGCGAGCAGAGGCCCTTGATCTCATCTTCACACAGCCTGCCGAGGCCCTCAAAGAGCGTCCGACACTCCGGCCGGAGCTGTTGGAAGAAATCCTGGACTCGGTCTTGCTGTGCATGTCGGAGGATGATCTGAAGAAGACTCTCCAGAGTTGGGGAGAGAAGGAAGGCGACTGCCTACAGCCGATCATCGAGGCAAAGATCCAGCGCGCAACGGTCCGAACGCCTGGCGTGCACACGACAAATGTTCTGCGCACGCTTTGGGATCGCTACGTGAATGCTGGGAAGAAGGGCGCCTTCCTGGGCTACTGGGTGGTCGTGATCTTAGGACCTGAACAGGCACAGATGTGCAGAGAAGATGCAGCCTATTTGAAGTTGCTTGCTAACGGTCAGTATGCACTCAACTGTCGGAAAGGCTCTGTGCAGTGGCTGCTTCCCTACTGCCTGGTTCATCTTCAGGGCTTTTCCTTGGTTCAGAAGATATCGGGCTCGACGTCCTTCCGGATCAGTGTGAAGTCCGACGAGGGCGGTGCGACCTGGCACCTCGCCTACGAGTCGCACAAGAAAGAGATCAAAGAAGGCACTTTCCTGCCTTGCAAGAGACCGCCGAGCCTGGTGAAGTGCTTCAAGCTGGAAGTCCTGGAGGGTGAGTGTTACCTTCCCTTCAACATCCAGGGCATTTTGCAGACCTCCGTCTGAAGTAGCTTTTATCAGCGGCTCTCAGAGCAGACTTGCAGTTGACTTTAGCATATCCGGAAGCGCCGGATAGGCCTAGTTGCCGGCGCCTGGCACAGTCGAGTTTTGTATCAAGGAGGACAAGGAAGCAGCAAGAAGCCTGTCACCTGTAGTTGTAGTAGCAGTTATCATGATATCGGGAGAAGTGCAAAGCAATAGTATGCCAAGCCGCATCGAGCCTCCCCTTCGCCGCTGATGTTCAAGATGCCTGTTTTCCAGGGCTCCAGTTACCTAAATAGTAGGCTACTGGGGTATATAATACATGGTTAGTAACCTACTAGTTAGGCAACTGGAGCCCTTGACCCTGGAGTCTCAATCGCACACAATCCCACAGACACTCAGGAGCCCCCAAATGCTTCAAACTGTACACACTAAGTCGCATATAGGCCTTCAAGCCCTCATGTTGCTACAAACGCCAACCTCCTCGCTGCAGCATCTCTCAAGTAAAGAGTCGTGCTGCCAGGGTCACGCCGCAGCGGGGCGTGCGGAACTCGGGTCCCAGAGCCTGAACGGCCCCAAACCCTAAACCTGAAACCCCAAACCCTAAAGCACCAAACCCTGAAAACTCTAAACTTGAAAGCTCGAAACCCTGAAACCGTAAAGCCTTAAGGCCCTAAAAGCCTAAACCCTAACACTCTACGTCCTTGAGCCAACAAGCCCCTAAAGCCCTGAGACGGAGCCTCAAAGTCTCACTCCCAAAGCTTGGAGGGACCGCGGTAGAACGGAAAGATCGCTTAAGGGTAGGTTTAGAGTTTAGGGTTTAGAGTTTAGAGTTTAGGGTTTAGGGTTTAGGGTTTAGGGCCTGAAATCCCCCAAACTCCACCCCTCAGGGCCCAAAGGACCCAGTAATTCGGTACTTCAGGCTTAGGATAGTATAGTTATGTAGGTTACTACATGGTTAAATGAGGTACTTGAAATCTTAGGGTACCTCAACCGTCCAAAACCTCTTTTGTAGGGTCCGTATATATCCGACATGAGAGGAGCATGTTAGGCCCCTGTCTTGCTGGGTCAGGTATGGAGTGCACCTTTGCCCCTTTTCTTCAACCTTCAATCACTGCAACCATAAACTCTAAGCCCTAAACCATAAACCCCTAAACCCCAAACCAATCATAAACGCTTAACCCCCGCAAGCCTAAGCCCTAAGCTCAGTCATCAGAATCGGACCACAGTCATCTGTTCGGTCGTAGGTCGTAGGTATCCCTGGAAGCCACTCCTAAAACACCCAAAATATACTGTCCTGTGTATGCATATCTAGTTAGTCTTCTATAAATATCCCAGCGGGTTCCAGATTCCAGGATCCTCCCGACATAGGTACTTTAGGGCCCCAAAAGCACTGTTGGTACATGAGCCCTCGTACCCTAAACCCGAGTCGAACCCTTAAATAGGAGCCCTCAATCATCCGCAGGGCTCCTCCTTATCATAAGAGTATATAAGATACACCCAAACCCTGATAGAACCTTTAAAGGAGCCCTTATTCATGGTTGGGGGTTCTTTTGGGGTATTTTTTTAATATTTTTTTTGGTATATAAGGTACACCCAAACCTTGATAGAACCTTTAAAGGAGCCCTTATTCGTCCCGATCCCTTATAGATCCCTTTAAGGAACCCTCTTGGGGGCCCTTATTCATCCCGACCTCCGACTTCCAGTCTGCTCCCAGGTACCTTGACACCCCGGCATCCTGGGAGATTGCTGAGGTCCAAGGCCGGAAAGCAGTTTGGGGTTAGGGTTTAGGGGTTTCGGGTTTAGGGATTTAGGAGTTTAGGGGTTAGTAGTTTAGGGTTTAGGGGTTTAGGGTTTGGGGGTTTAGGGCGTTTAAGGGTTTAGGGGTTTAGGGTTTAGGGGTTTGGGGTTTAGGGTTTAGGGGTTTAGGGTTTAGGGTAAAGACAGTCACCAAGAGTTCACGTGGGCTTTAGGGCTCCGGTTGAGGTTACCTTAACCCTGAACAACCTACCGTTTTAGTGTTCCCTAATCATTATGATTTCCTTATATACGTCCTTAAACAGGTAGGTTATTCGGGGTTTAGGTAGGGTTTAGGATTCAAGCTTCTCTTCACAGCGACATTTGGGGTTGCGGGCGCTAGACTTATTGGTGAAACACCCAGATTTTGGCTTCTTGCCTACTTCAAGCTGTGACAGGGGGTGTTGATGTTTTGCGTTCGGGGATATGGTAGAATTCAACAAAGGCGTTCCGCACTCTTAGAATACTTTGGTGGCAGGATTCAGCCCCTGCAATGGGTGCATCATGGATTTTCTTGCAAGGTCATTGCCGACAATCATTTTTGGGCCTGAATACTTACAGTCGGGTTTTGGGGCCCATTATATACTATAATTGTAAAAAGGGGCCCCCCCAAACAATAGTATAGGTAATTATGGTACTTACTGAAGCCGGACACGTGGCGGGTCCAAGCAAGCGGCCCTGCTGGTTTTTGCGAAAGCACAATTCCCAAAGGGTCCTAAGTACCCAAACTGTCGAATGTAGGGTTTTTATAATAGGAGTTACTGTTATGATTTGGGAAAGTATCCTCCATACCACTACCTAGGACCCTTTGGGATTGGTATGCGTGGCCTGTAGCTTCAGGGGTTGATTGGCTAGAAGGTTCGCAAAAGGTCACCGTTCAGGTGGATGCAGCAACACCGATGGGGCACCAGCTTGCGACTGTCTTCCTTGATGTGCAGAGTACTTGTGCATGATTATGTGTTTGGTCAGGTTCCGACGATGCTGTTGAAGCCAATGTCCGGCGTTACGGTCCTGAGTGCGTGAATCTCTATGGGTATTATAGCCCTACATGCCCCCGCTTTTTCCCAATTCCAACATGTCCCTGTTCGAAAGCCTTGCAAGCGCCCTGCCAGTCTTTGTGAAGAAGGGGGTACCCCTGAACCCTAACACTAACAAAGACTTGTATGAGCTTGGTTCATCTGTTAGCGAAATGCCACCGAGCAGGCGGATGTAAAGACTTCTTTTCTGCCGTTAGTTCAGTAGTTTGTGAGTGTCGCGCTTGTTGTGCATTGTGCATGTGTATGACTATGTGTTTGTTCAGGCTCCGACGATGCTGCCAAAGCCACCATTGCAATCCTAAACTCCATAAGACCCACAGGCTGACCCTATGCTTTCCACCCCCCCCCTCAAGTAATTTAAACGCTGGCATCCGTTCGTAACAGTGCTGGCTGGAAGGCTAAGACTGACGACAGCCAGACAAACGCCACAGGGAAGCCTCTCTCAGCCATGTTCGGGCCTACAGCAGGTGCCAAGCAGAAACGGGATGATGTGTTGGCGGCTTGCTTCGGCGTTGATGGGAACTTCACGGTCATAGTTGAAGAGCGCTCCGGTGAGACTTCCGATGATGCTGGGGCAAAGCGCACAGAGTTCAAGGTCTGGGCTTCACTGCTTGCGAATTGGTCTTCCGTCTTCGAGAGGATGATCGGCTCTAGAAGCTATGCTGAGTCGCAGAAGGCGGAGGTCGTCATCCACGACTTCTCCGCCAGTGCCGTTGAAATCTTCCTTCGTTTCTTGTACTCTGGCAGTGTCAAGGGTTCACCCACAGCCACAGACCTGATGGAGGTGGCAGGAATTGCAGACAAGTATCAGGTCGAAGCATTGCATACGGTGTGCCTCCATGACATTCGGCGGGCCCTCACTTTCGAACCTGCGCTTGCGTGCGAGGTCTTCGCGTCCGCAGACCGTTTTCACATGGCTGACCTGCGAGCAGAGGCTCTCGATCTCATTTTTACCAAGGCGGCGAAGGCCCTGAGAGAGCGTCCGACACTCAGGCCGGAGCTGTTGGAGGAGATCCTGGACTCAGGCTTGCTATGCATGTCAGAGGATGATGTGATAAAAACTCTCCAGAGCTGGGGAGAGAAGGAAGGCGACTGCCTACAGCCGATCATCGAGGCCCGAATCCAGCTTGCAACGGTCCGAACATCTGGTGAGCACACGACAGACGTGTTGAAAAGTCTGTGGGATCACTACGTGAATGCTGGAAAGAGGGGTGCCTTCCTGGGCTACTGGGTAGTCGTGATGCTGGGACCTGGGCTGTCGGATGTTTGCGGGGAAGATGCCGGCTATGTGACGGCGATGGCTCGCAATGATGCACCCAGACCTGTCACTCTTCGAGCAGGATGGGTCCAATGGATTTTTCCTCATTCCTGGATTCGTCTTCAGGGTTTCTCGGGCTTCTCTGTCTGTCAGGGCCGGGCGGCAAAGACATCTTTCCGGATCTGCACCTCAGCAGACGGAGCTACCTGGCACCTCGCCTACGAGTCGCAGAAAAAAGAGATCTGGGAAAGCACCCTCCTGGCTTGCAAGAGACCTCCAAGCATGGTGAGGTACTTCAAGCTGGAGGTCCTGGAGGGTGAGATTTCCCAACGTCGGTTCAACATCCACGGCATTTTGCAGACGTCCGTCTGAACTGGCCATAAGCAGCACGTCGAAGACAACAGTTGCAAACGTGTTTTTTGACTGCACCGGATAGGCTTGCCAGCAGCCAGCACAGTCAAGTTTGATCAACGACAGGACTTGACATGTGCACGAGGAGTTGTGGAGAGGCGCATAGTCTGTATGCAGTGTCGTCAGTCACCCGAGCGAAAATGTCGCGTCCCGATGTGTGGTTCCATTATCCTCGCCTGCAAGATTCGTAAGATATGAGTTATCGTAGAACATTGTCAAGGCCTACGATCATCGAGAGGGGGACTGAGAGAGACGGACTGAGAGACGTGTAATCGTATGCCTGCTACACATGACGTAGACAAATTTGAGGCAGGAAGCAGAAGCGCACCCTGCGAAGCCCAGAACAGTCTGTGGGTTTGTCGATGTGGGATGCTCAACCCGGAAGCCCCCCCGGCTCTCAAAGCCTCCCGTCTCACCGTCTCAAAACTTCGCACATCCTAAAATTCTGCATTTTCCCTTCGACCTTTCCGGTAAGCTCAAAGGATCACCATGCCCCGTAGTTCCTGCATCTGATGCAGTTTCTCTTTGGAGGATTCAGGGCTTTGGTATGATGGGTTTAGGGTTTAGGGGTTTAGGGTTTAGGGGTTTTAGGGAGTAGGGATTAGGGTTTTAGGGTTTAGGGGTTTAGGAAAGTTCATCAGCAATCTAGCACCATGAGTATAGAACCAGCAGTGGGGATAACCACATGTCCGGTAGGAGCAACAGTATGCGCAAGGGGTGATAATCGCAATGTTACTCCCAAGAACAACATAGGTACGCATGCAAATCTTTTTAAGTCTTATTATTCAAAGAAACGCTGTACCTGTCTTCGTAACTATATATACAAACACATTTTTATTCATTCACACAAACACACACACACACACACACTCTCTCTCTCTCTCTCTTACATCATTGCCGGTGTGCACAGGTACAGGAGCAACGTCTCCGGAGGCGAGAGCCTCGGAGCTCGCGGAGCGCGTTGGTTCGCAGTCGCTGTGGACCGGATCTCGAGCCTTAGAGGGTTGAGGGGTTTGGGGTTTAGGGTTTAGGGCTTGGGGGGTTTAGGGGTTTGGGGTTTAGGGTTTAGGGTTTGGGGGGTTTAGGGTTTATAAGGGCCTACTTTGGGGATCCCAAAACCCACTGCTTGAACGGTTAGACCCTCTAACTCAGGGGTCATAACCCTACTAGTTTGTAGTGTTTGGGGATACAGGTAATTCCTAAACCCTAAACCCCTGGAACCCTAAAGGTTTTGGGTCGGGTTTGGCCCGGCGTTGGCGACTACGGCTGTTGCTATTCGGCGGCTCATGTGGCTTAGCAAAAAGTAGGCTGAAAAGGTCCAACACTACGGGTTATACCTTATTATGAGCTTATGAGGATCCATACTTGTGCATGGTTCTGAAGAGTTATGAATATGAATATAGTTACCTTATTGGACCCTTATAAGTTACTTGTTTCCATGGCGTAAGAGCGGCGGATCGGGTTCTACAATTAGCGCTCTTGGGCGATGGCGGCCCATGATTGCATACGCAACGACTTGGTGCTGAGTTCCAGAGTGCGAGGCAGCTTCTAAGTCCAAAACCACTGCACACCGCAAAACGGAAAGCTAAACCCACAAAATAAGAACCCATACAGATCCCCTCTAAGGTACTTATAGACCCCTGCGTTTAAGATGACTTTATTCAACCTTATGAGGGAATTTTTCAAGGAGGCCCTATAAGAGGTCCCGAACCATGAAACCCGGGCTCCTACACTTCGAGTCTTCACCGGTGAAGCCGAGTCGCGACACTCAAGAGCCTTGAGCTCCACCCAACCCCGAAACCCCAAGGGTCCAAGCACCTAATTATCCTAAGGGTTTAGCGGTTCAGGGTTCAGGGGTTTAAGAGTTTAGAGTTTAAGGGTTTAGGGTTTAGGGTTCATATACTCTCCCAAATAGTAACCTACATAACTACTGTCCTAAACCCAAGTACTCGATCATTGGGTCCTTTGGACCCTTGAGGAAACTGTTAGCACTGGGCGTCAGGCTTCAGAAGTTTAAGGGTCTTGGAGGGTTTTTGGGTTTTCGTTGCTTTTTAAGGATTACACCGCACAAGGCTCGAAGACATTCTGAGCCCTTCGCCGCGAATCTCCGCGCTCCATCCGAAGCCCCTAAACCTGGGCTTTAGAGTACCATACTCTGATACTTTTTTCTTAAAGGAACCATTATGAAATACAAGTTTACACTTTTTTCGACGCGGTTACTTAAAAGCCCCTAAGCCCTAAACCCATCAAAGCCGCAAGACCTCGCAACTCCTTGCCAGAAGCCATAAACACTCACCCCAAAAAGCCTTGGGCCCTGTAAAACCCTAATGCCGAGACCCAAAAGTGTTTATTTAGGGTTTAGGGCCCTGTGAACCCTAGCAGTTGGGTTTCGAAGGTAACTCGGCTTTTGGGGCCGGGCTGCTACAGAATCAGCCCCGAACTCCCAGAAGCTCAAACCCTAAACCTAGAGAGAGCTCCAAAAGCCTCATTAAGCCTGGAAGCCCTTGGATCCCGAACGCCCTAAACAACCCTAAACCCCATAGATCCCAAGGCCACGGCGGGATCCTTCAGCGATGCAACGAGAGGCTCCTTAAAGGGTTCCATTAAGGGATCTACAGGGGTTTGGGGTTTAGGGGTTTGGGGGTTTAGGGTTTGGGGTTCGGGGGTTCAGGGTTTAGAGTAGGCTTGCACTCTTGTACTCCCTAAGTGCGTTGTGCAAGGAGTTTCTATTGGGACTATATTGCCCTCAAAGAGTGCGGGGTCATACGTATCAACATCATGTAACCATACCCATGAGCTCCATAGTTCTTCCTTTTTGGGATTACCTTGTAGGATTCTAAGTATGAACCCCAAAAAGGAGCTACTACGGTTGATGATATAAATCCTATGGGTAATGCAAGATTTATATCCCTAAACCTTAAACCCTATAGACACCTTAAAGGAACCCTTTAAAGGTACCCATACAGATCCCTTTAAAGGAGCCTCAGGATTTATATCACCAACCGTAGCGAGCTTATGGGTAAAGACTCGGGGGCCTCAAAACCAAACGGCTTTGGAGGGTTTCGGGGCCCAGGGCTTGTAAGGGCAAGGCTTTGGGGTTTCGGGTTCCGGGTTTGGGGTTTCGGGTTTGGGGTTTAGGGGTTAGGGTTTGGGGTTCAGGGTTTAGGGGTTTAGGGGTTTGGCATTTAGGGTTTGTGGTTTAGGGTTTCGATTTAGGGTTTTGGGAGGTCGCCGATGAGGGGGTCTTTGCTTTGGTAGCCAACAGTTCGAGTTTTCGAGGTATAGCCAATTGCCAGAAGGTCCACATGCACAATCATCCAGGAACCCGATACACACGTGTATCTTCATTCACTCGTGTGTTACATGTATTCACGCGCATGTAGCGGCATGCAACAGCCGTATTGGCTCGAAGATTAAAACTTGCAGCACGGCGAGACACTGTAGCAACACTTTAAGGGTCCCTTTCAGGACTATATATATATATATATAGAGGGTAAAGTTGTACTTGCGATAGGTTCGACGATGTCCACAGGATCCAAGCGGAGAAGGAGGTCAGTGGCGACTGCTTCTCACTGGGACCATTGCAGGCCACGATCATACTGCAGCATCTGCAGCCTTGACGGCCTGTTTCGGCACAGAGGGAAACTTCACAGTAACAGTTGAAGAGCACTCGGGTGACACGTCCGACGATGTTGAGGTATGCACAGAGTTCAGGGTGTGGTCCTCTCTGCTTGCACACTGGTCTGCCGTCTTTGAGAGGATGGTAGGATCGGAGATTTATGCCGAGTCGCAGAAAGCGGAGGTCATCATCCGAGACTTCTCGGCCATTGCTGTTGAGCTCTTCCTTCGCTTCTTGTACACGGGGAGCGTGCACGGCTCTGCGAGTGCTTTGCTGGAGGTGGCTGCTTTGGCAGACAAGTACCAGGTCCAGGTGTTGCATGCTTTGTGCATGCGGCTGGTGCGGGAGGCTCTGAAACCTGAGCTGGCCTGCGAGGTGTTCGCAGCCGCATACCGTTTCCACATGGATGACCTGCGGTCAGATGCCCTTGATCTCATTTTCACAAGGCCTGCAGAGGCTCTGAAAGAGCGTCCTGCAGCACTCCGGCCGGAGCTCTTGGAGGAGATCCTCAGCTCGGGCTTGCTGTGCTTTGCAGAGGATGCCCTTCAACGGACCCTCCATGGCTGGGGAAACAAGGACGACAGCCTGCAGCCGATCGTCGAGGCCCGGATCCAGCTCGCCACGGTCCGAACGATGCGGAAAATGAAATACATCTCGCATGGAGTAGCATAGTCTGTATGCAGTGTCGTCAGTCACTCGAGCGAAAATGTCGCGTCCCGATGTGTGGTTCCATTATCCTCGCCTGTAAGATTCGTAAGATATGACAGCCAAGAGAAGGATCTGCATGGGACATTACAGGTAGATTGTGCTCTCTGGTATTTTGAAGAATTGCTAACAAACACCCACCTGTAGAATCAAGAAAGCCCCGTAGAGTCCCTATATATATTGTTTCAGAAGTTATCGTAGAACATTGTCAAGGCCTACGATCATCGAGAGGGTGACTGAGAGAGAAGGACTGAGAGACGTGTAATCGTACGCCTGCTACACATGACATAGACAAATTTGAGGCAGGAAGCAGAAGCGCACCCTGCGAAGCCCAGAACAGTCTGTGGGTTTGTCGATGTGGGATGCTTCTCCAACCCGGAAGCCCCAAAAGCTCCACATCCTGAAACCCCGCCGGCTCTCAAAGCCTCTTTTCTCACCATCTCAAAACTTCGCACATCCTGCAATTCTGCATCCTCCTTTTTGACCCTTCCGGTAAGTTGTAATTAAGGGTCACTATGCCCCGTAGTTCCTGCATCTGACGCAGTTTCTCTTTGGAGGATTCAGGGCTTTGGTATGATGGGTTTAGGGTTTAGGGGTTTAGGGATTAGGGTTTTAGGGTTTAGGGGTTTAGGAAAGTTCATCACAAGGATTTGGACAGACCGAACGGTAGCCGGGCAAAGGTGTGCCCGTTTGCAGAGTGACCGGCCGGGACAAGTTGCCACAAAGAAGCAGCAGCGCTCATCAATAAGCAGAACAAGAAAATCTAGACAAGCATACAGGCTTCCCCATCGCAATCGAATCTAGCACCATGAGTATAGAACCAGCAGTGGAGATAACCACATGTCCGGTAGCAGCAACAGCATGCGCAAGGGGGTGATAATCGCAATGTTACTCCAAAGAACAGCATAGGTACGCATGCAAATCGTTTTAAGTCTTACTATTCAAAGGAATGCTGTACCTGTCTTCGTAACTATACATACACAGACATTTTTATTCATTCACACAAACACAAACACAAACACAAACACACACACACACACACACACACTCTCTCTCTCTCTTACATCCTTGCCTGTCTGAACAGGTACAGGAGCAACGTCTCCGGAGGCGAGAGCCTCGGAGCGCGTTGGTTCGAGGTTGGGGTTTAGGGGTTTGGGGTCTACGGTTTAGGGTTTAGGGTTTGGGGGGTTTAGGATTTGGGGTTTACGGTTTGGGGCTTTATAGGGTTAGGGGTTTGGGGGGTTTAGGATTTGGGGTTTACGGTTTGGGGCTTTAGGGTTAGGGGTTTGGGGGGTTTAGGATTTGGGGTTTACGGTTTGGGGCTTTAGGGTTAGGGGTTTGGGGGGTTTAGGATTTGGGGTTTACGGTTTGGGGCTTTAGGGTTAGGGGTTTGGGGGGTTTAGGATTTGGGGTTTACGGTTTGGGGCTTTAGGGTTAGGGGTTTGGGGGGTTTAGGGTTTAGGGTTTGGGGTTTAGGGGTTCCAGGAGTTTAAGCTTTGGGAGGTTTGGGGTTTAGGGGTAGGCAGTTTGGGGTTTAGGATTTGGGGTTTAGGGGTTTGGGGGTTTAGGGGTTCCAGGGGTTTAGGGTTTAGGGCCTACCTGGGGATCCCAAAACCAACTGCTTTCATGAAGGGCTATACCCTCTGCCTACTATTTTGTAGTGTTTGGGGGTACAGGTAATTCCTAAACCCCAAAACCCTTGGAACCCTAAAGCCTCACACCCCAAAACCCGAAGCTTTTTCGGGGGATTTGGGTACGGTTTGGCCCGGCGTTGGCGACTACGGCTGTTGCTATTCGGAGGCTCATGTGGCTTAGCAAAAAGTAGGCCAAAACGGTCCAACACTCGGGGTTATACCTAATTATGAGCTTATGAAGATCCATACTTGTGCATGGTTCTAAAGAGTTATGAATATGAACAAGAATATGAATAGTTACCTTATGGGACCCTTAGTTACTGGTGACCATGGCATAAGAGGGGCGGAGGGGGTTCTACAATTAGCGCTCTTGGGCGATGGCGGCCAATCATTGCATACACAACGACTTGGTGCTGAGTTCCAGAGTGGGAAGTCGTAAGTTCCTGAATCCTGAGCCGCAGCCTCTAAACCCCTAATGTCCTGGGCCTATAACCCAACAGTAGTAGGATTCATATATAAGAAACTCAATAAAGGCCCAAGGTTTCTTAATCAGGTTCCTACATTAATCCTGTGCCTTCTAAGTCCAAAACCACTGGAAAGCTAAACCCTCAAAATACGAACTGATACAGATCCCTGAAAAGGTACCTATATACCCTACGTTTAAGATGATCTTACTCAACCATACAAGGGCAATCCTTCAAGGAGGCCTTAGGTGGTCCCGAACCATGAAACCCGGCCTCCTACACTTCGAATCTTCACCGACGAAGCCCAGGCGCGACACTCAAAAGCCTCGAGCTCCAACCCTGAAACTGTTAGCACTGGGCGTCAGGCTTCAGAAGTTTACGGTTTACGGATCTTGGAGGGTTTTTGGGTTTCCGTTGCTTTTTAAGGGTTACACCGCACAAGGCTCGAAGACATTCTGAGCCCTTAGCCGCGAATCTCCGAGCTCCAGCCTAAGCCCCTCAAACCCATCAAAGCCACAAGACCTCGCAAACTCCTTCCCAGAAGCCAGAAACACTCAAACCTAAAAGCCCGGGGCCCTGTAAAACCCTAATACCGAAACCCTATAAGGGTTTAGGGCTTAGGGGCTTAGGGTTTATACACAGAAGCCTTATGAACCCTAGCAATTGGGTTTGGAAGGTTACTCGGCTTATGGGGCTAATAGAGCTTCCGCCCCAAAACTCCCAGAAGCTCAAACCATAAACCTACCTCCCTCATAGTTCTTTTTTGGGTTCATATCTAGAACCCTACAAGGCAATCCCAAAACCCTGGAAACCCCCAGATCCCGAAAGCCCGAGACAACCCTGAACCCTATAGATCCCGTAAAGGAACCATTATAGTACCCTTTAAACCCAAAGGGTCCAAAGTACTGTTATGGGGGGGGTACTTTCCCAAATCATAATAGCAGTTCCCAGCATAGGAACCCTACATTCTACCATAAAAGTACTTTGGACCCTTTGGGAAAGGAACCCTAGGAATCCTAGGAAACACCCAGGCGCATTTCGACCTCAAAGCACTGAGATGCGGCTGTTGGCCAAGGCCACGGCGGGATGTTTCAGCGATGCAACGAGAGGGGGTTCCATTAAGGGATCTATAGGGGTTTGGGGTTTAAGGTTTCAGGGTTAGGGTTTCAGGGTCCAGAGCTTCAGGGTCTAGAGTAGGCCTGTACTCCCTAATTAAGTGCGTTATGCAAGGAGTCTCTATTGCGACTATATTGCCCTCAAAGAGTGCGGGGTCACATTTATCAACATCATGTAACCATACCCATGGGCTCCATAGTAGTTCCTTTTTGGGATTGCCTTGTCGGATTCTAAATATGAACCCCAAAAAAGAACTAATACGGTTGATGTCCCAGCTCGTTGCTGCAATCTTGTGTGGCCTGAAGCCATGCTCAACCATATTCCCCGCACTCTGCAAACACTCAAACCCGCTTCAGAATCTTAACCCTGGTTCGCTGAGTATCACTTTCCAATGTTCACTTTAAGTTCGAGTCTAGCTACCAACCCTAGACTAGACCCCGTAAGGTTTCCAACTTTTATATTTTTGGGGTTCACCAGTTCTATGGTTAGGACCCTGTTACTACAATCCTCCAAACCCCAATGCTCTGGAAGAGCGAGGAAGCCGCTTTAACAAAACCCTTGGTAGCCTTAAAGGAGCCACTAAGGGAGCCCGTAAAGATTCACATTCACACCTAAAGGAGCCCTACATCTATTACCCTCAAGCGCCGCAGGTGGCAAGAAACCCTCCAGGCCGCCTTCGAGCTCCGCTCTGCAGAGGTGCACCGGGGATGAAACGAAGGGATCAGGCCCTTCAGAGCCAAATACCGACCTGCGGCCATGATGAAATCTGACAATATGGGAGTAGTTGTAGCAAAGCGTTCCCCATGTCGGTTTACAATATTATATGATACTCCCTAGAACCCTCTTGTAAACACTGATGCCCTGAGATCAACATATAAAGCTTGGTTGGCCTCAATGTCGTGGGTGACGGGCGTTTAGCGGCTTAGCACAGTGAGTTTCAGGATTGAGGCGCAAATGTTTCAAGGAGAAAAACCATGAATTTTGTGGCCTGTAGTGTTGATGTAGGACTCAGGAATAAGATGAATTAAACAAAAACTATAGTATTGAGCTATGAGCTATACCTTAACCCGGAATGACCTACCTTTCTAAGGACATATATATATATATATATATAAGAAAATCCTAATAAGGAACCCTAAAAAGGTACTGTAGGTTATTCAGGGTTAAGGTAACTTTTATGTGGGGACGCGGGCACAAGCTACGTAAAGAAGCAGAGGCTGCGGGGTCCTGGGTTCGGACCTTCGGGCTCACGGTTACTCTGCAGAAGCTTTGCTAAAATTAACACCGAGGACCCGAAGGATCCAAGTATCATATGGTATACACTTAAAGGGTATTTTGGGGGTCTAAGTATCTACCATAATGATACTTGAACCCTTAACACCTAGTAACCTAGTAGTAGAGAAGGTAACCTTTAACCTCTTTTGGGTAGTAGAGTCCCTATATAATCCGACAAGTAGGAGCACCGATGCAGGGGAGTTCTAGCTTGCCAGACAGCCAGACTTTGGGGAAGCTTTCGACCAAGGAGGAGTTTTCGAGCTTTCCAGACCGCCAGATATAGAAGTAAAGAGCCGTAAACTTTATATAATGAGGGCTTATGATTCCCAAGCCGCATGTCGCTACAGTTGTGGCCCAAGCACTCAACCCAGCGCTAGTCAACCAGAACACAGGCAATGATCGGCGGCGAAGATCTGTCTGTCGCATCAGGAGCCTGGAAGGCCTGCTTCGGCAAGGACGGGAATTTCACAGTCATCGTGGAAGAGCCTTCTTTTGCCGCTTCCGACGATGTGAACGAGAAAGTTGAAACGGAGACAAAACGCACAGAATTCCAGGTATGGTCTTCCATTCTTTCCCATTACTCTCCAGTCTTTGAGAAGATGGTCGGCTGCGGTAACTATGCAGAGGCGCAGAAGTCGGAGGTCGTCATCCAAGACTTTTCGGCCAGGGCTGTTGAGCTCTTCCTGCGCTTCTTGTATACCGGCAGCGTCCGCAGCTGTGCGAGTGCTTTGCTGGAGGTGGCTGCAATGGCGGACAAGTACGAAGTCCGGGCGTTGCATGCCTTGTGCATAGGACTCGTTCGGAACGCCCTTCAACCCTGCACAGCTTGTGAGGTCTTCGAAAATGCAAACCGTTTCCACATGGATGACTTGCGATTGGAGGCACTCGAGCTTATCCTCACGAAGCCCGAAGATGCTTTGAAAACACGTCCAGCACTCCGGCCAGAGCTCTTGGAGGAAATCCTGGGCTCAGGCCTGCTGTGCATGTCAGGAGATGCCTTGAAAAAGATTCTTCAGAGCTGGGGCGACAAGGATGACCCCCTGCAGCCGATCATCAAAGCCTGGATCCCAAGTACACCCCTCCGAGCGGTCAGCTTGCGTGGTGAGCACACGACAAACGTGCTGCAATCGCTTTGGAAGAGCTACTGCGACGCTGGGAACAAGGGCACCTTCGTGGGCTACTGGGTTAACGTCTTGCTGGGGCCTGGGCAGTCGCAGACCTGCACACACGACAACCTTTCGTCGATGGCCTCCATGAATTCTAAGTTCACCTTCCAAAGGGGGTGGGTTCAGTGGTATCTTCCCTACTGCTCGGTTCATCTTCAGGGCTTCTCCCTCGCCGGAGGGCACTACACAACGATCTGTTCGGGCTCAACATCCTTCCGGATCTATGTGAAGTCCGACGAAGACGGCGCGACCTGGCACCTCGCCTACGAGTCGCACAGGAAGGTGGTCGGCGATGGCACTTTCCTGCCTTGCAAGAGGCCTCCAGGCCTCGTCAAGCACTTCAAGCTGGAAGTCCTGGAGGGTGAGCTTAGTAACGCTCGCTTGGAGATTCGGGGAATCTTGCAGACGTCCGTTTGAGATGGCGTTGATTTGCAGCTTATGGCCGAGATGCAGATGTGCTTGCTCATCTGACGGAACGGCTTACTTTGCGAGCAGCAGACGCATACTATTCCCCAGGGCTGCCTATTGAATCATGCTTTGATATCAACACTGTATTCTAAGCATAAAGGCCTCTCTATATTGGACGATTTGACATTTGACACGGTCTCGAGCTGGCGTGGCAGCAACAAGCCTGTCACCGGCAACAGTAGAAGCAAGCATGGCGTCGACAGCACTGCGAAGCGGTATAAACTCTGCCGAGCTGCAAATAAACAGTCAGTTCACATTTGTGCACATGATCTCCTGGCAAACCCTGGAAAGTTCCAAGCTGGTTATGCACGCACACACACACACAACACACAACACACACCACACACCACACCCCACACACCACACCCCACACGACACACAACACACAACACACAACACACAACACACACACACACTAGACCAGTAACTAGTTAGAGAGCTAAAAGTGCCAAAGGCCAAATCACCGAAGCCTACAAACAAACTTATAAGCTAACGACAATATCCGTGAAGCCTGAAACCTCCCAGCTACCCTAAACACCCCTACACTTCTAGACCCTAAACCCTAAACCCACCCTAAATGCCCGCCGTCCGGGCCCCTAAGCGCTGTGAGCTTGAAGCCCCAAGCTCCAAGGCCCAAAGCCTCTGAGCTCTCCGCTTGTCGCTGCAAGAACAGACCTCCCGGCCAGAGCCCAGAGACTCTTTCCAAGAGTGTCGATAAGATGCAGGCAAGAGCAATCTCGAAAAGACTCATAGTGAGTTTTGAGGGAGCCTATGTATGGAAGTAGTATGAATAGACCTCCCGGTTCATTTTGGAGTCAAGCCAGGCACCCGGCTCTGCAAGGTAGCCACCTGGGAAATGGTTTTTGGGGGAGCAAGTAAGAATACTCTGGGCTTTAATATTAAGAAAGGGGCCTAGATATTTACCAATACTATTTTTTGGGGGTGTCTTATTATATTTATAGCACAACGGGCCCCAAAACCCCATTCAAATCATTCAGGCCCCTATATCAGTGGGTTTGAGCTTCCAGTGAGCCGAAGATCGCTGAAGCTACGGTCCTGAATGGGAGTTTCCGAACATGGGGGACCCTAGTATGGTACCCTGAATAGTAGGATCCTTATTGTAGGACCCCAAAATCAGGTACCCTAATTTTTGGAAACTCCCGAATAGCATATCGATCGCTTGTCCAGTCTCGGCTTGTAGAACGCAGTGATGAATGCGGACAGGCATACATGCATATACACTCATCCACATATTGAATGTGCGTATGCACTTTCCTGCATCATGTAGGTGACTTGCCTTGTGGACCCCTGTTAATAAAGATTTTGAACAATGAACCAATGATACCGTTTAGCTTCGTGTCTTTTAGAAACCTGGAGCCTCTGGTGCAATACCTCGGGTGCCAGGACGGGCGCCGGTTGCCGGGGTGTGGACCTCGGGCCTTCAGAAGAGTGTTGAGAGGGTTTAGGGTTTAGGGTTCACGAGTGCTCGCTGGAATATTTTTTTACCGGACCTTTATTACAACAGCACTTCAACGAGTCGTTTAGAACATTATACTCATTTGGTTCTATGGGGTGCGTAAGGAGTATGAAGAGCTCAACCATCTGACCTGACTTACTGGGGGTTTGGCAGGTTATGTTCTTTGTTTGTCCATGTTGTGGGTCCGTGCACCCATGTGGTATACACTCTGGCCAAACTTTCAGACCAAAGCATACTACATAGGAACATGGAGCCCTGCTGTTGATGGACGGAATCTCAAGGGATACATCATAACTCTCAAGTTGCATATAAAAGGTTTCTGTTACGCTGGGGATGCCTTGCACCACAGTTGATGCGTCTGCAAAGATCCCTTATTCCTGGAGTGGCTTGCAGGGTTTCGAGGTTTAGTGCTCAGAGCAAAGTATACCAAACTCCAACAGCATACCAAGCGCTTAAGGCTTAACCCCTAAGCCACAGGAACCCTCAACCCCTAAACCCTAAACCCCGGAACCTAGACCTTGGGTTCCTGAATCCTGAACCCATAGACGAGGCTCTTGAACCCTAAGCTCAAGCCTCCATTACACTTGAGAAGGCCCTTCCCTTAGCTTGTATTATGATGGATCATTCTGGATCCTAGTATGAGAACCCTGATCGAGAAAAGGGTGGGGAATTGATGAGGGGTTTCCATTCCACTCGTTCCTCAACCTCGTAGTATTAACAATGGAAGCGGCTTAGCAAATATTAACCCAGACCTTCCAAAATCCCTTAATTCAGGAATATATCTTAAATCATTTTAAGGATTCTACTATAATTTAAGGTATATTCCTTTATTAAGGGGTTTTGGAAGGTCTGGGAAGTCTTGTAAAACGCTTGAAGAACCCTTAACAGCGGGATCCTGAAGTGCGACGGATTTGGGAAGAGTTGTGTTTGTTTATGTTGGATTTTGGACACTACACTGCACAAGGTTCTAAGATCACCACATCCCAACCTCGATCCTAAGCCGCCAAACCATCATCCAAGCTGTGCCGAGGCCCTAAAACCTAAAACCCTTAGCCCTGAAGGCCTAAACCCTATAGAAGCCTTAAGCTCCTAAACCACCTATAAACCCTGAAGCCCCGCACCCTACAGGAAGCCCTAAGCCCCTAAGCCCTGAAAGCCCAAACATGCCTTTCTCCCTCGCGAGCTCTTTGAGGCTGTAGGATTCCGATGGCCTGTCCTTAAGGACGAAATGAACCCTGAAAGGGTTTAAGGTTTATATACCATATAGGGATTTAGTGTATGTGCATGGGTATAGGGCACCTACTTTTAAGGGTCTTTGGGTCCTTCAGGGTGCGACTGCTTCAGACTGTGACTTGACAAGCCCAGGTTCTTTTCCAATCCCGCCCGGCGAGGTGACGCAGCTCTTGGCCGAGGCCTCGTCCGAAGTCGCGATGAGCCCCTAGTAAAGGGGCCTAATTAATTCTACATTTGTTTGGGGGGGGTGCTTATTATAGTATGGTATAACATGCCCCAAGACCCTATGCTAATTATCAAGGCCCCTGTAGTACTACCTGGCCCTCCGGGCCCATGAACCTCTCAAGGGCTTCCTCAAAAAGGGTTCCTTTCGAGGTGCCATCAGGGTGTAGGGTATTAGGGTGTAAGGGTCCATGTCCCCATATAGTATATACCTGGGTTTTAATGTACGAATATACAGGGATTACGTAATGACTTCAAGGCCAAAGTATAGACGACATGGATACATGGACCGCTGGGGTAGGAAACCCTAAAGCCGCTGTCTGCAGGATTCTATGCCGGGTTGGGTCTTCTATATGGGTGGTTGTCAAAATTCGGGCCCCTCTTTGGGTCCCTGTTACTATAATACGGCACCTAATATTTAGGGTGCCCAATAAGGGACCATAATTTTGACAACCACCCATATCACAGCACTGAAAAGCAGGGTTCCCTGTGCCCTGGACAGACCCTACAGTAGAAGCCCAAAAGTTGGAAACCCCATAGCCTCAATCATTAAGAGTAATGTGTAGGGAATGCCAGCACGATTTGGCCTTAATCCGGTTTCCAACTTTATGGAGTTTACTGTAAACGGTGGGAGAAGATGAACCTTGCTTGGTTGAGATGCTCACGGGGGGTTCGGAAGCTGTGACAGCTAGCTTCGCCTCTAGACCGGAGGAGTTAGGAACTATAAAGGGGTCTATATGCGCCAGCATCCGCGCACCCCCCCCCCCCTCCCCCCCCCATGGTAATCCCCCTCCCCCCCCCTGTGGTTCCTGTGGTTCCCCCCCCCCCTGTGGTTCCTCTTGGTTTTCCCCCTCCCTTTTGTGGTTCTTCTGGTTCCTGTCTCCCCCCTCCCCCCCTGTGGTTCCTGTGGTTCCTCCGCGTGGTTGCTGCTGCTTTGTTGTTGCTGCTGTTCTTCTTCTTGTTCTTGTTCTTGTTCTTGTTGTGTGGTCGCCCGGGTCGGGGGGGGGGGGTACCATTGGGGGGGGGGGGGGGGGGGGGGGGGGGGGGGGGGGGGGGGGGGGGGGGGGGTCGAGAACGCGGAGCGCGGGCGCATATAAGGGTTACTGTAAGGGATCTATAAGGGTACTATCATAATAGTGTAGGAACCTGATTAAGAAACCTTGTGCCTTTTGGGGTTCCTACTATGAAATCTACTATCGTGGGGTTGTAGGCCCAGGGTTTCTTAATCAGTCTCCTACATTAGGCTTTCAGGTTTGAGGGAATCGCAGTTTTGGGTTTCGGCTTCTGGTTCCGAGCGCTGAGCTGCAGAAAGCCGGCGAAGAGAAGGAATCCACGTCTAGAAATCTTAGAAATCTTCAGATTGCGCAGCCTTAGTCAGATCCTAGCTCCAGTTCTGTTTGAGAAGATTTCGGTTGTTGCAATCCTCCAGCACTGGTCCAGTCAGATCCTTTGCTAGCCAACGGTGATCGGTCTCAGACGACTTTGGTCATGTCGGTAAGAATTCGCGCCTACAGACTTCATTGCTTCTTGTATGTAGGGTTAGCTGAACTAATGACTCAGCAGCTATAACAGGCTACTGTTCTACATACTTTCGGGGTCCAGGTAGGGTGTAGGGGGGCGGGAGTATCTCCTAGACATGCTCCGGAATGTTGAGCCAGAGCCAGTCGAGCAGCATGCACCCCAGAGAAAATCCTATGCAAAGAAACTTAGGGCTCAGGGCTGCCGCGACATCTCTATCCCCTTCTATCACGAGGGTAGAACTTTTCATAAGGCTTGCAAGCGGCTTCCGTAACGGTCGGTCAGTATAGATATAGTCCCTATCAAGCTATATTGTGATACACCCAGCAAATTCATTATACTTGCCAAACCCCTCATATCAGCAATGATCGGCGGTGACAACCATTCTGTCGCAAATGATGCGTTGAAGGCCTGCTTCGGCAAGGACGGGAACTTCACGGTCATCGTTGAAGAGTCGTCTAAGGATGCTTCCTGCTGTGTGGATGCCACGGTGGATCTGGGGGTTCAGTCGGAGGCAAAGCGCAAGAAGCGCAAGCTCTCCCGGGACGAAGTGCTGGACAGTGGAGAGGAAACTGAGGCAACGGTAAAGCGCACGGAGTTCAAGGTCTGGTCTTCCATGCTTTCCCATTACTCTCCGGTCTTTGCGAAGATGGTTGGCTCCGATAATTATGCAGAGGCGCAGAAGTCGCAGGTTGTCATCCGAGACTTTTCGGCCCAGGCTGTTGAGGTGTTCCTGCGGTTCTTGTACATCGGGAGTGTCTGGGGCTCTGCCAGCACCTTGCTCGAGGTGGCTGCGCTGGCTGACAAGTATCAGGTTCAGGCGTTGCATGCATTGTGTTTGCAACTTGTTCGACAGGCTCTGAAACCTGAGCTGGCTTGCGAGGTCTTCGCTGCCGCCGACCGGCTATGCATGGATGACTTGCGAGTAGAGGCTCGCGATCTCATCTTCACCAAGGCTCAAGATGCCCTGAAAAAGCAGCCGGCTCTCAGGCGGGAGCTTTTGGAGGAGATCCTGGGCTCAGGCCTGTTGTGCATGTCGCAGGATGCTTTCAGAAAGACCCTCCAGGGCTGGGGCGAGAAGGAAGGCGTCCGTATCCTCGAGCCTATCATCAACACCCAAACGCGTGGTGAGCATGCGACCAATGTGCTGCAGTCGCTCTGGGATCGTTATGTCAAGGCCGGAAAAAAGGGTGCCTTCGTGGGATATTGGGTTGTGGTGCTGCTGGGGCCTGGGCAGTCCGGGATCTGCACTCACGAAACCCTCCTCTCGATGGCGCACATGGCCAATCAAGCCTTCACCTTCCACAAAGGATGGGTACAGTGGTATCTTCCCTATGCGAGGGTTTATCTTCAGGGCTTCTCTTTCAGTAGCGGTTGCCCGGTCACGCACAATGGCGCAACATCTTTCCGGATCTGGTGCTCCGAAGACAGCGCGACCTGGCACCTTGCTTACGCGTCGACCAGGACGCAGATCGCAAGTTACACTTTCCTGGCTTGCAGGAGACCTCCGAGCCTGGTGAAGTGGTTCAAGCTCGAAGTCCTGGAGGGCGTGCTTGCTAACACCAGGTTGTTCATCCACGGCATTTTGCAGACGTCCGTCTGAAGCGGCCTCCTGCCGCAGATCGGAAGGCAAAGACTTGGCCTTGAGTTCCGTTGGGCTGCAACGTCTAGGACTTGCAGGTGGGATACAACAACGGTTTTATGTGATACATAAGTGTGATGACATCTGAGAGTATGCTCCTGAAGCAGCTGTGACAGCAACAAGCCTGTCACATTCGTTATGACACTTGCAGCAAGTCGAAAAAAATCTCGGCTGAGCAGGCTTTGACCTCTGAGCTGACACCCAGTCAAGGTCGAAAGTCGTATTCCGGCTGCTCAACAGGTAGTACCCGAAACAAGCCCTGCAAGAGCAGCCGGAGACAGAAGCTTTTCCCAAGGATGTGCGAGAGCCACAGGCACCTGCTGAGACCCGACTGTGCCGTCAACTTCCAGGCTTGAAGCACTCATTACTGCACACACGAAATCGTGAGCCATGTATATGCCCATGTCCCCTAAACTCTAAATCCCATATCCTAAGCCGCCGGCCAGGGCGAACACTGCCGCCCGCGACCGGACCTCCCACACAGTGGGTTATGGCACGAACCTCAGTTCAGGGATATGAAACCGTATCTTATACACTAGGACCCTTAACGGAACCCGGCAAGGCACCCACCCTAAACCCTTAAATTCCTCGAAAGGAACCCTGAAACCCCTTAAAGGCACCCCAAACCCTTCAATTCAGGTCTGAGCAAGTCCTTGTTGTCGCTCCTTCGTTCCGAACGCAGGGCTTTTCAAAGCAAGAGGTTTACGGTTCGTAAGGGTTTGGGGTTTAGGGTTTAGAGTTCGTTAGGGCTCTTGGGGTTTAGGGTTGTAGGTTTAGAGTTCGTTAGGGTTCGTTTTGGTTTGGGGTTTAGGGTTTAGGGGTAGGATTGCAGGATGCTAGAAGGGCTTTGTGGTTGCAAGGGGGCTTTGTTTATACTCAAGGGTTTTATAAGGCCTAACTAACCGAGATTAGAAGGGGCTAGTACATGCACACATCCCCTCAGATCTGTCTCTAGTTCTAAAATATCTACCGCATAACCCTGTCCAGACGAGCAAGGCCCCCATATGATCCTACGAACCCAGTTGCTTTTGCAGTAGGTTACCGGGTTATGGGCACACGAAGGTTTCTGTAGAGTCCAAGGACGCAGTAACCCTTTAAGTCGGCAAAGCTGGATTCCTATATAGGTCGATTAGACTAGCTGGCCAGGGTTGGTGGGTTTGACTTTTTTTATACGGTTTAGAGACGGCTTGAGTGGAGGCCCATCAGGTTGTTTGGGGGGTGATTGGATGATAGGATTCGTTGGTGAGGGGTTTGGCGGGAGGTTCATGACCCAAATGTTCCGATATTCTTTAGTTAGTTAAGGGACATACATTCAAACATGATAAGATCTTCAACCTGAATTAGGGAGTATGCAGTAGCTAGGACATATTGGAAGGTAGTATTTCATCGTGTTGGCTTAGGACCCTAGGCCCCGAGACACTCATGAGCTGATGGAACAGCAAGCACGGTGATGCTACAACAGAACCGTAGCAAGCTAATTAATGGCCATCATGCAAACTCAGCCCCAAACCCCCAAGCCCCAAAGCCCTAAACCCCCCATGCCTCCACCTTACGTTTACGGCTTACGGGAAGTTTGGGGTTTAGGGCCTCAGGGTATGGGGGTGTACTGTACTTGAGTTGGACTATGTGGCTATCAGGGCTCCTGCATTTTCAGTGCTTCTTCAAGCTTCTAGAAGCATAGGGTATTCTGGGATTAACAACGCTTGAAGGGCCCATGCACCTACGGAGTATAGATGTCTATTTTATATAGTTCAACCCTGAACCGGTTCAATGGCCAAAGCGCATTGGCACATGAACCCTGAGGTTATCGATTAATCCAAGCAAGCCTTACGCAGAGACCTGTCATCTCTTTGTGTGGTTCTTGCGTTGTGCGGAAGGTTTCAGTCAGAAGAACTTCGTGCGAAGCCTTGCACCTGATACCCAAATCTCAAACACAATCTCCCCGCAAGCAGAGATATTCGCTGCAAACCCTAAGCCCCAAGGCCACACCCTAAACCCTAACCCTGAACCCGAAACCCTGAACAGAAGCCTGACAATCCAGGAGTCCCATGACCCATGCCGTTGGCCTCTGAAGTCCCCAGGCTCGCGTGGCGTTGGAACCTCCCAGACCTTCCAAAATCCCTTAATTAAGGAATATACCTTAAGATTATAGTAGGATCCTTAATATGATTTAAGGTATATTCCTTAATTAAGGGATATTGGACTCTCTGGGGTTTTGGGGCTTAGAGCTCTTTAAAGGGGATTTTAGGGTTTAGGGTTTAAGGAGTTTTGGAATGTCTGGGCTAAGCTTCGAATTCTATCCGGCAGAGACCTGCGATCGATTGGAGGGGTCATAATACTTAGCCTTACTACTATTTGCTTAAGAACCCCCCCAAAAAAATGAAAAGTCATAATCCCTATATTATCCCTATAAGGAATATATCTATATTTTTTTTTGGGGGGTCGGGGGTTCTTAAGCAAATAGTAGCTTACTATTCTTTGTTCTTTACATTGAAAGGTTAATCACTTCGGGCGCAGGGCGTATAGGTGTACAGGTTTCAGCGTTCAGGGCTTACACGTCAGGGTTTGGGCTCTATAGGACCTAGAGCTTGCGGCTTTCGTTCTGCTTGTTTTCTGCTGAGCATCTGGGAGAGCTGGCGTCTTTTCAGGTGTAGCTACAAGGTTTTGAGCAAACAGGGGGGAGTCTGAATCCGGTTCGTGGTGTACTTATCCCGCAGGTGCTTTCTCAACATCCGCATCTTCAGATGCTGCTGACGGCCAAGGCCAAAACTATGATCGCATGTTGCTCTGCCCCTACCGTCCACACACCGAAAGTGATGCCACCAACGGCCTGTCTTTCAGAGCACAGCCCTGTGTGGGTACCATTTGGGGTTCGTAGTCACCGCGTTTTCGGGAAGGATGTAAGGAACATACCCTAAATTATGATAGGATCCCTCATACGATTTACGGTACCTTCCTGTTTAAGGGATGTTGCCAGATCTTGGTTTGAGCCGAGCTCGCGGCGGTAGCGGTTTCCATTTCAGCTTCGTCGGTAAGGCGCTCGATGGTTGGTTTCGTACTGGGTTTACTCAAAGTGGTGTTTGGGGGTTGATCGAGCTGGGGTCGTGGTCTCTATCTCGCTTCATGGGCTTCAGTTCGATCATTGATTTTGGTGTTTGTTTTGGGGCAGGAGAACACATAATTCTGCACCTTTGGTCCAGGCTTGTCATACGTCTTAGGGTGCTTGCAGGCCGCTTGCCCAAATACAAGGTCAGGCTGGGCAGGTGAGTTTCGGGCTTCGCAGGTGTGTGTGTGTGTGTATATATATATATATATATACACGTACATACATACGTACATACATACGTACATACATACATACACACACACAGATAGATCTCTATATATATCTATATATATATATATATATATATATATATATTGCACGGATTAGAGGAATGCCTCCGTCAAAGTTAATTGGAAAGCTGCATATTCTTGCATCTCTTTTGTTTGTGTATCTTTCACTGTTCCTGGTTTGCTTTGCTCATGAGCTTGGGTCTGGAGGCGTTCCGGTAAAAGGTTTGACGCTGCTGCACATGTCCACATGACCGGCAACCTCTTGTGATGTTAAATATTTTTTTTTTTTTTTTTCCCGAGCTCGAGATTCTGTAGCTACAGCAACCCAGCTTCTTGAATCATGGCTGAGACAGCAGAGGATCTAGCTTCCCTTTCTTGCGTTTTGGCAGCATGCTTCGGAACGGACGGCAACTTCACGGTCATTGTAGAAGAGCATTCGGCAGACATGCTTGAGAGTTCAAAGGAGGTTGAGGCGAGCGTGAAGCGCACGGAGTTCATGGTGTGGTCTTCTCTGCTTGCCCGGTGGTCTCCCGTCTTTGAGAAGATGGTAGGGTCGGACAACTATGCCGAATCGCAAAAGTCGCAGGTTGTCATCCAAGACTTCTCGGCCTCTGCTGTCGAGATCTTCCTGCGCTTCTTGTACTCCGGAAGCGTCCGGGGCTCCATCCCAGCTCTGGTGGAGGTGGCTGCACTGGCAGACAAGTATCAGGTTGAGGCCTTGCCACCTCTGTGCTTGCGTCTTGTGCGGAAGGCGCTGAAGCCGGAGGTCGCCTGCGAGGTCTTTGCTTTAGCAGACCGCTTTCACGTGGCTGAGATTCGCGCAGAGGCGCTCGATTGCATCTTCACCAAGCCTGAAGAAGCGTTGAAAGAGCGTCCGGCACTCCGGCCGGAGCTTTTGAAGGAGATTCTCAGCTCAGGGCTGTTGTGTATCGAAGCAGATGCCCTCAAAGAGATCTTCCAGAGCTGGCGAACGAAGGAAGGCGATTCCCTGGAATCGGTCAGTAACATCGGGCCAAGGAATGAGCACTCCTATGACGTGTTGCACACACTCAGGAAGCGCTACGAAAACGCCGGGAACAAGGGTGTCTTTTTGGGTGCTTGGGTGGTGGTGATCCTGGGACCCGGGCAGGGAGAAGCCTGCACCTCGGAACAGCTCAACGTGATAGCCAACAATGCCGGTCGTTTCACCGTCAGCGAAGGGTGGGTGCAGTGGCTGCTTCCCCATTCCTGGGTTCATCTTCAGGGCTTTGCCATCAAAGAATACGACCGCGACGAGGTAAAACCAACCTCAGCATCCTTCCGGTTCTGGTGTTCCGAAGACTGCGCGACGTGGCACCTCGCCTACGAGTCGCACAAGCCGGAGATCAGTTACGGCACTTTCCTGCCTTGCAAGAGACCTCCGGGCTTGGTGAAGTCGTTCAAGCTGGAAGTCCTGGAAGGTGAGCTCTCGGACTTTTACTTCGACATCCATGGCATTTTGCAGACGTCCGTCTGAAGTGGCCTTCTTCCGCAGATCGGAAGGCAGAAATTAAGTTGTCTCCGCCTAGCTGGTCTGAGTCGAAAACACAGTGTGGCCGAGGCAATCCAGGAAAGCATGCATCAGACATAGGAAGCTTTATAGGGCAGGTATTGTACACGGAGTTGTGGCAGCAAGAAGCCTGTCACTTTCCTTCTCGACGCACTTGCAGCAACGCGAGAAAAGTAGCTCACTGGTCGGCGTGCACTAGGCCTTCCAAGCCTGAAAACGAGCAGCATATGCCTTGTGAGCTGTCGCACTTCCTAACTTCAAAGCAAGCAGTCGGTTGTTCGGACCCAAGAAAAACGGTTCTATCCCAGCAAGCGGCATGCACCCAAAACTTCGGCTTGGAGCCTTGGAAGACTGTGCCCCACGTCAGGCTGTAGTCGTAGGGCTTTTGTTCCTGAAACTCAACTTCCTTCCCGGATTCTATCGGATCCTACTGCGGGGTTGCGTTAAGTCGTCCCGCCCTGTGTGAAGTCATCCCTCTTGAGCGTGGACATGGGGATAAGCATATCCTAGCCCTATCGAGTTAATGAGGCAATATTAATTCGTAGATGGGTTTTAGCGCCTGTTCGTGATCTCGTCGCCAGGTTTATCCCTGCATGTAGATCGGGATCTAGATCTCCAACGTTCGAAATCGTCACTGCCACTCCTCCTCCTACCTGGTGCTACTACCACGACTACCACTACTACTACCACCAGCCACCCCCCCCTTCCAACCACCCCTCCCTGCGTTTAGATGGGGTCTAGCAGTGTAATCGTGGAGTTTTGGGCACAACGGGCACTGGTGCTCCCGGCTAGAAAGCGGAAATCTTGGGGTGCTGACCAGTCATTCTTTGTCACAAAGAGTCTTAACAGAGGGGGGGTCTCGGTGAGCCTGATACTCGAATCTGACTTGAGTCTCCCTCTTGTACTGCTGTTTGTGTTGAGCGGCCCAAGACCCTATTCTAACGATGCAGGCGCGTATGTCATACTATTAGACCTTAAAGCCCTGAAGCCCAAACACCCTATGCTAGGGCCGAGCGTAGCTGCAGCCAAGGCCGCCAAGGACGTCCTCGTAGCAAGCGCTGCGATATAGGAGCCTCCAACGTGTCTTACCATATTGTACTCCTGTTTTGGAATGAAGGCCCGGGCGAGCATTGCAGCCAATGGCATGGACCTCGGACATGCCCGTGTTTCAGCGTGTGCTGCGTTCGTCGTAGCAATTTGTTGTACTTCCGGGGCATGTGTTCGTGGTTTCACGTCTTGATGCAATTGTAGATTCTGATGTCTTTGCAATTGGGGTAGTGCAAGGCTGAAGCGCACGGAAGAGCGGATTGCATAGTTGAGATTTTGGACAGGGTGGAGAAGGGTTTCGGATCAGACTTGGGCTTGGCGAGTTTCCGTCTAACGGAGGTTCCAGGGCTCATTTGCCGGTTTGACTTTTACTGCTTTGCGGAACGGACACAACTGATGGCGATGCCGTTCTTTCGGCCTGATCCCTTCAGCCCCAAGCTCTTGAACTTGATGGTCCTGAGGTTTTCAGGGGCTACCTAAACTCCTAACAAGCCCACCAAACCCACATTGCTTTTTGTTTCTGGTGTGTGTCGTGGGTCTCTATCCTATAATGTTCTTTTATTTTAGATGCCCATAGAAATCTTAGGTTGTCGGGTGTCGAGGTAAGGCTTAAAAAGACCTCCTGGCGAAGCATGGCTTTTGTTGCTCGGGACTTGGAGAGTGCGCTGGCTGGGGTTATTCAAGATTCCGAGTTCTCAGTTGCGTTGTAGTTTTGGGCTGAACGGCTTTATAGTTCGCCTTGTACTCGGCTTTTTGGACTGCCGAGCTCTGCAGCCACGGCTCTCGCTCACCATCTTCGCGAGATGGTATTGATCATCCGTGTTGCCTTTCTCCTCTCTTCCCGGCCGCAGGTGCTCTTTTCGCGAGAGCATCTTGGAGACGTTGCGGAGTCAGGCCGCAGTTCTCCCTTTCCTCCAAAATTCTAAACTGTAAATCCCGGCGGTCCGGGTAACGGGGATGTGAATCCTGAAGCTACGATGAGCAGCCTCTTCGGAGTCTCAGGGCTCGTGGGATTTAGGTTTGGGTTTAAATTTAAGGTTCAGGAAGTTCAGGAGTTGTGGGCTTTGGGCATAGGCTTGGATTTCAATAGCTTGTGGACGTTTCGAAGGTAAGCAGCGACAGCCATCCGTAGACTTCGAACTCTAAAGGTGCAAATGGTGCGGAAAGACCCTAAACCATAAACCTCAGACCGTACAACCGATCTTATAATCCGCTTAACCTGAGCCTCCAGTGCGGAACCCCCAAACCCTAAACCCTCAGAGTTTTGGGTTTATTCAGTCTGGCCATGACCTTCTTCTGTTTCAGGTTTCAGGCTCCTAGAGTCTGCCGAAGACGCAATAGCAGGACTCTTGAAGGATCATTATATAGGATTCTATATAGGGTTTAGGTTTAAGGGCTTATGGTAACTATAGCCTAAAAGTAGCCATTTACTTGTAGCTCCATTCATGCGCCACTTATTCGCCTGGGCCTATATACAGCCGACGCCGAGGGTTTCGGGTTTAGGGATGTCTTGGGGTGTGGGGAAATGTTATGGGTTCACCTTTAACCTGCCCAAACCTGCTTTGTTGTAGGATCCCTAGAAATTCTCGATGAAGGCTTTAAGGAGAACCTAAAGAATTATGGTAGCCCTAAAGCCCAAACCCTAGAAGCCCTAAACCCGAAACTATCCTAGTTTAAGGTCGGGTTTAGGTTTAGGTAAACGGTCTATAGGGTTTGGGACCCTGCATTGCATCCTGTCCTTTCGCCTTCACTTTGCAAGGACGCTCACGTGAGGATGGAGGGTGTTCGGGGTATGGCGAGACGCATGAATCCCTTGTATAGCCTTTCTATGATTATGAAATATTATGAAGAGCCTATTCGAATCATTACTCGAGCCCCAATCCTGAACAAGTCCGCTCTGGTTTCTGTAGCTTGATAGTCAGGTGCAGATGCATCATTGCCGTGACAGTCCTCACTCGAAGGCCTACTTAGAGACTTAAAACAGACTTGTGGGATCTGCAAAGCCTTCACTCTGTCCGACATGCCAAGCCCCCGCACAGGCGGAGCAGCAGGGGCCACGTTTGCAGCGTTCCTAAGGCCTTTGTGTGTGCGCGCATGGCGGCTGTGTAGAACGGTACGAAAAATTGGTCACAGCAGTATTCTGTAAGTACTTTCCGCATTCTGCGTCCTCATTGCGACGCAAAAACCAGGCGAGGCTTGCATCGCACTGCGCTTATCATTGGATTAAGTTGACTTCAGGCTGGCAGCTTGGGTCAACAGCGTTGGATGCGTGATTTCCGGTCCGTCAGGTGATGCATGAGAAGGGTTAGTAGAAGCCTCCGCTAAGAGGCGTCCTTGTGATCCGGGATGTCTCAGCTCGAGATTCTCTAGCAACAAACGGCGCTCCCAGCTTCTGGAGAGCCAGCAAAGTCATGGCTGAGAGTGCGAAGGATCTGGCTGCTCTCTCACGTGTGTTGTCGGCATGCTTCGGCGAGGGCGGCGACTTCACGGTCATCGTCGAAGACTTCTCGGGTGGTACTGCGTGGGATGGTAAGGTTCAGGCGGAGGCAAAGCGCAAGAAGCGCAAGCACTCTGGGGACAGGCTGGACAGTGCGAAGGACGCCGCGGTAATGGTACAACGCACGGAGTTCAGGGTGTGGTCTTCCCTCCTTGCGAAGTGGTCTCCCGTCTTTGAGAAGATGGTAGGGTCGGACAACTATGCCGAGTCGCAGAAGTCGCAGGTCGTCATCCGAGACTTCTCGGCCACTGCGGTCGAGATCTTCCTGCGCTTCATGTACTCTGGGAGTGTCGCGGGCCCCGTCACAGCTCTGGTGGAGGTGGCTGCACTGGCAGACAAGTATCAGGTTGAGGAGTTGTGTCCTTTGTGCTTGCGTCTTGTACGGAAGGCGCTGCCGGCACATCCTCAGGTTGCCTGCGAGGTCTTGGCTGTCGCAGACCGCTTTCATGTGGCTGAAATGCAAGCAAATGCTCTTGATGTCATCTTCACCCAGCCTAAGAAGACCCTTCTCAAGCGTCCGGCTCTCCGGCAGGAGCTCTTGGAGGAGATTCTGGGCTCAGGGCTGCTGTGTATCGAAGCGGATGCCCTGAAGGAGATTCTCCGGAGCTGGGGTACAAAGGATTGCGATTCCTTGGAATCGCTCATTAACATCCGGGCAAGTAGTCAGCACTCCGATGACGTGTTGTTCACGCTCTTGAATCGCTACGAAAAGGCCGGGAAGAAGGGCGTCTTTTTGGGTGCTTGGGTGGTGGTGAGCCTGGGACCTGGGCAGGGAGAAGCTTACACGTTGGAGCAACTCAACGAGACAGCCAGCAATGAACAGCGTTTCACCGTCAACGAAGGATGGGTGCAGTGGCTGCTACCGCATACCTGGGTTCATCTTCAAGGCTTTTCCTTCGAAGACCAAGCCTGCGCGGACAACGACGAGGAAAAACTAACCTCAGCATCCTTCCGGATCTGGTGTTCCGAAGACTGCGCGACGTGGCACCTCGCCTACGAGTCGCAAGAGCAGGAAATCAGCTATCGCACTTTCCTGCCTTGCAAGAGACCTCCGGGCTTGGTGAAGTCGTTCAAGCTGGAAGTCCTGGAAGGTGAGCTCTCGCACATTTACTTCAACATCCATGGCATTTTGCAGACGTCCGTTTGAAGTGGCCTTCTTCCGCAGATCGGAAGGCAGAAATCAAGTTGTCTCCGCCTAGCTGGTCTAAGTCGAAAACACAGTGTGGCCGAGGCAATCCATGGAAGCATGCATCAGACATATAGGAAAGGTTTTGTACACAGAGTTGTGGCAGCAACAAGCCTGTCACTCTCCTTCTCGACGCAACTGCAGCAGCGCGAGAAAAGTAGCTCACTGGTCGGTATGCACTAGGCCTTCAACCCCTTAAGAAGAGCAGCCTATGCCTTGTGAGCTGTCGCACTTCCTAACTTCAAAGCAAGCAGTCGGTTGTTCGGACCCATGAAAGAACGGTTCTATCCCAGCAAGCAGCATGCACCCAAAAGAGAGTCCTTCGGCTTGGAGCCTTGGACGACTGTGGTCGTAGGGCTCTCGTTCCTGAAGTTCAACTTCCTCCCCGATTCTATCGGATTCTAGCATCTTTGAGCCGAAAAGTCCCGTCGAAGCGTCCAGTCACTCCCGAAACCCTAAATCGTGGCCGCCCTTGAACCGAAAACGAGCTCCTGCCAGGCCGAGCAATGCAGCCCAGCCGCCTGGATCTCGGATGCACACCTCAGTTCAGCCGAGTTGTTATACCGTAATCATGAATAGGGTTATTATGTGGGTTTGTTGCTGCTTTTCTTGCCGAGGCCGCATAAAAGAGCCAGGGGTGCATAGAGTGGATAGTTTCAGGGAGAATATCGGTTGATATTGTCAGGCAGGGCTCGGCGTTTCGGGGCAGGCTGGGAGATGAATGACTCTGGTTTGTTTTGGCCAGAGGATCGAGTCTTGGCTCCTGTTGTGTCTGGGGATTAGGGCTATGCTTCATGGATTTGCGAAGCAAGATGAGCAAGAAGGTTCTGATAATGGCACCCGTTTGCCGACATGCCCGAAGTTGCATCGTCAGGTATAGTGATCAGAATGCTCGTCCTTCAAGCCACCGAACCCGAAGGCATTTAGTGGTTCAATCAGCTTCGGTTTCAGTTCGAGGTGATTAGGTTTTGGGGATTGGCGTTGATTTGGTGTTCATAGGGTTTTTTGTGGCTTCGTGGGGGGTCATACCGGAGTGGAATGTCAAAGAGGTTGGAGGGCCGTCGGCAACCAACATTTGGCCCGTAGGGTATGGTATGCACACTGAGAGGAGGATCAATTGGGTTGAGGGTTCAAGGTTTGCCTAGACCCCCCAACTACCCTTTATTGTAGTCCCGAATTACCTCTTAGTGAGAAATACGGCTGATGGTGGAAATCCTGCATTACCTATAATAAGGAATATATGGGAATTATGGTATATTCCTTGTTATGGGTCATGCAGGATTTTGTCCATCAGCAGTATTAGAGCCCTTTAAAGGGTACTTGGGGGGTGCTGGTGCGGCTTAGCCCTTCGGCTTCGGGGCCTTAGGTTTACCCCTTCCCCAGTCTAGCATGGGCTGAGGGTCCTGGCGTGTTTCGAGAGTTTGGCGGAGTTGGGTGTTGGGGTGCGAGCATTAGGTGTATAATATGTTTAGGGTTTATAGGGCTTCACCTTAATTTAGGGCTTAGGGTTCAGGGTCTTAGGGTTTACGGTTTAGGGGTTTAGGGTTTAGGGTCTTGCCTAGAGTGTCCATTGTAGTTCTTTTTTTTGGTTAACCAGTTTTATGGTTAGGATCCTATAATAGCGATTTTGCGGAACTACAATGGAGACTATAGGGAGCATTATGTCAGGCTGTGTTTGGCCGTTCATTCTCTCGCCTACCATTTCCCTAAACCCGAAATCTAAAAAACCCTAGCCCTCGTCCCTGAATCCAAACCCGACCCCTAAGCAGCTAAACCTCTTGCGTCCCGTATTGTTGGTCTTGGTTCCCACAGCTTCCAACAGACATCTGTCGTAAGCCGGCAGTGTTTGACCTCTGTGGTCCTACACTATACAGATTCGCCCTGAATACTGTTGATGATATTCATCCCGCATGACCCATAATATTCCATAATTCCCCATATATATCCTTATTGTGGGTAATGCAGGATTTATATCATCAGCCGTACCTAAAGGGCCCTGCATCTCGAACAGCCTAGACCTCCGACTCCAAAAAGTACGAGATGCAAACTCGAACCTGAAGCCCAAAATCTCGAAGCCCCGAACCCCACGCGCACAGCCTCCAAACTCCCCTAAACCCTAAACCCTAAACCCTAAACCCTTAACCCTTAAACCCTAAACCCTAAACCCTTAAACCCTAAACCCTAAACCCTTAAACCCTAAACCTTAAACCCTAAACCCTAAACCTGAAACCCTAAACCCTAAACCCTTAAACCCTAAACCCTAAACCCTTAAACCCTAAACCCTAAACCATTAAACCAGGTGCTTCCTCAGCACAGATGTTGCTGACGACGAAGGCCAGAGGTCTGATCATTATGGGCTTTAGAGTTGAGGGTTTATAAGGTTGACCTTAACCCTGAATAACCTACCTTTTAAATTTTAGGGTTCCTTATTAGAAGTTCTTTTTATAAGTCCTTAAACATGTAGGTTCTTCGGGGTTAAGGTATAAGGTATATGCAACCCGATCCGCCCCAAAACCTCGGGTAGGCTTTTTTTCCGAGGACCACGACTGGCCAAGAGGGGCTTCGTTTGAGGTTCTGAGTGGGAGTTTCCGAAAATTAGGAGTCCCTTGTTTTGGAGTCCATATAATTAGGCCCCTACTATCTATTTAGAGTACAAAATTAAGGGTCCCCTATTCTTCGCAAACTCCCAAGTCAGTTCACGATCATGTGAACCACATTTCTGGGGAGGAAATGAAAGGCAGATCTTCTCAGCCGTGGCGTCGATTTCTCTGGGCTAGTGGCTTCTGTTTCGGTTTCCTTGGGCGTGGAAGGTGTTCGATGATGAATAGCGGCTGTTTTTGTCGGTTTCATCGGCACGCTCAGGTGTTCGACTTCTTGGTTATGTGCCGGGTGTTTATGACAACCAGGCTTTGGTTTAAAAGTAGGCTTCCGACACGGAGCTTGGGTTCAACATGTAACTTGGAGGGGGGCGGAGGTATAAGGCTTGTAGTAGAAAGCTTCCAGCGAGGGGCATCACAAAAAACAATGTTCAGGAAACGCAGATCTTAAATTGTGTGTTTTGGTTTAATAGATACCTATAGTCTCCATTGTAGTTCCTTTTTTGGGTTAACCAGCAGTGTTATGGTTAGGATCCTAAAATAGAGATTTTGGTTAACCAAAAAAGGAACTACAATGGAGACTTTTAGTAATATCTGATTTGATTGCTCAGCTTCGAGTTGAAGTAGTTCCGGTGAATGGTTTGACGGTACTACACACGTCCACGTCACCGGTTACGACTTTTCAGCTAGATTTTGCCGTTGCGCAATTCCTGAGCTCGAGATTCTCTTGCAACAGTAGTCCTGCTTCATTTCGAATCATGGCTGAGACGGCGGAGGATCTGACTTCTCTCAGTGGCGTGCTGGCAGCGTGCTTCGGCACTTGCGGCAACTTTACGGTCATTGTAGAAGAGCATTCGGCAGACATGCTCGAGAGTTCAGAGGAGGTTGAGGCGGGTGTCAAGCGCACGCAGTTCAAGGTATGGTCTTTTCTGCTTGCCCATTGGTCTCCCGTCTTTGAGAAGATGATAGGTTCGGACGACTACGCCGAGTCGCAGAAGTCGCAGGTCGTTATCCAAGACTTCTCCGCCTGCGCTGTCGAGATCTTCCTGCGCTTCTTGTACTCTGGGAGAATCGGGGGCTCCATCCCTGCTCTGGTGGAGGTAGCTGCACTGGCAGACAAGTATCAGGTTGAAGCATTGCCTCCGCTGTGCTTGCGTCTTGTGCGGAAGGCGCTCACACCTCAGGTAGCCTGCGAGGTCTTTGCTTTAGCAGACCGCTTTCACGTGGCTCAGATGCGAACGGAGGCACTCGATCTCGTCTTCACCAACCCTCAAGAAGCGCTGAAAGAGCGTCCCGCACTCCGACACGATCTTTTGGAGGAGATCTTGGGCTCAGGCCTGCTGTGCATATCAGAAGATGCTCTCAAAGAGATTCTTCGACACTGGGGCACCGAGGACGGAGACCCGCTGGAATCGATCATCAACCTCCGAACACAGAGTTTTCACACAAGTGATGCACTGTACAGACTCTGGGAGCGCTACATAAAAGCCGGGAGGGAAGGCGTCTTTGTGGACTCGTGGGTGGCGGTGATCCTGGAGCAGCCGGAGGCCTTCGTCAGGGAAGCTCTCGAAGGGATAGCCTCGAATTCCGTGCGACTCACCCTCCGAGAAGGGTGGGCGCAATGGCGTCTTCCCCATCATGCCTCGGTTCATCTTCAGGGATTCTCCTTCACACTAGGAGGAAACATATCGGCCGCGACATCCTTCCGGATATGGTGCTCCGCTGACGGAGCCTCCTGGCACCTCTCCTACGAGTCGAACAAGAAGGAGATCAAGGGTGGCAGCTTCCTGCCTTGCAAGAGACCGCCGAGCCTGGTGAAGTGCTTCAAGCTGGAAGTCCTGGAAGGGGAGCTTGCAGACTTTTACTTCAACATACATGGCATTTTGCAGACATCCGTCTGAAGTGGCCTTCCGAGGGAGATCGGAGGAGGCAGAGCTCAAGTTGTGTTCTGTCTGTTGGGTTTTTGAGTTTCATGGAATGTAGAAGATATGGCGGTAGGACATTTTCCAGAGAAGGGCAAGAAGCCTGTCGCCTTCTGTAGGATATGGTCGCACATCGTGGAAGAGAACATTCAGCCGAGCGAGAGGGCTGGCAGCAGCAGATGCCCAGAGAGCCCAATACCCCTTAACTACTTGGAAGGGCAGGGGACTTAGTAAGTAGGTTATAAGTAGGGTTATAATTGGGGTAACTCCATTTAGGGTACTTATAGCTCTATGTATAACCTACTTACTAAATCCCCTGCCCTTCCAAGTAAGAAATATCGCTTAAATCATATAGAGCCCTTATAGATCCCTTTAAGGAGCCCTTTGAGCAACCCTACTATTCCTTAACTAAGGGGTATTGGGCTCTCTGCGTGGCGACTGAAGTTTGCAGGTCTTTTGGCTCAGTTTCCGAAGGGCCTACAGTCCAAACCAAACACCTTCTTCCCAGACCCCCCTAATTTAAGGGAAGTATAATTACCTATTGTACTATTTTGGTGGTGGTTCCGAAAAAATATTTGCAGTATATATAATGGGCCCCAAATCCCTATTCTAGTTATGACGGCCCCTATATTCGGAGCCTCCAACAGCCGTGTCTTACCATATGTATTACTATTTTACAATTAAGTCCCAATTTAAACCATCCATCTTTTGGTATTCCATTGAGTGATCCCAAGTTGCCCATGTAGCAAACGTAATCTACAGTCTACTCCACAAACTACTGGCTTCATGGCCGGCTAGTGCTCTCATTGGCATGACCCTGTAATCGTTTTCCTGTGCCGCTGCCAGGGCGAGCATTGCAGCCAGATGCCTGGACCTTGGACGCGCCCCGTGTTCCAAAGTGTCCTTCGCTTCGTTCGTGGCAGTGTTTATGGTTTCAGTTTCACGTTCAATTTGGGTACTGTGAGGCTGAAGCATAAGCACAGTACGGAAGGATGTAGTGAATGGTTGAGTTGAGGCTTTTGCTGAGGGTTCGCTGATCTGATCGGGCTCGGCGTCTTGGATGGAGTCTCACTTAGGGTGGAATCCAGTTTGCAGCTCGTTGAGTGGAAACTTTGAATTTTTTTGTGGTTGTACAAGGTGTAAGGCCCTAGATGCAATGAGCGTGAAAGCTGTGCCATGGTTGGGAAAAACTTTAGATGTTTAAGGGTACTTAAACCCAATAAGGAACAAAATTCTACGCTTTAATATTATCCCGACAATGAACTAGAAAGCATCGTAAACAAGTGCCAAACAACCACCTTGAAATCCCAAAGCCAAGAAAACTGCAGAAATGGTAAAGCCTGAATTGTAGACCCTATGACATCAATTGTAAACCCTACCAAGACCGACATGGCATACCCAATACTGCAGGCAGCGGTTTCGGGTTTAGCATTTAGGACGAAGATTTATCGAAATCCCTTTGTCCTTGGAAGCAAATAGACAGCCCTTGCGCAATAAAAGATACCATTAGACATAGTCCAGTTTTCACTTACTCGTCTAAATCCACACCCCAAGCCCCACATCCTTAACCATAAAACCTGCTCTCACCATCTCTGACCCCATGTCGTGCTGACATAAATCTCAGAGAACCCGAACCCCAAGCCCCTAAACCCTGCTCCCACGCTATAATAAACTGACCTAAACCTTCCCAAACCCCAAGCCCCTTAACCCTAAAACCCCCCCTTTAAATGACAGTAAAGTTCAGCCCTTAAAGGGACTCCATTGACTCCATTGTGCTGCGCTGCGTCAGATCCACCCTCCATCACGACACGCTCCACACGCCTCTGCCTTCGGTGCTTGCCTAAGAGTCACATGTGGCTTTAAGGTTCAGGGTTTACGGGGGCCTGAGGCCTAAGAGTCACTGCATATGCCTGTAAGGCTTAGGGTTTATGGGGGCTCAGGTCCAAAAGTCACTGTGCCGTATAAGGTTGCCCAAAGGGTCCAAGTATCCTTCTGGTATATACTTATAGGGCATGTTGGGGGTTCTAAAGTATATACCAGAATGATACTTGGACCCTTTCGGTAAGGTTAGCGGCTAGGCTTTTCCAGGTGGTGAGGTTGGATTTGACGTTTGGGGTTCAGGCCTGGGATTCCAACTAACACCCCTTAATTAAGGAGTATACCTGAAACTATAGGGGACTTAATATTATGATTTAAGGTGTATTCCCTGAATAAGGAGTATTGGGATTTCAATCCCCATAACAGACCCTAATCCCTAAACCCTAAACCCTAATCCCTAAACCCTAATCCCTAAACCCTAATCCCTAAACCCTAATCCCTAAACCCTAATCCCTAAACCCTAAACCCTAAACCCTAATCCCTAAACCCTAAACCCTAATCCCTAAACCCTAAGCCCTATAAACCCTAGGGTTCAGGGTCGTTGAGGAGTCATCGTGGCTTTTCCTATAATGGGCTATATAATGGGTATACAATAGCTATATTAAGGGTATATACCTAGGGGGTCCTTATTAAAGGTCCGTCCTTTTACCCAGGGAGAGTTTACGGTTGAAGGAAGTGCGGCTCAGGGAAGACGGGATTTGCGTAATCTAGGGGCCTAAATAATTACCTATATAATACTATGTCGGGGGGCTCCTTGTTAGAATTATAGATGAGCGGGCCCCCAAACCCTACTCTAATTATTAAGGCTTTATTAAATGATTTAACAGCTTTTGTTTGGGGTTCTTGGGTCCTGAGTTTGCAGTCATAGGCTGGGTTCTTATTTTGAGAGATGTAGACCCCGTTTGTATGAAGAGTTCTCCCGGACTAGTTTCAGGAACGTGTATCAGTAGGCTGTGGGTGAGTTGTCAATAAAATAGCCCTCCTGCGGCACTTCGAACTCTACTTTGAACCTGGGAGTTTTGGGTTCACCTTTTCTTTTTAATCTGCGATGCTTGCAGATTGCTGCGGCCTGGGGTGTTCATGGGTGCCAACGAGTAGGACTAGAAGTCCGGCAACATGAGGTGACAACCGTGGTCCCATCTGGTGTAAGCGCTTGCAACCTTACCTTGTGTTGCCTGCAATAAACCCGATTCATCCGACCCTGAACCACCACAGGGTCCAAAGTACCAGAAAGCAGAATGTAGGGTGTCTGCATTAGGAATTTCCACTATGATCTGCGGAAGTCCCCCGCATAAGGGTACCTGGGACCCTTTGGAACCCTAAACCCTGATCCCTGAACCCTAAACCCTGATCATGATACCTGCCCACAAGCCCTGCAGTTGGTCACGCTTTGCGCGTTTGTGCATTTGAGTTTAACGGCTTTGTGGCATAGCATGGATTGTACTGCCGGCGATGCGTTTGCATCACGGCCTTACATATATGTATATACACGCATACATACGGGCCGTGTCTGTGGCTCAATCTATCGATCTATCTATCTACCTGCCGATGTATCAATCTAATTATCTACCTATCGGTTTATCGATCTATCTATCTATCTACCCATTTATATGCATGTATACACATACATACACCCATTGTAAATGTACACACACACACATATGCATGCATGCATGCATGCATGCATGCATGCATGCATGCATGCATACATACATACATACATACCTTCGTACGTATATACATACGTATACACACACATGCACATATGTATAAAATATACATAACGTGTGTTTTGTATAGCAATATGAATTCCGGACCTTGGTGACTGAAACCCAAGATACTCACTCAGAAACCGGTTCCGTTCCCTGAGGCGGCACGACGTTTTTTTCAGCATCGGCCCCCTGTGGGCGAAGGCACGACTTCCGATGCCCTACCGCAAGGGCTTGTCTTCTGGTAAAAGGTTTCGGGGCCCACACTGCCTCACCCCCCCTTTAACCCTAAACCCTAGACCCTGAACCCTAAACCGTAAACCCTAAACAGAAACAAAAAGCAAGCCACCCCAACAGCTGTTGTTTAGGATGGAAGCCTCGAGCTCATACGGGTCTTCTGTAGGGGTTCCATGCATATCCACCGCCGGCTGCCTTTTTAAAGCTCCGGGGACCTTAGGCCCAATTGCATTGCGACGGGCCTTCTTCATGAGATTCCATTGGGCTTTGTTAAGGAATTTCGTGTATATAGTTGAAAACTACCATGAGAAGGAAACTCGAGCATTTACTGTAAGTTCTATTGTGGTAATTTAAGAAAATTTTCTTAACCCCAAACCCCGACAACCGACATCGAACCCTTTAAGGAAGACTAAATGATGGCAATTCAGATTTCAAGCTTACTTCTAAACCCTTACAGAACCCAGGCTCCGGCAGCAATCTTCTGACCCTCAAGCCTAACCGACTCCGCACAGTCGAGATGCGGGTGGTCCAGGGCACAAGTGCAATTGAATTATGGTTTAAGGGTGTAAGGTTTAGTAGGGTCAGTGACTCCTCAGGGATGCAAGAAGTTCAGCCTAAACCCTAAACCCTAAACCCTGCGCCCTAAACCCTAAACCGAGAAAAGGCCCCATTGCACTTAAAAAAAGAACCCTAAACCGGACTTCGACCGTAATGTCAACCTTTCCGGCTTTGGGGCAGAGTCCGCGTCAACTCCAAGTTAGCCATCCCGGAATCTTTCCCCCCGAGTGCATTCAGGACCTACACATGTTTGCCAGGCTCTGGAATTAAACCTGCGGCCCAAAACACCTAGCTTTTTAATTTTTACCGTCCGTCCGTCTGTCTGTCTATTTGTGTTTGTGTGTGTGTGGGTGGGTTTGGAGGGTGTCGGCTGCGTAGAATAGTATGATACAAGGGATGACAAGACCCTAATGGATTCAGGACTCAGCGGGTGTCTCTCAGCATCCCCATCAAAAAAGAGCTGGATACAACAGGTGCATCGAGCTCATCATTGCAGGATAAGGGTGGGCTTTTGGCAAGCAGTTCGTGTGCTAGGGCATTGGTTGAGTGATTCCGGGTGTGTCAGGTATACATAATCATAATGCTCAGTAGCAGCCTCCGCGACGGAGCTTCCTTGTGATATCGAGCATGTTTCTTTTCCGGGATTCCTGAGCTCGAGCTTCTCTAGTGACAGAGCGCCCAGCTTCGAGAGTCATGGCCGAGACGGCAGAGGATCTGGCTTCTCTCACGCGTGTGTTGACGGCATGCTTCGGCAAGGGCGGCGATTTCACGGTCGTCGTCGAAGAGTTGCCGGGTAGCACTGCAGAGCATGGTGAGGCGGCAGAAAAGTGCAAGAAGCGCAAGCACTCGGGGGACGACATGCTGGACAGTGCAAAAGACACTGAAACAAGTGTACATCGCACAGAGTTCAGGGTGTGGTCGTCTCTGCTTGCCCAGTGGTCTCCCGTCTTCGAGAAGATGATGAGCTCGGACAACTATGCCGAATCGCAGAAATCGCAGGTCGTCATCCAGGACTTCTCGGCCTGTGCTGTCGAGATCTTCCTGCGCTTCTTGTACTCTGGGAGTGTCGGGGGCTCCATGACAGCTCTGGTGGAGGTGGCTGCCATAGCAGACAAGTACCAAGTTGAGGCATTGCCTCCTTTGTGCTCGGAGCTTGTGCGGCAGGAGATCACACCGGAGGTAGCCTGCGAGGTTCTGGCTGTCGCAGACCATTTTCATGTGGCTGAGATGCGGGCAGACGCTCTCGATCACATCTTCATGGAACCTGCATTGGCCCTGAAACAGCGTCCGGCGCTCCGTCCCGAGCTTTTGGAGGAGATCCTGGGTTCAGACCTGCTGTGCATCGCAGAAGATGCCCTGAGGAACATCGTCCAAAGCTGGGGAGATTGGGGAGGGATGGACTGCAACTGCCTGGCATCGATCATTAAGATCCCAACAAACAACGAGCACACGGACAACGTGTTGTACTCGGTCTCCCATCACTACAAGCGTGCAGGGAAGAAGGGCGCCTTTTTGGGCTACTGGGTGTCGATGATCCTGGGACCTGGGCGGGGCGAAGCCTACACCAATCAACAGCTCGAGCGCATAGCTGCCAACCGAATGACATTCACCCTCCGAGTAGGGTGGATGCAGTGGGTTCTTCCCCATGCCTCGGTTCACCTTCAGGGCTTTGAGTTTGCAAACACCATACCGGCGTCGACATCTTTCCGGATTTATGTGAAGTCCGACGAAGACGGTGCGACGTGGCACCTCGCCTACGAGTCGCACAAGACGGAGATCGAAGAAGACACCTTCCTGCCTTGCAAGAGACCTCCGAGCCCGGTGAAGTGTTTCAAGCTGGAAGTCTTGGAGGGTGAGCTTGCTGACATCGACTTCAACATCCACGGCATTTTGCAGACGTCCTTCTGAAGCAGTCAGAAGGCAGACTTGAAGTCGGGTTCCGTCTATTAGACCCAGGAAGCTCGGCTAGGTTTTCTACAAGGAGCTGTCGCAGCAACAAGCCTGCCACTTCGCTTCTTGACGCGCGCTGCCGCGACGCGGAAAAGCTTTCTGTTCAGCCAGCCGTGTGAGCTGTCCCACTTCCTGATTGCCGATTAAGCAATGTGTTGAGCCGACATAAACAGTCGAAGTAGAAAAGCAAGAGCCCCAGAAGAGAACCCCATGGTGTTGGGACAATTGAACCAACGAATCCGTAATCTACAGGTAGGCCGAATTACTGCACCCCAGGCTGTTGTCATCAGACTGCTCATCGGCGATTAGTGGATGTAGGGTGGTGTGCCCGAAACTCCCTGCGAAGCTCTTGCATCCTTGAGCCATATACCCTGGTCCCATGCGCTTCGCCCCTAAACTTGCCAGGGCGAGCAGTGCAGCCGGCAAGTGGCCCCGTTGGTCGCGGCTTTTTTGCCTTGATCTCAGTGCTCACCTCAGCTTGTTCTAAGTTGTAGGGAGGCCAGAGTGATTACGGAGAGCCGCCCAAGGTTGTTTGAGAGTAGATCGGTTGATAGGACTGGAAGTTGGGGGATGATTCGAGTTTCATGATGCTCGTGGCATGTGGGGGTTTGCGAACAGCATGAAATGTGGGTTCCTCTCGTGTCTCGGGATTGATTCAAGTTCTCTGCCACACAAGTCCTGCAAGAAGAGCGGGAATCATTGTGGGGTTTACCGTTCTTAAACCCTAAACCCTAAACCCTAAACCCTAAACCCTAAACCCTAAACCCTAAACCCTAAACCCTAAACCCTAAACCCTAAACCCTAAAAGGTATGAGGCCTGGGGCGGCTTCTAGGGGTCATGACGGTTACCCAAAGGGTCCTAGGTATTGTTATGGGGAATACTTTCCCAAATCATAATAGTAATTCCTAATATAGGAACCCTACCTTCTACCATATAGCTACTTTGGGCCCTTTGGGTTAGGGTTCCAGACGAGATGAAAAGCGCCACTTGTGAGCGCGTTCCAAAGCGTCGCATACGCTTCGTTGTAGAAAGGCGTTTATGGTTTTGTCTTATCGATGAATACGCAGGTTCACGTTCAATTGGGTACTTTGAGGTTGGAGCGTAATTACGGAAGGATGTATTGAATGGTTGAGGCTTTTGGGGAGGGCTCCCTGGTCGGCCAGGCACCATACCCAAGCATTGCATGTACTGTCAGCGAACTATCCCCGGAACCCCAAACCTGGAAGCAAGCAAATCATCGCCACTGGCCCAGTGCCGCAGCAAGTAGCTCTGCATGGGGTCGGCAAGTGTACGCGCGACTTGTAGACGTCCTCTGGACGTTTCCATTTTTTCAGATCCTGGGAACAAGGATCCTTAGAGGCACGGACTACACAACCATAACACCCGACTTGCCAAACAACCCCTGTCTTGAATAGCATTTCGAGAAGCATTTGATGCCTGATTTGTGGCCCTCGCAGTCGCAGTAGGACAGCAGGACCCCCTCTTGCCGACATGTCCGCAGGATCCAAGAGGAAAAGGCAGCCAGAGTCAGAGGCGATCCTTGCACACAAAGATGCGTCTGCTCTGTCTGATGTGTTGGCGGCCTGTTTCGGCAGGGACGGCAACTTCACGGTTGTCGTGGAAGAGCCCTCGGTCAACGCTTCCCAGGATATGGCGGCTAAGCGCACGGAGTTCAAGGTCTGGTCTTCCCTCCTTGCCAAGTGGTCTCCCGTCTTTAGGAAGATGGTCCGCTCGGACAACTATGCCGAGTCGCAGAAGTCGGAGGTGGTCGTTACAGACTTCTCAGCCTCTGCTGTTGAGAAGTTCCTGCGCTTCATGTACTCTGGGAGCATTGAGGGCTCTGTGGCAGCAATAGTGGAGGTGGCTGCAATAGCAGACAAGTATCAGGTCAAAGCATTGCATTCTTCGTGCTTGCGCCTTCTTCGGCAAGCTCTAAAACCTGAGCTGGCCTGTGAGATCTTCGCCTCTGCAGACCGTTTCCGCATGGAAGACTTGCGAGAGGAGGCTCGCGATCTAATCTTCACCAAGCCTCAGAAGGCCTTGAAACTAGGTAGGGCTTTGGGGCATTTTATGTTTTCCCTTATTGGGCTTAAGAGGATCTTATTTAGCAAAAATTTTCAATTGCTTCAAAGCACCACCTAGGAAAGAGCGCCCCGCAATGCGACCAGAGCTCTTGCAGGAGATCTTGGGCTCAGGCCGACTGCGCATGTCGCAGGATGCCTTCAGCAAGACCCTGGAGGGCTGGGGCAAAAGAAGCAAGGCGCCTCTTAGGGGATAAGGTTCCAAGGCTGGCGAGGGAAGGACCGACTCCGTGGCATCGATGATTAGCATCCGAACGAATAACCAGCACACCGACGATGTGCTCTGGGATCTCTGGCAGAGCGCCGGGAAGAAGGGCACTTTGCTGGGATGGTGGGTGTCGATGATCCTGGGACCTGGGCAGGGCCAGGCCTACACCACTGAGCAGCTCGAACACATAGCGTCCAATCGAACATTCAACGGATTCACCCTGAGAGTAGGGTGGATGCAGTGGGTTCTTCCGAATGCCTCGGTTCATCTTCAGGGTTTCGACCTCGATGCCACGAGCCGCCGGCGTCTACATCTTTCCGGATCTATGTGAAGTCCGACGAAGACGGCGCAACGAATACGAGTCGCACGAGATGGAGATCAAAGAGGGCACTTTCCTGCCTTGCAAGAGACCTCCAGGCCTCGTGAAACACTTCAAGCTGGAAGTCTTGGAGGGTGTGCTTTCGAACGTTGGTTTCTTTATCCACGGCATTGTGCAGACGTCCGTCTGAAGCGACCTACCACTGCAGATCGGAAAGAAGAGTTCAAGATGTGCTCCGTTAACTGCAATAAGTCGGGGACAGGGCTCGCGTTCAGGCAGTCTTGAGATCATTATGTCATTATCAGATGCAGGATGCCCAGATGAGTGTTGTAGAAGGAGCTGTGGCAGCAACAAGGCTGTCACGTTCTTTTTGGCAAAGGTGGCGGTGGGCAGAGTGGCACGCACTGAGCCTTCAAAGACGGAGGAAGAGCAGCCTACGCTTCGCGAGCCGTTTGTTTCACGCTGATTTCGGAGCTGGCAACCAGTTGGTTATCCATGCAAACCATTACACAGGTCGGAACCAACTGCCGAAACCGGAAGTCCCCGTCTGCAGGCAAGGTTTGACATGAAGCTATGTTCATCAAGATGCCCAGCATCATCTACGACTCAGGTGAACCCAGATCTTGCAATATCCCCTGATAGAGGAAAAAGACACTGAAGCATGATACTATCTCCGGATATGACCTCAGGACATACAGTAGAAGCCCAAAAGCTGGAAACCCAATAGCCTCAACCCCTAAGAGTCATGTATAGGTAATCCCAGCACTATTTGGCCTTAATCCGGTTTCCAACTTTATAAGGTCTACTGTAATCACATTCCTCAACTAGGGTATACTGGAAGATTCGGGGAGCTATGTTGATCAAGCTGCCCGGGGTGTAGGGATAGTGTACTCGACACTCCCTACAAAAATTCCAGCATCCCTGCACCGAAAACCCGGATCGAGGTCTTTACGTCCCTCGATTGTCCTCCTAAACCCCTAAACCTCTAAACCCTAAACCCTAACCCCTAAACCCCTAAACCCCTGAAGCCCTAAACCCCTAAGCCCCTAAACCCCTAAGCCCCTAAACCCGTCGGGAGCCCTTGAGGATGCAATTATTAATGCCCACATACTACCACGGCTCAGGGTTTAGGTTTAGGGCTTAGGGTTTAGGGGCTTAGGGTTTAGGGTTTAGGGCTTAAATTTAGGGTTTAGGGGTTTAAGGTTTAGGGTTTGTGCCACATACCATATTCATTGGCCATAAGGTAGTTTCTATATAGCGCTTTCTTTATGGCCGGAGCATATACCATATGAGCTCATGGACCCTTAATGAAGCAAGCGAATCAGCAGCTCAAGAAAAGAGCCCGGCAGACACGACAGCCGGAATCACTCAATCTCAACGCCACCCCTCCAAAAAACCCTAAACCCTAAACCCTAAACCCTCCAAAAAACCAAAACGTAAGACCCAATGTCGCTTAGGACCCTCGGCTCTGGGCCCTAGATTGTTGGGATTCTGCACACACACCCCAGGCACCGTGAACGCAGAAGGCAGACCCTAATCCCTAACACATCTAAAACCCTTCTAAACCCTTAAACCTATCACAGGGTTTAGGTATTTAGAGATTTAGGTGGCGAAAGCTGGTTTAAGGGCTTAATTACGTAGTGGTTAGGGTTTCGCGTTAAGGCGTTTAGGGCTAGAGGGTTCAAGACCTTACTGCAAAAAACCTAAAGCCTCAAACCCTAAGGCCCTAAACCCGAAAGTCTTAAACCCAGGCCGCTGGCATTGTCTGTCAGGCTATCCATGCAAGTAGTATGACTCCCTTGGTTAAAGGTTTAGGGTTTAGTGTTTTGGGTTGTGGGTTTAGGGTTTATAGGGGCTCAGAACTGTATGGGCTTTCTATAGTAGGAGCCCATTTTAATAAGGGCGCCTAACTATTCTTGGGACTTACGAGGGGTTGAATGTTGAGGACTGCCCATACGATGAGCCGCAAGCCTTCACTCGCTGTCGAAGGCCGTTCGGGTGGCAATTTTTGGCAAAGTCCTCGAGGCTTTTCCCTCAGGGTCCAAAAGACCTACCTGGGGATCCAAAAACCTATTCCTTTAAGGGTTACACCCTTTAATTCAGGAGTGATAACCTACTATTTGGTAGGGTTTGGGGATATACAGGTAATGACTAGGTACTTATAGGTTTCGGATGGTGCTATGCACATGGCAGCTCTGTTGGCGGAAACAAGGAATGTCAGTAGCCCACTCAGCAAAGGGTTCATCTTCAGCAGGATTCATTCGCATCCCCACCAAACAGGGGGGGGGTTCCGGTTGATGGTATAAATCCTGCGTCAGCCATAATAAGGAATATACCATAGTTCCCATAGCTTAGGGTCCTTAAGGTAATGCAGGATTTATATCACCAACAGTTCTCACAGGTAGCAGGTAGCCTGGGTGCAGTTAACCCTCGAGCCTCTAGGGCTGCAGTTGTTTAGTACTAGGTTACTGGGTCACATCATCGGCAGTCAGAAACCTAGCAATTATAGCAATTATAGCAATTATAGTAATTATAGTAACTATAGTAATTATATAGTAAGTATTTTTGCAAATTACGGCAGGCCTCTGCAGAGGGGCCTGGTATCTCGCGCGATGATCAGGCTTGTCCATGCAGCTTCGGTTTGCACTCTTTTCGGTTGAGGGTTAAGATTGTAGGGTATTACGCATGACAGCATCACCGATAGCCAGTTTGTGACAGTGAGCCTTGAACCCTGCAACCCTTAACCATCAAAAAAAGCAGTTGATGCTTGCCGATGCTGGGATTCCTGAGCTGGCAATTTTCAGGCATCAGAAGCCCAGCTTTGAATGGGATTCTGAATAGTCATCTTTTAGAGGGTCTGAAAGGGTTTTGTTCTGCAAGGTTTTGATGCTTCATAGGAGCTGACTTTGTTTTGTGAGCGGGGTGCAAGATAGTCATGGCTCAGACGGCAGAGGATTTGGCTACTCTTTCTGGTGTCCTGGAGGCATGCTTCGGCGAGAGCGGCGACTTCGCGGTCATCGTGGAAGAATTCTCGAATGACACTTCGTGTGATCTGGAGGTTCAGACGGAGGCAAAGCGCAAGAAGCGCAAGCACTCCGGGGACGTGCGTGGCTGTGCAAGGGACACTGAGGTAACTACACAACGCACGGAGTTCAGGGTGTGGTCTTTCCTGCTTGCGAAGTGGTCTCCCGTCTTTGAGAAGATGGTGGCATCGGATAATGAGTTTACCGAGTCGCAGAAAGCCGAGCTAGTCATCCGAGACTTCTCGGCCGCTGCTGTCGAGATCTTCCTGCGCTTCTTGTACTCTGGGAGAGTTGCTGGCCCCGTCACAGCTCTGGCGGAGGTGGCTGCCATAGCAGACAAATATCAGGTTGAGGCCTTGCCACCTTTGTGCTTGCGTCTTGTACGGAAGGCGCTCACACCTGAGCAAGCCTGCGAGGTCTTCGCTTTAGCAGACCGCTTACGTATGGCTGAGATGCGAGCAGACGCGCTCGATTGGATCTTCGCCCAACATGCAGAGGCCCTGATAGAGCGGCCGGCGCTTCGGCCACAGCTCCTGGAGGAGATCCTGAGCTCAGGCCTGCTGTGTATCGAAGCAGACGCCCTCAAGGAAATTGTCCGGAGTTGGGGCACCGATGAGGTAGACTCCTTGCAATCGATCATCAACATCCGAGCACACAATGTGGCTACGGAGGACGTGCTGGAAACACTCTGGCAACGCTACCAAGAAAACGGGAAGCAGGGCGTCTTTGCGGGTTGTTGGGTAGTGATGATCCTGGCGCCTGAGCAGGGCCTGGCCTACACCAGAGAGCAACTCGAAGGAATGACCATTGGTCACACAACTTTCAACCTTCGAAAAGGGTGGGTGCAGTGGCAGTTTCCCCATGCCTTGGTTCATCTTCAGGGCTTTTGCTTCGGAGAGGGCGATGAGAAACTGCAGATACCGGCCTCGGCATCTTTCCGCATCTGGTCTTCCGAGGACGGAGCCACCTGGCACCTCGCCTACGAGTCGCGGGGGGAGGCGATCGAAGCCGGTGCATTCCTGGCTTGCAAGAGACCTCCGAGCATGGTGAAGTGCTTCAAGCTGGAAGTCCTGGAGGGTGAGCTTGAGAATGTTTTCTTAGAAGTTCATGGCATCTTGCAGACATCCGTCTGATTTGTTTGCGCTGGGCTGGGCCATTGCGGCAACAGGCTACGGTTGATGATATAAATCCTGCATGACCCATAATAAGGAATATATCGTAATTCCCATTGTTTGGGGTCCGTAAGGTAATGCAGGGTTTGTATCATCCACCCAATGTCTATCACGTTTTGTTCGGCACATCCGCAACAACGCGGGAGACTGATCCCTGTACTTAGACAGCAGCCTCCGAAGAAAGGCGGTCCGTGGGCAGCCAAAGGCGCCGGCTGATCAAAATGTAGGATTTCTGAGCCTTAGGGAAGGGTTTACGAACTTGAAGGGTTGAGTGACTTTGGACAGTACCCCATATGGGTCCTAACACTTTTGGGAAGCTCGAACTGTAGGGTTTCTGAGGCTTCAAAGAGACCCCTGGGCTCTCCCTAGGAGCTTCCGGACCCTCCTAAGGAAATACCCTAAACCCTACACCTTAAACCCTAAACCCCAAACCCTAAACCCTAAGGGATGGTGGATGGAACCTTGATTCCGGACCCTCCTAAAGAAGATACCTGGACCCTTAAGGTAGGGACTCATCAGTCAACGGCATACTTGGAAGGGCAGGGGACTCAGTAAGGGTTCTTAAAGGGCTCCTGAAAGGGATCTATAGGGCTCCTTAGAGGGATCTATGGGGTTTAGGGTTTAGGGTCTACTTGGAAGGGCAGGGGACATAGTAAGTCGTTTATAAGTGGGGTTATAATTGGGGTATCTCCATTTGGGGTACTTAAAACTCTACTTATAACCTACTTACTACATAAGTCCCCTGCCCCTCCAAGCAATGCCCCCTACTTCTAGGTGCCTTTAAGCGTGCCCTTTGCGTTTCCTTCAAGGCTCCCCAGTTTTAAGGCTCAGTTCGTCTCTGACGGCTGATGTTATAAATCCTGCATTACCCCAAGGGTCCAAAGGGCCCAATAATTAGGGTCATTTTACGTCAAGGTTTATTAGGGTTCCTTTAAAGGGTTCTATAAGGGGTTTAGAGGATTTTGGAGAAAGGGTTTTAAGGGTCCAAGGACCCAATAATTAGGTACTCGGTTTTGGGATAATATTTATGTAGGTTAGGATTTTGGAGAGTATATGATTATTAGGTACTTGGACCCTTAGGGTTACCCATGATGAGGAATATACCGAAATTCCCACAGTCTAGGGTCATTAAGGCAACTCAGGATTTACATCATCAACCCCAAACCCTAAACCTTCAAAAAACCTGTAGATCCCTTAAAGGAGCCCCTTAAAGGTACCCTTATAGATTTGTTAAGGGAACCTTTATAGGATTCATGACCCGTACCGCTTCTCTTGTTTACAAAGTCTCTTCGGCTCCGAGGTCCGAACCTCAAGGGACGACTCTTCGGGTTCCTTGAGGGTTCCTGTACCCTAAACCCTAAACCCTTTTAGGGTTTAGGGTTTAGGGGCCTTTAAAGGCTATACCGTAATAAGGGTTCCTTTAAGGTCGAAGCCTAGATTGCTTGCCTAGAATTATTCTTAAGGTTGCTTGTAGTACTACTACGATACAGGAGCTCAAAACTCTGTTCTGATTGTTAAGACCCCTACAGCAGGAGCATCGTTAAGAAATTATAGGGGCAATACTTGATGCGAATGGGATTCCTCAAAGGCAAAGGGGTTCCTTAAGCAGTGTTACCTATACGGGTTGTGCAAGACCAACGCTGTTACTAGGGTTTCGGGGATGTGGAAGTATACTCTATGTTTCACTATACTTGTTTACATTACAGTATACTCGATTAGAGAAAGGTAGACCCTGAACCCTGAACCCTCACAGGAACCCGTTAAAGCAGTAATAGAACATACCTCAAACCCGACTCTAATTATTTACGACCCCTTCATTACAGAAAGTGTTCGCTAAGGTTCCTTCAAGGGGTTCCTTTACAAGGTTCCTTTCAGGCTCCTACATTACCCTCACAAAAACCTGCCGCAGGTGCCAAGCAAGGGCTTGTCAGCATCCTGAAATCCGGTTGAGGGCCGAGGCCGGAAATTTGTAAACGGTTGCTCTACGGGTATCTATAGGGGCCACTACAAGGGTTCCCTTATATAAGAGGTTCTTTAAGGGCTGCCACAAGGGGTCTATAATGTAGGGGCCTGAATGATTAGAATAGGGCTTTGGTGTACATCTTACTATCTATAATGAGCAACCCTAAGGGGTAATGTTGGTAATTATCAGTGAGGCTTCTATGTCTGATCTTGGGAGTTTTTATGGCCTCAGGGTTTGGGCAATCAGCGAAGGTTCTATGTCTGATCTTGGGGGGGCTTTAGATCAGAATGGAGTTGTGGTGTACTTCTTACTATCTATGCAGAGGAACCCTGAGGAATATTATTGGTAATCAATGAAGCTTCTGTGTCGGATCTTGGAGAAGTTTTTATGGCCTCTGGTTTTGGGCTTTACGGGGTTCAGAGTGATGTTACGGGAGTTTTCGGGTTTTGGGTTTAGAGTTTATAGGGTCGAGGGAAAGCTCAGGGCAGTGTCTGCCATGTTCAGGGGGGTGAAGTCATACTGTTGATGATATAAATCCTGCATGACCCATAATAAGGAATATACCATAATTCCCATAGTTTAGGACCCTTAAGGTAATGCAGGATTTATATCATCAACCGTAAGTTTGGGTTTGGGGAGAGCTGCTGTTTCTAGCTTCTGTGTCAGCTTCATCGAGGTTTCGCCCTAAAGCTGCTGGGCCTTCGAAACCCGAACTCCCTCTAGGATGCCCAGTAGTACCCTTATTTCCTTTTTGTAGTCCTAGGTTCCTTGTAAACTTACCCAATACCCTTCCAGGGCGAACACCGCAGCCGGCACGCGGACCTCGCACCTCTGGGCCATGTCTAAGTGGCTTCGGGCAGGTGGCTCGTGGATTCCAATATAGTAGTGTTTAAGCCAAGATTCTTCCCTATGGTTCCTTATCATAAAAGAATGGAGCCCGAAATTTTATTGTAATTTTTAAGACCCCGTTACAGGACTACCTAGACCCCCTGCCCCTCAAATACCCACCATTACGGACCATAAGGACTCTATTAAGGGGCCCTTGGGGGGTCCTGGTAGGTGACTGAATATTTCCCCGTGTCGTCCTTGCCGCGATTGTGGACGGTTCGGGCCGGAGGATGGCTGGGAGGTTTAGGGTTTAGGGTTTTTGGCAGTTGGGCTGAAGCAACACTACCTGGGGATCCCAAAACCTAGTTTTTGAAGGCTTATACCCTGTAACTAAGGGGTCATAAGCTACTACTTTGTAGAGTTTGGGGATACAGGTAAACTCTAAGGCCAAAGCTTAATTTGCAAGTGAGAAGCTTTTTTAAGTTCGAATAGGTGAGGATGAGGAGCTTCAACCGGCCCCAGGAGTACAGTAGCCTTTGTAGCAAGTTGCAGAGTCGCGGGTTGCGGAAGGATCTAGAAAGTAGATCCCTTAATTTGGGGCCCTATGCTACTGTACTAAGGGTACTTTATAGAAACCCCCATTGCGGGATCTACTTATTGGATCCTCCCGAGGGTCTGGGTAGCTGTTCCAAAAGCCCTGCAGAATCATACTCCTACCCATAAATGAAAGCAGTAGCAGACTTGTTTCTGTAGCTGTGCTTCTAGGGTCGAAAAAGGGTTCAAGGCATTTGGTGGATGCCACAGTTGTAATCCCTTCAGGGTCCATGTACCCAAATAGTAGCATATACTGTGGCTCGAGAGTAACCCCTATTTCGATACTTTGGGACCGAAGTATGTACCTTTGCCATGGACCCTCGGGGAGTGTGGACCGTCGAAGACTTTGTCATCGCATCTGTCAGGGTTGCTCAATATAATTGTACTACAACAGTCCCAAAGGGTCCAAGTATCATTTGGGTATATACTTATGGGGTATTTTTTTTTTTGGGGGGGGGTCTAAGTGTATTCCATAATGATACTTGGACTCTTTGGGATTCACCAAAGCCCTATTCGAAGTGATAAGGCCCCAAAGACTGGTAACATTGGGGTATTTTGGGACTAATCCCTACACCCTAAACTCTAAATCCTAGACTGGCAACATTGGGGGATTATTTGGGCTTCCCGAATGAACAGCTGCTGGCTTTTGGTCTGAAGACTTCTGCTTTTCAGGCTTTGCAGCGAAATATAGGCATGGAGATGAGATTGATTTTATTCTTGTCTTTTTAGACGCAGCAAGCCCTCTGTCCTACGTGAAAACCTGAAGCCTGAACTCAACAAATGAGGCCCTAAAGCACCTTCACCCCTAAATTCTCTAGACGAGCACGCCCTTACAATTTAAAGATCGTTTGCCTTGTATGAGCCTCTAACCCTATGTAATCATCTCCTACGTCCCATAGCCCCGGACCCCCAAGCACTTCAACGCGGCAGATATACTCTCCTAAGCCTAAGTCACTCAACCCTTCAAACTCGCAAACCCGTGTAGAAACTCTACGAGTCGAGAGCCCTTGTAGAAACCCTCGTAGAACCATTCCCAGACCCGGGAGGATCTAGAAAGTGGATCCCCTAATTTGGTGCCGTATACTACTAAGGGTACTTTATAGGAGCCCACATTAAGGGATCTACTTGTTGGATCCTCCCCTAAGCCTTAAACCCTAAACACCCTATAGATCCCTTAAAGGGACCCTTAAAGTAACCCTAAAACCCTATAGATCCCTTAAAGGGACCCTTAAAGTAACCCTAAAACCCTATAGATTCCTTAAAGGGACCCTTAAAGTAACCCTAAAACCCGATAGATCCCTTAAAGGGACCCTTAAAGCCTTAAACCCTATAGATCCCTTAAAGGAACCCCTAAAGTAACCCTTAAAGGTATCTACTTTTTGGATCCTCCAAAGGGGGTCTCAGCTCCAAACTCGTAAACTCTTAGCGAAGAGTCCTGGCATCTCCTTGCCCAGAGACTCCAATATCCCTTAATGAAGGAATATTCCTTAAATCATATACGGGATCCGACTATGATTTAAGGAATATTTCTTACTTAAGGGATATTAGAGTCTCTGGGGTTCTGGCATCTCCTTGGCAGGGTCCGGAACCGACGGTTGTTGATATAAATCCTAGGGTTCCCTTTAAAGGGATCTATGGGGTGACCTTTAAGGGGTTCCTTCCAGGGACCTTTAAGGTTTTTGGGTTGAGGGTTGATGATATAAATTCGGCATTACCTTATGGACCCTAAACTCTGGGAATTCTGGTATATTCCTCATTATGGGTCATGCAGGATTTATATCATCAACCGTATTATGGTGAGCCTCGAGTCTTCCTGGAAGTCCGAGCTTTGAGGGTCCCAAAAAGGTATCATGACCCTTGGGGCTTGGGGCTTAGGGTAAGGCCCAAAAAGGCCAAACTCCATAAGCTTGCCGCCATTTCCCCCCCCCACCCACACCTAAGCCTACGGCTCCTAGACAATTTAAGTCCATTGACCAGAAACTTAAAGACTTTATTGCAGAGCCTTTAAAGACCCTTTCAAGAGCCTCGAATCCGTTGAAACCCTAAAACCGACTTAGTCCTGAAACCCTGTTCCCGACCCATTGCGACCGTTTTGCCGTACCCAGAGGCCGGCGTTCGGGGGCCGAAACATCCATGAAATCTGATCAGATCCCTCGAGGCTGCCCCAAAGAGTCCATAGGTTCCTTCACTGGGGTGCTGGGCGCTTTGAGGCTTTGCTCTTAGTATAGATGACGCAGTTTATAATGGACTGCCTTCACTGGGCTCTGCGAGGCTTTCGCGCAGGGTTCTGTAGAGTCGTCTTCGCAGGTTCCCAACCAGTTTGCGGATTCAGGCGGGGTTAGTTTCAGGTTTCCAGATCGAGAATCTGCCTTCTGCTCGTAGCATGGCCTAATACCGCGGTGAGACATGCGTCTTGCACTGTGTTTGGCAAGTGGTTGGTGATGATGGTTCTTGGGCATTGACTCCGACAGCACTTCACGGATACTGTCCTTAATCACCCCAGCACGCACTCAAGTCATCAGGATGCCTTCAGACTGACATGGAGCTCCGAAAACGGTAGCATATATTCTGAAGATCAAATCCAGGTAAAGGGTTCTCGATTGTTATGCAAACACAAACACATGAGGATATTGTCGGACTGTCAGACCCACCGATATCAGTGTTTAATGGGTACTTGTGGATAGGTGTATAAGGTCGTTCATTCGACAAGGACACAAGCTGCATTCAAGTTATAGGTTTGCTTATGTGTACCTATGAACCTTCCTGCAAGAGGCTTGAAGACGTTAGTCATTAGGATTTCCGGGCTAAGGTCCAGCCGTAGTCGGTTGCTGTCGATGACTGCTAAACGAGCCTCCGCAAGCCAAGCACCCGGCTGCTGTGCCGTAGTCCTGTGCATAAAAGCTTCACTATAGGACTTGCCCTGTAGCCCCAAACTCCCCATCCTTAAACTATCGAGCCTGGACAATCCCCCTCGACTGCCTGTGCCGCAGCACATGGGTCTCGGGCCACAGTGAGCAAAACCATGCGGGGTCTCCATGATAGCTCATTCAGGGTTTGACAGCGAGTGCTTCATACGCTCTATACAAGCAGTTCCAGAAAATCAGGTGTTAGGGATCGCGGGAGTCACAAGACAATACGTCTGCCTTGTAAAATAGGTGCCTTCGAATGATTAGTACCAGTATCCCCTTCGAGTTGCTACGTATGAGTAACATACCCTCTACTAACCCTATTGACCTATTGGAATGGTGAATGCTTCTTTCTGGTTGAGCTTCGAGAGCACTTGGTGGTCTTTGCAGTAGAGAACAGCAGGTTCCCCTTCTTGAACATGTCGACAGGATCCAAGCGAAAAAGGGAGGCAGCCGGGACATTCGCAGACAAAGACCTGTCAGCGACATCTGATGTGTGGAAAGCCTGCTTCGGCCAAGATGGCAACTTCAAGGTCATCGTAGAAGAGCCCGCGACTGAAGTTCCCAAAGATCTTGAAGTTGAGGCGATGGCAAAGCGCACGGAGTTTAAGGTCTGGGCTTCCCTCCTTGCAAATTGGTCTCCCGTTTTTGAGACGATGATCCGCTCCGATAAGTATGCAGAGTCGCAACAAGCCCAAGTCGTCATCCAAGACTTCTCGGCTGGTGCTGTCGAGATCTTCCTGCGCTTCCTGTATTGTGGGAGCGTCGAGGGCTCTGCCAGAGCTCTGCTGGAGGTGGCTCGGTTGGCAGACAAGTACCAGGTCAAGGCACTGCAGGAGCTTTGCATGCGGCTGGTTAAGCGGGCCCTCACAGCCTTCACAGCCTGCGAAATCTTGGCTTCTGCAGACCGGTTCCACATGGATGACTTGCGCGTAGAGGCACTCGAACTCATCTACACGAAGCCCGAAGAGGCCCTGCAAGAGCGTCCGGCGCTCCGGCAGGAGCTTTTGGAGGAGATCCTGGGCTCAGGGCTGCTGTGCATGGAAGCAGATGCTCTGAGGAAGATCCTCCAAAGCTGGGGAGGGAAGGACTACGACTCTTTAGCATCGTTCATCAGCATCCGAGTACGTAGTCAGCACACCAACGACGTGCTGGGCACACTTTATAAGCGTTACAATCTGGCCGGGACCCGGAAGAAGTGCGTTTTCGTCGGATGGTGGGTAGTGGTGATCCTGGGGCCTGAGCAGCGTGAGGCCTATACCATGGAACAGCTCCAAATTATCGCATCTGGTCAGGGGAGTTTCGGTGCATTCACTCTCGGAAAAGGGTGGGTGCAGTGGCTGATTCCCCATGCTTGGGTTTACCTGCAGGGCTTTTCCTTCGGCGTTGATGACGATTCGGATTTCGGCATACCCCCCTCGACATCCTTCCGGATCTGGTGCTCCGAAAACGGCGTGAACTGGCACCTAGCTTACGAGTCGCACAAGAAGCTGATCACCCCAGGCACCTACCTGGCTTGCAAAAGACCTCCAGGCCTTGTAAAGTGGTTCAAACTGGAAGTCCTGGAGGGTAAGCTTTCGCGCGTCAGTTTCAACATCCGGGGCATTCTGCAGACGTCCATGTGCAACTAGGCCTCCCAGTAGGCCCTTTTCCCTTTTTGTGGTCTTAGGTTCCTTATTGAAATACCCTATACCAAAAGGGAGCCCTTTTTTATTCCTAGGTTACTGGGCAGCCTAGGAAATGGCCTTGCTTCCCCGGTCCGAAAACGTTGTCGAATCGGACGATGCTCGCTTGATCTGGATTGGACCTGCAATGCGTGGAATGCAAAGGCTTGGGCATAGGATGACCGAATGTGGTCAGTGAGCTTGACCGCACTCGCAGCAACCCGAAAAGCACTGCACTGCGCTCGGATCGTAAACCCAAACTTTATAATAAAGGAGCTTAAATAATTACCAATACTATTGTGGGAGAATAGTATAGTGGGCTTCAAAACCCCTACTTATTATTAAGGCCCCGATATTAGACCAAACCTTAAACCCGAAAGATACCTCGTGAACTGTCGCCCGTGCTACCAAGCAGGCTCCCGGGCCCGGGACCCTCAAACCCAAACTCAGTTGAGGCCCTCGGGACCCTCCTGAACCTGAACCCCCTAGACGCCCGTCCCTCTTAGAGGGGAGCTCTCAATGGGGAGGTTGCTTAAAAACCTTTGGGCTCCGGGCTTAGACTTAGGCTCTAGGGCTTGCAGTATAGGTTTTCAGGCTCTATCTAGAGCTCTAGTGTTTTGTTGCTTGGGTTTTTAGGGTTGGTTCCAAAGTGCAGCGAAGCGTGCAGTAGGAAGTGCGGCTATCCGAACTTCAGGCGTCAATCTTTTGAGTTGGACTTGAGGTCGGGGAACAAAGGGTTACATGGACATATACGGCAGCAAAAGGGTCACGAGGTGAAGTTCGGGTTTAATTGTATGAGATGGGCGCGTTAAGTTTGATTATCGCTTGATGTTTTTTTGACATTCAGAGGATTAATTAGCCTTTATTGGGTTGCTTAGTGTGAGTTCAGGATAGTCGCAAAACTTGTGCAGCATGGAAGCTTTAGGGAAGAGTGACACTTTCAATATGATACTCAGGATCTTCGTAGGTAGCCAGGCCTGTGAGATATCAGACCCTACATACTTTATTGCAACCTTGGAAGCCACAAAGGTTGCTGGACCCTGTAGCCCCTACAAGCCTTGACCTTAAACCCTAAAGCTTGAGTCTAAATGCTGTCAGACCTATAACCCTGAGGCTTGTAACCCTACAACTCCTAATTACAGTCCAAGCCCTTGGCCCCATACTCTTCACCGCTTACCATCCAAGCCCTATAGGCCCTGCCGACCAAAAAATCATAGTTGTTCTTTCAGGCAAGACTACACGAAAAACAATCCAAAGTCCTTCTTCTAATTGCTAACGCATCGAAAAACAAAGAACCTTTGCTAAACCCTTTTCCACTACACTGCAGACCTTGCCGTAACCCACCAATAACCTACCTGTTTAGGGGCCCTGATTTTGATTTCCTTATATATGTCCTTAAACAGGTAAGCCTTAAACCCTAAGCCCGAAGCTCTAAACCTAGGCCCTACACCCTAAACCCTAAGCCCTAGGCACTGAACCCTTCTGAGCCCTAAGCCCTAAACCCCAAACCCTAAATCGCTGTCATGCAGTTGGAAAGGAACCGAAAAGAAGCCCTTTTAAACAAATAAATCGCTGTCATGCAGTTGGAAAGAAGCCATTAAACAGCAAAAGAATCCGAAACGCTGCATGCCCCTCCTGCAATATTCCGTCTTAGACAGGGCGAGCAGTGCGGCCGACGCTGGGACCTCGGAAGCGCCGGCGGTGTTGTTTTAGAGCAACACGGCGTGTAACGCTTAGGCTTTCAGGGTTTAGGGTTTAGGCCGTAGTAACACGATTGAGGGCTTAGGCTTTAAGGGTTTAGGGTGTGGTTGTTAGGCCATTTGTGTATTCGGAGAGAGAGGCATGATGGCTGGCTGGATGCTTGGATAGAGAGATGATGGATGGGTAGATTGATAGGCAAGTCAATAGGTAGGTAGGTAGGTAACAAGGGTATCTTGGTTGCTCTTGCATGAGCTTTTTGATGATCCTCATTCGTGCTGTTCTTGTTCTGAGTGCTGTGCTCATTGCTCTGTCAGAATACTTGAGGGTCTTCGCAGCAAAACACCAACTACACGTATCACATAGCCCGCAAGCATACATCCCGAATCAAGCCTGCCAACATTCTGCACCTCTCACTCACTACCCCGTCAGTACACCGGGTCCTGTCAGCAACGCTGTAGCGCAGAAGAGCCATTCAAACTATCAAACCCAAAACACCCAAAGTAACCTCACAACACCCGTAGCCTGAATCCCGGAACCAGTATACAGGCCTCCTTTCATCTCTCCCGAACCCTGCCCTAAGTCAGGAATTCTCTTCAAACATTCTCGGTATCCCATCGTACTGTCGCAAGGCGTATTCCTGAGTTGAGGGATGTTGGAGATCTGGCCATACAGTGCATACTCGGGCCCCAAAAGGACTACGGTCTAGAGTGCACAAGTCCGGAACTGTATAGGGTTTCGGTATGGAGTTGCTGGACCCAGAAAGAATTCTTTAAATTGCGGTGTCCCTCTGATAAATGTTTCGCTCTAACGATTTCAGGTTTGAACCCGGTTGTTCAGACTTCGATTCCGTTGGTTGGGGAACCCTTCGGAAGGGTCTTACTAACTGTTCAAACTCACCCCGAGTATCTAGACTTTCAGTCCCGTAGTCAGTCCTTGATAATGGGGGAGTAGGTTTCTGAGGCTCCAGCCCAAAGTAGGCACTATTTTCAGATTTCCACCCTGAAACGTAGGTCCTATTTGTATGCTTGGAGCTCTAGGGGTTTACCCAAAGGGTCCAAGGTACTGTTATGGGGGATACTTCCCCAAATGATAATTAATTGTAATTCCTAATATACAAACCCTACATTCTACTATATAGGTACTTTGGACCCTTAGGGTTAGTATAAGCGCATGAATACCAAACAACTAGACCTGGTTTGGTGAGTTCTCAACTAGGAGTACATTAGGGAACCCCCAGCAAGAGTTTTGCCATGTACTCAAACCCCGTATGAACCTTACAACAGCTATACATCACCACTTAACAACATTCAAAGACGACATTAAATGGACAAGTCTTACTGACTAGTGAAAACCCTTACAATAAGCCTGGGTCTTGGCTTTCGAGCAGTGTCCTTGGCATTCAGCTGTCTCGCGATCCCAAGTAGAAACAGAGATTACTACTATCCGTAATCAAAGTACCTGATTGCTGGCTCCTTTGGACCCTCGAGGGTATCGCAGTGTCGTGTTGTTCTGGAGTTACGGTGGACAGTAAGGCTGGGTGTGAGGGCATACTTGTGTAGGGCTTTTAGTTTCAAGGTTAACGAAAGTTATGTGTTAAGAGAGGTTTCGAGGTGCAGGGACTCAGGATTTACATATCTTTCAGTGCTGACGGTTTGTGACATTTGTGGCCTGCTGAAGCGTTTAGGGGCTGGGCTATCAGAGGTTTTGTAGGGTTGGGAGTTGGGAGTTGACAGTGCAATGTAATATGTCGGCCTTACTAATTAAGAATCGGCATCGAGTCAGAGTGTAGCTATAATATCTAGGGGCTTTAGATTCCTATTTTCACGCCTTATCAATCTCTGGCGCACAGTGAGGGGCATTGCCGGAAAGAGTTATGTGAAGCGTGCCGAGCGTTTCGTGGCAACGGCTGCTGCCTTTCCAGCGGCTTCATTTTTAGGACGAAATGAACCCTAAAAGGGTTTAAGGTTCATATACCATTATACGGATTCATAGTATATGGGTATAGGGCCCCTACTTTGAAGGATCATTTGGTCCTTCAGGACAGAAGGGAGTCTCGATTCGGGTTGCAGCATTCTTCTTTCCACCAGGTGCTTTCAGCATCCGCATCCGGAGTTGGTGCAGCTGACGAAGGCCGCAAATCCAAATCCACGCGCATGTCGCCTGGCATCCGTGATGTATGTATGTATGTATACGTATGTATGCATGTATCTATGTATGTATGTATGTATGTATACGCAGGTATGTAAGTATGTATGTTATGTATGTATATATGTATGCATGTACGTATGTATGTATGTATGTACGTATGTATGTATGTATGTATGTATGTATGTATGTATGTTATTGCACATTATTGCATGTATGCATGTACGTACATATGTGTGTACAGCTTGATTGGAGTCTCAGGAGGATCGAAGAGTTGAGGTCTATAAGGATTCCTTTGAGGGGTTTGGGGTTCAGGGTTTAGGGGTTTGGTTTTGAACACAGCGTTAGGAAGATGTTGCGCGAGCCCTTTGCTAGTTTAATAGAGTCCAGAGTCCTGCGTTTGCATGTGCTCAGCCCCATACATATACAAGCCCTCAGCCCAGAAATCATATAAATCACAAGCTATAATCCCCGGAGCCCGAAACCAAAACCGAGCCTAACCCTGAATACCCTAAGCTCCGTAGAACCCAGAACTGCGAATCATCGCCTTTGCCTCAGTGTCACTGCACGTAGCTCTGGGCTCGGCGAGTGTCTTTGGTGTTTCTAAACATGATTAGAGTTGTGTCAGGGCCGGCAGAAGGACCGATTACTGGGGAAGGGACTACAGCATCCCCGGATTGTCCAAAATCTGCTTGTCTCGTCTTGTTGGTCCGTGCAGTAGGACAGCAAAATCCTCTCTTGCCGACATGTCGGCGGGTTCCAAGCGGAAACGGCAGCGGCAGCCAGAGTCAGAGGCGATCGTTGTCCACAAGGATCTGTCTGCTGCATCTGACGTTTGGAATGCCTGCTTCGGCAAGGACGGCAACTTCACGGTCGTCGTGGAAGAGCCCTCGTGCGAAGCTTGTGAGGATAGTGCAGGTCGGGCGGCGACAAAGCGCGCAGAGTTCAAGGTCTGGTCTTCCCTCCTTGGCAAGTGGTCTCCCGTCTTTGAGAAGATGGTCGACTCGGACAACTATGCCGAGTCGCAGAAGTCGGAGGTGGTCATCACAGACTTCTCGGCCAGTGCTGTTGAGATCTTCCTGCGCTTCATGTATTCAGGGAGCATTGGGTGCTCTGTGACCTCAATGGTGGAGGTGACTGCAATAGCAGACAAATACCAGGTCGAGGCATTGCGGTCTTCGTGCTTGCGTCTTGTTCGGCAGGCACTGAAACCTGAGGTAGCGTGTGAGATCTTCGCTGCTGCAGACCGGTTCTGCATGGAGAACCTGCGAGCAGAGGCGCTCGATCTCATCTTCACCAAGCCGAAAGAGGCCTTGACAAAGCGGCCGAATCTCCGAGCAGAGCTCTTGGAGGAGATCCTGGGCTCAGGTCTATTGTGCATAGAAGCCGAGGCTCTCAGGAAGACCATCCAAAGCTGGGGAGGAAAGGACTGTGAGACGCTGACATCGATCATTGACATCCGAACGAGAAACGAGTTTACGATAGACGCGCTGGGAGTTCTCTGGTGTCGCTACAAACGAGCCGGCAAGAAGGGCGTCTTTGTGGGCTGTTGGGTGTCGATCATGCTGGGCCGTGAGCAGGGGGAAGCCTGCACCGCGGTTGACCTCGAACAAATAGCGTCCAACGGTTCCATCCAGCTCACCCTCCGAAAAGGGTGGGTGCAGTGGCTGCTTCCGCATGCCTCGGTTCATCTTCAGGGCTTTTTCTTGGTTCAGAAGATATCGGACTCGACGTGCTTCCGGATATGGTGCTCCAAAGACGGCGTGACCTGGCACCTCGGCTACGAGGCGCACAAGAAGGAGATCGGACCTCGCAGTTTCCTGGCTTGCAGGAGACCGCCAGGCCTTGTAAAATGGTTCAAACTGGAAGTGCTGGAAGGCGAGCTTGCCAACTTCAAATTTTGCATCTGCGGCATCTTGCAAACTCCCATCTGAAGCGACTCGCTCGGAGGGTGGTCCTGTCGGATTCTGCTTGGGAAAAGACCTGCAGGCAGATGCAAGGTGTTTGTGGACAATTACTTTGATGTTCCTTTTCAACCATATTTCTATATACCACACAGGAGCTGAATGCGACACTCTAACTACATAAGCCCTTATTCCCTTTTTTAGGGTTTAGGTTCTCTTGTAACCCCCTATAACACAAAAAGGGCACCCCTTTTATTTCTAGGTTGCTCTTGCGCCTAGAGGGTAGTTGGCGGGTTTAGGGCCGAGCTCCAGGCATCGAATAGCTTTGGTCTCAGGGCTTACCTGACCCTGAAAAACCTACTTGTTTAAAGATCTATCAGAATAAGAAGCCGTAGAAAGGTAGGGCGTTTGGAGGGTAGGCAGGGCTTAAGAGGGGCTTTTTCGGCTTCTAGGTATGATAAGGTGTATAGGGGTTGTAAGATTACGTTCTTTCAGGCTGTAGGGTGCGTAGCAGAGCTGGGCCCAGTATTAAGGCCACTATAAAGAGAGACAATCACGGAGCAGTTGATCCAATCTTTTGAAGATCAGAAAGCGCTAGACATGACCCAAACCCTACACCTTAAACTGTCCTCAAACTCTTAAACATTACGTCCTCAAGCCATCCTACAACCTAAACTTGCTGGTAACCCTATTCCAATTGCTAAGGCCCCGACAAACAGAGAGCCCTCATACTAAAGCCCTTATGCACTATAGTCTCGACCCTACAACCCCCCGTAACCCACGTTTTTCGGGCCCGTAATTATGATTTCCTTGTATACCTCCTTAAAAACATGTAGTATCCACTACACCCCAGGCCCGAAGTCCACCCTAAACCCGAAACCCTAAAACCATAAGACGCCCGCATGCCCCTTCGGTCTAAGGTTAGAAGTATGGGCCCTTTAATATGGACCCTTAAGCTTTTTCGAGGGAGCTTTAGGGACCTTTAAGAGTCTATATAGGGTATATAGTAGGTATTTAAGGATCCCAGGGTTTCGGGGGCGAGCACAGCAGCTAGCACTCGGACCTCGGAAGCACCGGCTGCGTTTTTTCTTCGAGTACTTCGGCTTCGGGTTTAGGGCGCATAAACATGAATTTCTGTGACCTGGACGTACATGGGTATGTAGTACGAAGAGAACTGCAGAGCAGCCAGTACGATGCCTTTTCTCATCTTGGTATGAACTAGTGGATGATTGTCCTGCCTGCTGTTCTTGTTCTGAGCGCTGTTTTCGGATGTCCATTGATTTTGGGTTTCCAACATATGCGAAATCTCCTATTCTCCCATATCGCCCATTTTTACATAGTCTATCTGATACATAAACGAAAAAATCGATGATGGGACAACCCTGAACTAGTTTATTTAAAACAGTCTACTTAACAGCTGAGCTAGACTATATTGCAAAATAAGATATATCCTGCTAAATAGCCTAACCCGGTCTTAGAGGTAGGGTTCAAGGTTTAGGGGATTTGAGGTTTTGGCTTCAAGGTTTAGGGGGATCGGAGTTTTTGGAATTTAGGCACGTAATGTAGGCACCTGATTTAGAAACCCTGGGCCTGTGACCCCAAAATAGTAAGATGCATACAAGGAACACAGATAAAGACCCAAGGTTTCTTCATCAGGTTCCTACATTAGGGGTTTAGGGTTTAGGGGTTGTTGCGTTTGAGCGTTTAGGGTGCAGGGTTTGGCTTCGGTTATATAATATAAGGGTTCAAGGGCTTTTGGCTCATTTTGATGTGTTAAGTCAAGTTCCCCTACGAGAAGCCAATATTTTTTGGGTGTCGCTTAGACTGAAAGCTCACTGATTAGGGCTCAAACCCCAAAGCTCTAAACCCTCAGCCCTCAACTCCATGTGCCCTCCATGATATCCTAAATACATTTAAATACCCAGTTCTTTTTTTGTGTCCCAACATAGTACGGCACCCTTACAAGAAGGACCCTAGAAGGGACCCCCATGTAGAGAACTACCAGTGTGCCGGTGAAGGCCCCTTTCTAAGCCCTGACCCGAGAAGACACGCCTAAGCCCGAAATTTTATCACCCCCACCTCGACCCCCAAGTACCCACTAACCAGGACCGAAAGGGCTCCATTAAAGGGCCATTGGGGGCTCCCGGGGCCCTGGTATAAGCACCAGGGTTTAGGGTTTAGGGTTTAGGGTTTGGGTTTAGGGTTTAGGGTTTAGGGTTTGGGTTTAGGGTTTAGGGTTTGGGTTTAGGGTTTAGGGTTTGGGTTTAGGGTTTAGGGTTTAGGGTTATCCTTCGACGGTGAGCCCCAAACCCATGCCCTTGAGCCCTAAACTAAACCCTGGTTCCTTCTTAACTAGAGCACAATACGTCCCCAAACCCTGTTCTGGTAATTATTAAGGCCCCTATAGTCTATAGTACCTTAATCATGAAATCTCGAGTCAACACCAGCTGACCACTGCCGCAGAACTTAGCCCAGCCAGCAGGTGCGTGTGCATGTGTAGAAAGCTGCCAGTATCTCGATTTAAGTGATGGTTCTAGCGCGGGCCTCCACAAGGCGATCATATAACTATCTGGGGGGGGACTACATAATTCTCGATGTACCAGGCAACCTTACCTAACCGAGTGTCTGTTCACTGGTCTTCGTGCGGCCGTCTCCGACATGTCCGCAGGATCCAAGCGGAAGAGGGAGACGGAGGCCATCGTCGCAGACGAGGATCTTTCTGCCGCATCTGACGTGTGGAAGGCTTGCTTTGGCAAGGACGGCAATTTCACAGTCATCGTGAAAGAAGCAGCGCATGATGCTGCCGAAGACGCTGAAGGTCAGACTGCAGCTAAGCATACGGAGTTCAAGGTATGGTCTTCCCTCCTTGGCAAGTGGTCTCCCGTCTTTGGGAAGAGGTCGGCTCGGACAGCTATGCCGAGTCGCAGAGGTCGCAGGTCGTCATCACAGACTTCTCGGCCACTGCTGTTGAGATCTTCCTGCGCTTCATGTTCTCCGGGAGCGTTGGGGGCTCTGTGACGGCAATGGTGGAGGTGGCTGCAATGGCCGACAAATATCAGGTGGAGGCGTTGCAGTCTTTGTGCTTGCAACTTGTCCGGCAAGCGCTGAAACCTGAGCTGGCATGCAAAGTCTTTGCCGCCGCAGACCTCTTTCACGTGGCTGCGATAAGAACAGAAGCGCTCGATCTGATCTTCACCGAGCCTGCGGAGCTCCGCAGGCTCGCTGAAGATCAGATCGAGCGCTTCTGTTCTTATCGCCCTGAAAGAGCCTCCAGTACTTCGTCCGGAGCTCTTGGAGGAGATCCTCAGCTCAGGCCTGCTGTGCATAGAAGAGGAAGCGCTGAAAGAGATCCTCCGTGGCTGGGGCGAGAAGGACTTTGCACACCTCGAGCCGATCATTAGCATCCCGGCTCGCAATGAGCACAGCCACGATGTGCTGGGCACGCTCTGGGATCGCTACGAAAGCGCCGGGTGTAACGGTGCCTTCCTGGGCTGTTGGGTGGTGGTGATCCTGGGCCTCGAGCATGCCTTGGAATTCACTACGGCTCAGCTCGAAAAGATGGCATCCAATCAACAACATTCCCGATTCCGACAAGGGTGGGTGCAGTGGCTTCTTCCCCATTCCCGGGTTCATCTTCAGGGCTTTTCCTTCAGTGAAGACGTACCGGACTCCGCATCTTTCCGGATTTGGTGCTCCGAAGACGGCGCGACCTGGCACCTCGCCTACGAGTCGCATAGGAAGGAGATCGGAGCTGGCACTTTCCTGGCTTGCAAAAGACCTCCAAACCCTGTGAAGTGGTTCAAGCTCGAAGTCCTTGAGGGTGAGCATTTCTATGACCTCAACATTCAGGGCATTTTGCAGACGCCCATGTGAAGTGGCTGTAGCAGCAGAAGCATGTTGCAAACGTCCGGCTGAAAGACCCTTTAGTCGTCGCAGGACCGTCATAACATGGTAGGATATGGCAAATGCAGCATCACCTCCTTCAGGACACACTTCCTCATTCTTGCAGACAGTCATGTGCCTTCTAAAATGTGGCTGTCCGAACAACTGCCAGAATTATCGTTATGTTTTCTGGTTTGAGTAATAATAAGATGTTATACCAACATATACCTCAAAGCACAACTAGTTGTTAAGCTTCCTTCGTTACTTAGTCAGAACTAGGGGAAGGGAAGCGGTGGATGACGTGGTGTTCCATCTGACCGCCTGGGTTGGCTTGCAAGCGGCTGGCCCAGCAAAGATTTGGCAAGCAGGCGAGGGTGTGAGAATCCTGGGAAGTTTGTGACAGCAAGACTGGGTTCTTGTTACAGGATGTAATTTAAGTTACCGTAACAAGGAAATCCCATTGTTTACGGTAGATCCCTATTATTGTAATTTAGATGAAATTCGTTAGCAACAAGAACCCGGAAGAAGCCTGCCACCTTCAGACTGACGATTGCAGAGGAAATGATCGAACTGGCACGCTGCTGAGCTTCCAGGGCACGTAGATTCCGAAGCCTCTCATCCGTAAGGCTATATAGTGCATGCCAGGGGTTGCTACAAAGTAAGGCATGTAGACCCAGAAGCTTATCCTTAAGGCTACATAGTACATACCATGGGTTTCTAGAGCATAGTTCCAGGGTCATGGTCTTTTCTGTCTGGGAACATGAACCTATGCAGACTCTAATGAAGAACGTTCGATTTGATTCATACCGCTGTGCCGTGGAAGCTGTGCTGAAAGTTCATCCAGCTGAATTTGTGCAGTAAGCAGTCGCGACAACTCCGGCTAGTTAAACGGTGCTGGGAAGTTTGCCGGAGCATTGGCAAGTGCATAAGCACGAACATACTAGTAAGAATTGCCCTCATCAGGGGCAGCCAGGATGGCGGAGCGGGCGCAGACTCCGCTCGGAGCGCTGGGTTTTGTTGGCAACAGGCTTGGGACTCAGATTCAGCACGGAGGGAATTTTTGTGCAAGGCCGCTAAGATGTTCCAGCTCGTTGTTTGTGCATTCCGGAGTTTGCGGCGCTGTCGATTTGGGGTCGTACGGCCCCGTACGGCTCCAGCTGCACAAATCAGTCGAAGTAGCCTGAAAATTTAGGGCTCGGATCTCCTACGACAGCAGCGACATGGTAGCATTCTCAAGGGGGGTTCAGGGAAACCTGGCAAGCGGTTGTTCGTGACACCCAGACGAAAAGCGGGCGTGTAGTGTATAACCCAGTGACCCATGATTGACAAAGGCTGGCTACTAATATCACTCGAGCGCAGGAAGTTGTTTGCTAGTTGTTGCTTGAAGTATTTGTTTATGGCTTCTGCCACCTTGAAGATTGCCGTAGCTGCCTTGCTGAATTCTGGGCTTCCGTTGTACATCTTCCGAATGACAGCTTGGCTGCTCTTCCCGGTTGTTAGCACCAGAGCAGGTTTGGAGAATGGAGAAGACCGACGTGGTGATAAATTGCTTAGGGCTTAAGGTCCATGTACCCAAATAGTATGTACTTTGGCCTGAAAGCTGTCCCTATATAGGTACTTTGGTGTCAAAGCATATACCCTTAGGGTGTTGGCTGAGTTTGAGGCCAGCGGGAAGTTACCGGAGACATCGGAGACCTGACCTGCTTTACACTGTCTACATGTAAACCTTAGTAATAGGATAGATAACTAAGCTTTTTACGGTACTATGATCCTTGTATAATCCCAAACATTAGCCTTTAGTTCCCGTTCTAGGATGCTGGACAACTACGAATCAGCGGTTTCTGTGAGGCTGCTAGTGTACAATATGCAGGCATGCATTGCAGTGCTGAGTAATACGTGAACCACTCGCTATGGAAGCTTAAGGTGTTGCGAACGCATGTAGCCTTGCGTCTTTGCTAGCCCTGCCGCAGTGTTTTTTGGGAGGACCCTAACCCCTTAAAGTATGCAAGAGTATTGCCAGTCAGCATGGCATATCATACACAGCCCCGTGCCATATGCAGTCGAGTGTATGTACCCTTATCAGGTAGTATTGTAATTACATATGTACGTATGCAGGTATGTATGCATGTAGGTATGTGTGCATGCATGTGCAATTATATATGGGCATAGTATATATTTATATATGTACCGATCGCATGCCCACACTGATACTGACACTGATACTGATACTTGTAACCATCCATACGGCCGATGCCCACTCGCCCTGTGTGGATGTGTGGTTATGGCATCGAGATCCTTGGCGGGTGAATGCAAGGCCAGGGTAGTCCAATATCCTTTTACTCCCATACGGTCTGCCAGATGTTAGGGCGGAAGGTATTCTGGGTTTGCGGTTTAGGGTTGGATGTCGGAATGTTGAGGCACAAACCGTAAAGCCTGTCATGTGTTTGATTACCTTATCAGGGGACGTGCCATCATGCTTGCACGGAGCTGCGTCAGCAATCGGAGGGATGGAGAAGGAACCAGCAAACTCCCAGATGTACCAACAAGTGCCCCTTAGAGCCTTAGAGGTTTGTGTTTTTTTCGGATCGCCATGTCAAGACTAAGATCTGCGCATACCTTAACAATCGTGAAAGTGCTGCCTTCACATCAGAAGTTGGAGCCAATGAAGTGGGCATGTTGTTCCTTTCGGCAGGACACACTTTTCCGTAGGTAGCCCCAGCCCTGCATTCTCCAACCCTAAGCAGTTTATCGTTTATCCGTTTAACCCCGAACCCGAAGCCCGTATCATCCATACCTCCATTACATGTCACGGCCAGGGCCAAGTGGCCGACGTCCTCAGTGCATGCTTCGGGCATGGGGACTTCACCGTGGCTGTGGTGCCCCCAGGCGCATGGGTGTAGGGCCGTACTAGGCTTCACTAAATAGTCACTAGTTACAACAGGACCCCCCCCGAAACCCTACTCTAGTTGTGCCGCATTATATTAAGGACCCAAAAAGGGACCCTAATGTTTTTTGTTTAGGGTTTAGGGGTTTAGGGTTTAGGGGTTTTGGGTTTAGGGCTTAGGGTGAACTTGGGCCCGGCTGTTACAACTTCATTGAAGGCCAAGCTCGAACGCTGCCTGAAAATACCATCGGAAAGATTCTGTTGCTTTAAATCTCTATCACCTTATAAACCACAAGCATTCTACAACCCTAAACCCTAAACCGTATCCGTTTATTACTTGGAAGGACCCAGGCTCAGGGAGTGAAAAGTACCCAGGCAGCCAACATCCCTTTCTTGCTTGTGGACAGAAAAAGGCGAACAGCTTCTGTACAGTAGGTATTTTGGCGGTGCTTTGAGGACATGCTAAATCGGTACTTAGACTAGGATGCCCAGTAGTACCCTTATTCCCTTTTTGTAGTCCTAGGTTCTTTATAAAGTTACCCAATACCAAAAAGAGAGGCCTTTTTATTCTTAGGTTACTGGGTATCCTAGTAGACATTTTAACGAGCCCGGCCTTACAACAGCCCTTCCAGCCCTTCACCTGGCAGGAGATGGCACGGATGGGGCAGACGACATCAAAACAGCAGAATTTCGAGTGCTCCTTGCCGGCATTCAAGCACAAAGCCTGCACTGACCTTGCACCCACAGTGCTGAAACCCAAATCCGAAGCTCTGAGCTCTGAACCCGCAGCACTGATGATTGCCAAGAAGCTACTGAGGTGGTCGGTGTTGCTCTCCAAGTGGTCGCCGGTATTTGACAAAATGACCCTTGGCCGCTTCGCTCCCCCATACTACTCAAACTTCTTTGACGCTGCTGCATTGGGTTTCTCATTGGTGCTCATCTCAGGCTTGCGGTTCATGGGTACTTCTGGGCAAGAAGGGTGTAATTTAGGGGCCTTAATAGTTACCTATACTATTTTAGGGGGGTTCTCAATATAAATATAGCATACCGTAAAGGGCCCCAGCGCCCTCTTCTAATTATGAAGGCCCCTATATTCTCAAATCCTTATAGTACCCCGTTAAAGGAACCCGTTTCTAATCATTCAGGCCCCGACACTAGCTCCGCGTCATCTTCGTAGCTGACAGGAAGGGGTTGTCAGCGGTTCAGTGATGTCCACTATGAACCCAGACGGTCCAAGTAGTCAATGTTATAGGACTTTGGGGCCTTTGTAGGTACCAAGAACAATAAATAAGGACCACTTGGACCCGTAGGGGAAGGTTTAAGGTTTGGGAGTTCAGGGATGTCGTTCGGCAGTTCAGGGTTCAGGAGTCAAAGTGTAAGGTGTTGCGGTTCAGAAGGCTAGGCTTTTTTTAGTGGAATTTCTCGATCCCCTTACACAAAAAATGCACCCCGAAACCTTGAGCCCCACCCCAGCAAAGTAAAACGATGCCTTTTTGGCCAGGATAAGTTCGCCGGACTTTGTGGAGGCCAACGAAAGCCAGGTGACTAGGTAGGCCTTTGGGACATTGTATTATTGGGCTAAAGAGGACACTATTTACCCTAAACCCTAAACCGAATATTTTTCAGAGGTTTTAAAGGGCCAACCTAGGTGACTTAGCTTCAGTCGTGGGTTCAGGATGACCGGTCAGGGTTTGGGGTTTGGGGTTCTCTCAGCGCTTAGGGTTTAGGGTTTGGGGTAGTATTAGGGTTTATGTTATGGGGCCTCGACGGAGTTTGACGGTGCTTTGCAAACTTTCTTGGCGGCTAGTGGTTCAGGCTTTAGGGTTTAGGAATGTTTTAGGTTTGGGGGTTAGAGTTTGAGTTTACGGGCCTGGGATTCAAGTGTTCTCAACAGCTGGCTTTATTTGATGGCAAAAGGTTTCATAGGGGGTTTTAACCTTGTCTCTGGCGTTTCTACTTGTTGGCCTCTCCCACAACCACACCCGATGCTAGAGATCCCTGGCTGCCCTGGCTAGCTTCAAGCCCGAGGCCCTAAACCCAAAGCCCTCATCCCCATGAAGCTTAGCACTCAAACCCTACACTCTCGATCCCAAGCTATTAAGCACTGAATTTTAAGAATCTATCCCTAAGGCTCTAAGGACTCATATTTCAAGGCTTTTGGCCCCAAAGACCATACTATATAAGGCTTTTGGGCTATTTTGAGCCTTAGGGTATGTGAACCTATCTCACAGAAATCCGACGCACCCAGCCCTTGCAGCATTGAACGCTGTAAACGTATATCCCTCCTTCGACTTCTTCATCATTAGAGACCCACACAAAAGCCTCTGAAGCCTCCTAAACCCCTAAACCCTAAACTCTAACCCCCAAACCCTAAACCCCTAAACCTTAAAGCCTAAACCCCTAAACTCCCATGCCCAAAGCCGGCTTTCCCCAAACCCTAAACCCCTAAACCTTAAACCCTGAATCCCTAAACTCCCATGCCCAAAGCCGGCTTTAGGTGGTCATCGCAGACTTCTCGGCGGATGCTGTGGAGACGTTTCTTCGCTTCCTCTACTCGGGGGCCATCGAGGGCTCCTTGGTGCCCTGGGCCTTTCTTGGGTTTCTTTAAAGGGGTTCCAGAAAACCCTCTCAAACCCTACGTGAGCCGTGCACCACCGAAGAAGTAACCCTAGGATGCCCAGTAGTACCCTTATTCCCTTTTTGTAGTCCTAGGTTCCTTCTAAAGTTACCCAATACCAAAAAGAGAGGCCTTTTTATTCTTAGGTTACTGGGTACCCTAGCCGAAGAAGTAACCCTAAACCCTAAGACCGAAACCCAGGCGACGCTGGTGGAGGTGGCAGCCATGGCGGACAAGTACCAGGCCACGGTCCTTCCTTGCAGTTTCAACAGACTTCCTTGCTTGATTACCGCAATGGATTTTTGGTAGGGTTTAGGGTTTAGGGTTTAGGGTTTAGGGTGCCCTCTGCTGAGGGTGTATGGGTCCTGCGAGCCTATACGACCCAAGCCCTGGCTATGAAGACGAAGCTTTAGGCATCGTTTTTCAGACCTCAATACGGCACTTGAATCGAATTCCACCTGACCCCAAGTCTTAAACCATCACAATCCTGCACTCCTACATCGTGTAAGCATTAAACCCGAACCCATCATAGCCCTAAAACGCCTAAAGCCTACATGTCCAAAACCATCATATCCCTGCGCCCTTGCACCTTTAAGCCTTCAATTCGAAAAAGTGCCAAAAAGAAGCGAAGCAACCCTAAACCCCAAAACCCTTAAACCCTAACCCAGAGGATCCAAGTATTCCCTATTATAGGACGTTAGGGCCTTATTAGGTACCAAAAGCCATAAATAGGGACTACTTGAACCCTTAGGGTAAATCACAAAGTCACCTGCTCGCTAAGACTTTTCGCGGCTCCGGCAGGCGGAAAAAGGTGCTTACAACAAAACCATATACCCTAAGTCTAGGATCTAGAGTAGGCCCTTATTCCCTTTTTTTTTAAGGTTCAGGTTCCCTGTAGGGTTTCGGTCTTAGGGTTTACCATAAGGCTCAGAATAGCCCAAAAGCCTTATGTAGTATGGTCTTTGGGCCCAGAAGCCTTAAAAAATGAGTCCTTAGAGCCCCAGGGTAAACCCTAAGTACTTTAAAGCCCCAAGAAGACCTGGGAGGTTGATGAGCTCTTGGTTCTCTGCACGGAGCCTCGCCTAACTCTTCCAATCTTCGTCTCGGGGCTCGGTGTGGTTTAGGAGTTTAGGGTTTCGGAGTTAAGGGTTTATACTGGTTAAGTTTTCAGTGATTAAACTTTGTCATCATGATTTGCGGTTGTAATTAGCTCGGGGTGTGTTCAATATGCTTTGGGTCGTTGTTTGCGCATCGATTGAATCGATTCTGAGGGTTTGGGTCCCGGGGCGTAGGGCGAAAGAGCTGTGGGAACCGACAGGCATTGGCATCGGATTTTAACCCTTGGGCTCTAAGGACTCATATTGTAAGGCTTTTGGGCCCAAAGACCATACCATATAAGGCTTTTGGGCTATTTTGAGCCTTAGGGTGAAGCTACGGTTCTTGTCATGAAGCTTCCTCTGAGCAAGGCAGCCGTAGCTACGTCAAGCCCGCCGTAAGGCCCGAACCCTGAGAAACCTCTGAGGCGCCAGCCCTGAATCCTAAATCCTACCTTGATCCTGAATATCCTACCTTTTAAAGACTTATATAAGGAAATCATAATAAGGGACACTAGAAAGGCAGGTTTGTGGGGGTTAAGGTAAGCCCCCGGCAGGTTCCCAAATCCTGAGACACGAAACTGTAAGCCCCTAAAGCCTTCACCCTAAACCCCTACCTAGTAGTAGAGTGGGTAACCTTCAACCTTTTTGGGGTAGTATCGTCCCTACAAATACGCCCTATATGACCGAAAAGGTTAACCTTTAGTTCCCCATCCTACCCGACAAGTAGGCCTACCCTGAGCTCCTTGCAACCCTTATAAGCCCCAAAGACAAGGAGGTCCTCCAAGAGCAACTCACTCAGCGGCCCGACATGGCGTGTGAGGCCCAGTATGTTATCATCGGAAGCCCGAAGAACTACGGCTGATGACATAAATCCTGCAGTACGCATAATAAGGAATATACCATACTTCCCATAGTCTAGGGTCTTTAAGGTAATGCAGAGTTCGTTTCATCAACCGTAATTCTGTAGATCCTGCAAAGGGTTCCTTTCAGACTGTAAAGTTTAGATGTAAGTATATACTACAGGGGTACATGGACAACCCTAAACCCTCAAATCAGGTTGAGGGCTTTAGGCTGCTTGTGAAGGCTGAACTGAATAGCGGTTCGTTTGAGAATTCAGGTCTTCCTCTCATGGTTTCTTTGAGGGTTTCGATGAGGGGTGCTAAGGGTTTATAGAAGCACGAATAGTATTTCGATGGGTTCCTTTACAGCCTCTTTGAGGGTTGAGCGCGTCACGGTTAGAAGCTTGAGTAATCAGGTTTGTAACGTGCTTATATGTAGGGTTTATGTGGGTTTGTGGTCAATGGGGTTTGTCGCCGTTTATTGGGTTCAGGAAGCAGGACTAATGCTATTCCTGAGATTTCCCCATGGTTCCTCGTTCGCATCGGATTATAACAAACCTCACAAGCCCTGTCCTGTTTGTTTTGGTTGGCCTGTTTAATATGTTTGGAGACGGGTGAAGCCTGTTCTGTTTTTGGGCTGTGGGTTTGGGTTTCGGGATTAGCTTAAGATGTGGCGGTTGGGGCTTAGGTAGGTTTTAGGGTTTAGCAGTTCGGTTTTCAGTCTCAGTGTTAGAAGGGTTGGTTTGGGGTTTTAGGTCATAGTTCGAGGGTATTGTTAAGAAAAATTGAAAGAGCACCCAATTCACACAAATGCCACATAGCTACAATGGTGATCGGTTGTTCTGATGTTTATAGATACTAGCAGTGGTGGTATGAAGATTGCGTTTTATCCCCACTCACACTCTTTAACCCTCCTAAACCCTAACCCCTAGACCCTTAACCCCTAAACCCCTAAACCCTAAGCCCTGATTTAACATGTCCTTTGCGCGGCTCCTTGCCCAGGTGCGAGCTCTTCGCTTGTGCCGACCGCTTTCAGGTGGCGAACCTTCGCTTGGAGGAGCTCATGGGGGTGCGGAGGTTTGGGATTTACCTATAGTCTCCATTGTAGTTCCTTTTTTATGGGTTGCTTTATAGGATCCCTAATATATAATTACGGATCATTTAAAGGGAAGGAACTCCAGAAAGTTGGAATATGCTTTCAGGGTAGGATACCCTATAATTTACTATAAAGGGTTTAGGATAGTCATATTCCAACTTTCTGGCTTCTACTGTAGGGTTAAGGATTTAGGGTTTAGGGTTTATAGGGTTTCGGATTCATGGTTCAGGGTTTAGGGTTTGCGGTTTTTGGCTTAGGATTTAGGGTTTAGGGTAGGCTTATAGAGTCTCATGGGTATTTTTACAGAAGTCTGACTGCAAGGGTTCATGGGAACCGTAATCGGGGTTATGTCAGCGAATCCCAAACCTGACTGTGTTACGCCGCTCCCCGTGCCCATCCCAACATAGCCGCAGTAAATATTGTGGGTCCTCTTCCAGCGTTATTCATGTGCAGCTTTTTAGCAAGAACTTGTTTCAACCTGCATCATGCAAAAAGACAAGTCAGAAGGACTCGATAAACCCTGTATCTCAAATCCTCAAACTTCATCTCTCGAAAAGACGAAACCCACAATGTGCGGGGCTTTTAGATCTGGTTTCCTTACATAAGTCCCTCAAAGGGTAGGTAAGGGAAACCCTCCTTAAAGCCTTAAAGGAGCTACCTTTTTGCGAACCCTAAACCCTGAACCGTAAACCCTAAAACGAACCTTCAAAGGAGCCCTAAAACCCTGAACCCGTAAATCCTACATCCCTTTATGACCCTTTAAGGAGCCCTATAGAACCCAAAGGGTCCAAAGTACCTATATGGTAGAATGCAGGGTTTCTATATTTGGAATTACTATTATGATTTGGGAAAGTATTCCCTATAACAGTACCTAGGACCCTTTGGGGAAAGCCCTGTTTCGGAGCCCCCTGTGAGGCGCTGGAGCAGATCTGGATCCATGCCTCCAAGGCACTGCCCCGCACGCGGCCCAACTTGAGCGCCAAGCTGCTGGACGAGGTCCCCTACTTGGAGGGTCGGGGGACGTAGTAACTGGTTATGTTACGGAGTTATAAGTACCATAACCCCAAATAGGGTCCCTTTAGGGTACTTATAAGTCTACTTACTACCTACTTACTAAGTCCCCCGACCCTCCAAGTAGAGGAGAATATGCGAGTTTCCGAAAATTGAACGGTTACTATAAGGATACCATAAGGTTTCCTTTAAGGACTCTACAAGGGTTTAGAGTTTCTGAAAATTGGGATACTTTATGTTGGGGGTCCTTATGATAAGGATCCTACTGTTTAGTGTACTATAGTGGGAATCTCATGCTTTTGCTATGAGGATCTCTATAAGGCCTTATATTAACCTATTAGCAACTGTCGTATTTTTGGTCGGGGTTCGGCGTCCGGATTTACGATTTTTAGGATTTACGTCACGCAACTCTAAAATATCCCAAATACCACGATTCTTGTTTTATGGCCCCTCATCAGATACTTCTAGATATAAGAAGCCTCCTTACTCTTTGGATCAAAATAGCCCAAGAGCCTTATATAGTATGTATGGTCTTTGAGCACAAAAGCCTTAATTTATGGGTGGTTGTCAAAATTATGGTCCCTTTTGGGGTACCCCAAATAATAGGTGCCGTATTATAGTAAGGACCCAAAAACGGACCCTAATTTTGACAAGTACCCATATGAGTCCTTAGGGTTACAGGATCCGTAGATCAAAGGGGAAAAAGAGGGACCCTTAATGGGAACCCCTACCCTATAATGGGCTATATAATGGGTGTATAATAGCTATATTAAGGGTATATACCTAGGGGTCCTTATTAAGGGTCCCTCCTTTTCCCCTTTGAGAAGATGGTAACCCGCTACATGCCATCGGGGTCGAGGGATGCTTGGCGATGTGGTTTGTGTTTAGTCTAGGGGCTTAAACAAGTACCGTAGGGTTCCTTTAAAGGGGTCCCATAAAAGCCACCATGAGGGGTATTATGAGGAATTAGTATAGGGGCCTAAATAATTACCAGTTACTAGTTTTGGGGTGTTCCTTATTCTACCTCCCAATACCCTATTCCCATTCTTATAAGGCCCTCTTAAGGCCCCTATAGTAGGGGTTTTGGTTTAGTCTAGGGCTTTCTGGAGGTATTGAACTTGGACTTGCTGTGTGCGGAGACGGAAGAGATTCGTGAGATTCTGACGAGCTGGGAGGGCAGCAGGAAGCGCAAGGCGACGGTGATCAAGGAGGCTCCAGCTGACAGCGTTTTTTAGGGTTTACCTAAACCTTAAAACCCTAAATGCTAAACCCTAAAAATCCTAAACCCTGAACGCTAAATCCTAAAACCTAAGACCTAAGACAGAACCCCAAAATCGGAGCTACAAGCGGTATTCTTGACAATACAGTCCCCCAAACCTCGAGCCCGATAGTCCCATGTAGCAACCCGGCATACAGCTGCCTGGTAGCGCAGGGGGTCACCGCCAGTAGCATCACTTCTAGGGCATTAGTAGTTACCTATACTATTTCGGGGGTTCCCCACTATAATTACAGTATGATTCGCCCTAACACCCTATGCTAGCCATTAAGGCCCCTCCTACATTAGGGCATCAGGGTCTCAGTATGAAGTACCTAATAATCATATCCTCTCCAAAATCCTAACCTACGCATCTAATTATTGGGTCCTTTGGACCCGCTGCAAGAGCCTCGTGGAACCCTGACGCGGGTTTTGTAAACAGGTTGGTTGTCCCTTATTAAGCCGCATTAAGCCTCATATCAATACCCCAAAATAGCACAACAGGTTGAGTTCTCATAACAATATAAAACAGCGACTAACTTTATTGCTAGTACGAACACCAATAATCATGTGTATGCTACTGCCTAACCGAATACGAAAGCATGCGAATACCAATACTGATACGGAATGCGAATACGAATGCTGATATTTCTATTCCTACTGAAATAGCAGTACGTAATTTTGCTAATATCAACAACTATATATATATATATATATACATATATATATATATATATTTATTGTTCATTCACTTATTTACTTATATTGTCCCTGACATAGGAGGATGCAGGGGACGAGGCAGACCTGTTCGTTGCCACGACGAACAAGCACATCGACCCTGGTCGAGGATTGCAGTCCTTCTGTCTAAGGGTCCATGTACCCAGACAGTATAGAGTTTGACCCCAAAGTACCCTAAGTAGGGACTACTTTAAGGCCAAGGTATATACTCTTTGGGCACATGGACCCTTAGGGTTTTCCTCTTTTCCTGTGCTCTTTTTGGTAACTAAGGACTCAGGCGGTTCTTTGGTTCTTGTCAAGCTCTTATCAACTCTTATCGAAGTTGATTGGAGTCTCCTTGTCTCGTTTGGTTTTTCTGGTTAAGTACAAAACCATGAGGAACTTGATTGCAGATACCATGACCATGGTTTAGGGTTGTAGTAATGTAGTACAGATTTGGTGATGCATATCCATTGGCACGTTTCTTGACAAGAACCCAGGGATTCTGTTGTGTGTTTTTTGTGTCTAAGTCTAGGCCACCGGCAAGATTTTAAGTTTCAGAGTGGGTATTGTGAGGTTTCGTTCTCATCCGGAAGCCTCTACGACTATCCTGGGCCTTCACTCTAAACCGTACCTAAACCCCAGATCGTAGACCCTATACACTAGACCCAACCTAAATCCTACCTTAAGCTCACCTATGTTTTCGCACGGTCGTACTAAAATGCGAGGATGTTTGTGTATTTTTGTTGTATACATACTTTTACAAGTATGTACTCATAGTATATACCATACAGGTATATTGTGCAAAAGCAGCGAACAGGGATGCTACCCAGACATGAACTCTGATGGTTCCAGACAAATCCTGAACGCAGCCCGAAGTCCTGTCCTACTTCGACCGCATATATCCTAGAGGTCCTAGCGTTTCAAGGGCTTAACATAAGGAGGTCACATAGGGAGCCCTAAAACAAGGAAGGTTTCAGTGTAGGAAGGTAGGGGTTTTGGGGGTTCCTCATGATAGATGTAGTATCATGGGCCCCCAAAAACCTGTTCTAATTGTTAAGGCCCCTATATTTTAGATCCCTACTACGGATCCCTTATCGAAACCTTTAAAGGATCCCTTTAAAGGAACCCGATTCTAATTATGAGTTAAGGCCCCTATAATAGGGGCCAAGGAGTCCCTGTGTTTGCTGCAGGGCTGACGTGAACCCGACACCTGCCCAAGCCTTCGCCAGAGCCGACAAGGCTTCTTTCGACTCTGCGTGCGTGCAAAACCCTAAACCCCATAACCCCTAACCGCCAAGCCCTAGATTCCTTACAAAAACCCTATAGACCCTAAACCCCCTCAAACCCTAATAACCTAAACCCTATATAAACCTGAGAAGCCACCTGGGCCCAGGAACGATTGAATCGTCCATGGCGGCGCACGCCGGAACACAGCAACAACGTCCTGCAGTCTTTATGGCTCGACTATGAAACTCTGTCTTATTTGGGTTTTAAATATCGAGTTTAAGGTTCAGGGTTTAGGGGTGGCTATGAAACGTAGTTAGGCTCGCGGAACTCAGAGTCAAGGGCAGATAGTATGCAGGGTCTTGGGGGCACCGACAAACCATAAACCGCAACAGACTATGAAACTTCGTCTATAGTTACACCATGTTCAACCTAGTTGGTCCTTAAATCTATTTCCTTTGTGCCTGGCCATCCATTGTTTCGATTATGAAGCCTGGTACTGTGTTGTCGAGTCAGCGCGGTTTTCGGACGCTTGAAGTTCAGGGCTCTAGCTTTGACTTTCTGGGGCCATAACCCCAGACCAATTCCATTTTTGATTCTGCTAGGAGGCGGGCTGAACTTGACAGCTAAGGAAAAATCTGGCAAGACTGGAGCATTCTTGGGCTGCTGGGTGTCAATGGTTCTTGGACCAGACAGTGCACTCTCTGCAAGCCCATCCCTGCTCGAAGCGTACGCTGCAAATGTTGAACCGATAAACCGCTGCATGGACTATGTGATTTGGATGCTGCCGCACTCCTCTGTATACATCATGGGTTTTTCCTTCCTCCACGAAGTGCTGAGTTTCACGAAGTTCAAGATCTACTGCTCCGAAGACGGCTCTGCGTGGCACGAGGTGTTTTGCTCTTCTCGACAGATTCCGAAGGGCGAGGTCGTGGTATGCAAGAGGCTACCTCACATGGTGAGGTGGTTCAAAGTCTCTGTTTCGGAAGGTTGCTGGAGCAATACTTTCAACATCCACGGTATCGTGACTGGCCTGAAGCCGACTAGACGCCAATGACCACTGACAGACAGCCTGCACAGAGAGGTGTGCAAAATCAGTTCTAGTAAGTCCCGGAGATGAAGTTCAGCGACAGCTTACGGATCATTTACCCAAAGGGTCCTATGTACTGTTATAGGGAATACTTCCCCAAATGATAATCGTAATTCCTAAGAATAGAGAAACCCTACATTCTACTATATCGGTACTTTGGACCCTTTGGGTTATGGTTGGGGATCCAGGTATGGCGCGGCTTGGATCCGCGCTCGCCCTTGGTGCATGATTTCGTCGATTCATGGTTCAACCACCATGGTGAATAACATATACCATAATAAATCTACCCAAAGCCCCTCTTGAAATTATTAAGACCTTCATATTAATTCGAACCGAACCTGACAAGCACTGAACGTGGCAGTGTGCCAAATATGGAGAACCCAAGATAGATTCCACCATAGCAGAATCGCCGTCCGACTAAATCCAAAGCCTCGAAAGGGCTCAATGCTAAACCCTGAATCCATTGCGAACTTTAACAGTTCATTCATGAATTCCTTCCTGAGCCCTGAAATGTTTGGAAGCTTTGGCCCTAAGGTCCGCGAGCCTCACCGCAGAAGTTTGAGCTGTGCTATCTTTACGCGAGACAAAGTTGCCGGGTTTTGGACTTCGAGACGCAGGTTTCGGGTTTAGGGTTTAGGGTCTGCGTGTTAGGCTTATAGGGCTTATTAGGGTTAAAAGATAGGGTTTCGGGTTTAAGGTGCTATCAGGGCACTAATGGCGCTGGACTTCGAGGCGTAGCTGTATGCGATACGGTTGATGATATGAATCCTGCATTACCTAAATGACCATAGACTATGGGAATGATGGAAAATGCCTTACTATGGGTAATGCAGGATGTATATCATCAACGGTAGGGCCTTCGGGAAGCTTCAGAGAAGCACTGAAATCCACAATACTATGCATCCGAGAGTCCACACTGCAAACCTTGAGCTCTAGGTAAGATCCTTGCATGCTAAGATTCCTTCCCCCTAGGCTCTAAGGACTCCTACTTTCAGAATTTTGGCCCCAACGACCATGCTACAGGGTTAGCGAGGCTCATGGTACTCTTTTTGCTTTGCATTTCTCTTGTCTGTCTGGTGCTTAGTGGGGAATGGGGGAATGAATTCTCGAGACTAACATTCGGGATTACATGGGGGCTACTACAGGGATCCATTCCCCCTTCAACAGCCGAGTAGTGGACGAATGAGAATACGGTCCTTTCTGGGGCTACTGGAGAAGCTCGCACAGTCAACTTTGTAGACGCAATCAAAAGCTCCGTTAGAATACCATGTGTCAAAATAGCCAAAGCTTCACCCTTGTGCAGAAAATATCAGAAAATTCCATAAAGGAGCTTCATACATCGTTTTTGAATCCGGAATCCTGACTGAGGCTTGCGACTCCGCTTGGACTCCACTTCTTCGAGGGTTCGGAGATTTCGAACGGTTGATGATACTATATATATATATATATATATCCTGCATTACCTTACTGACCCTAGACTATGGGAATTATGGTATATTCCCTATTATAGTGCATTTTTTGGAACTAGGGTATATTCCTCATTATAGTGCATTCTTGTGCAGGATTTAGATCAGCAGCCGGATGTCGGATGTTTGCAAGAGCCTGGACCTCCGCAAAACTTCTCGCGTAAAACACGATGTGGGTTATGGCTTCGGGACTTCGAGTTCGGGTATTGTAGAGGCCTTAATAATTGGAATAGGGTATGGGGGGGATATTATACCATATTTATAAAAAGGAACCCCCAAACCCTATTCTAGTTATCAAGGCCTCTACATTATCTTCTTTTATTGGTGTACAAAGCTGTGCTTGAGCCAGCCTTTCGAGTCGAAAGCAGTAGAACTGGATCTTGAACCAGCCTTTGACCTATCACGACATCCTTTGTTCATGTAGGCCTACTATAAGCTCCACATTGTAAACTTTTTTGGATAAGGTCCTACATCAAATAGGTTGTGTTCGATTTAGGTGAATGAAGATACGTCCTAAACCCAAGCCCTCAACCCAAAATCCCCGAAACCCTAGGCCTTGAAGCCGGGAAGGCTAGACTAGACCCTAAACCCCAAATCCTAAACCCTAAACCCCTAAACCCCTAAACCCTAAACCCCTGAACCCCTAAACCCTAAACCCCTAAACCCTAAACCCCTAAACATGTTCCCAAGATCCGCTTCAGTCCGACGCCTTAGCCTACCGAATTGGAAGACAGCCCTAAGCCTTAAGGTTCATGGGTAGTCATAAGTGGAGCTATAAGTAGGGTAACAAAAGCAAGTAACACACATTAGAGGATTAACTACTCCAAGTATTCCATAAACCCTGAGCGCACCCCGTTTGCAACCCTTATAAGCCGTCTATACTGCCCTGCCCTTCATGAGACCCTTGTTCAACAACAGACCCTGTTTCAATTGCTTATAGACTGCATAAAGTCGCTTTGGAAAAGAGCCATGGCTGCGACACATGCGTGGCTATGCCGTTGTCGCGCAGCATGGCGACGAGTGGAATCAGGTTTTGCGCCGATCACATTTGCTTTCTGCTGATTGTTGAATGTCTAGGGGTTGGAGACCGTACCAACATCTGTACACATTATTTCCATGCTATAGATCTTCGACCTTAAGCTGTCAGGTGAAGTTTGTGAATTGTTGGCTCTACGGTTTCGGGGTGGATCTTGTTTAGGGTTTGCAGTTGAGTTTCGGTGTTCGGGTGTTACGCCGATGGAAGTCGGAGTTGTTTTGATCAGGGCTTACTGCTGAAGTTGGGGTTTCGGGTTCTTGTAGTGCAGGAAAGTAGAATTGCAGGCAAGGTCCCGCGTAGTACGTTTGAGTCTCTGTCGCAATTCGGTTTCAGGGATGAAGCAAGTGTCGAAGAGAGTCTGAGCTCGAATCCTCAGCCCCAAACCCCTAAACCGCTTTGATCGGGTGGTTGCCTACCTTGAGCATTAGTCGAGCCCCGAAGCCTTACAGCCGGTGAAGGGGTCTAATATCGATGCCTTAATAAGTACCTATAGTATTGTAGGGGTTCATTATTATGTTTATAGTATAGTGGGCCCCAAACCCCTGTTCTAATTATTGAGGGCCCTATATTAGAAACCCACCGCAGCATCTGCCCCGCTAGCATGGACAGGCTCTCAACTTACCTTTTGTTAGTAGGGAATGGAAGAATGGTAGTAATAGTAGTTATAATTGTACTCCATTCCTCCATTCCCTACTAACCAAAGGTACGTGAACTGCATGTCTGCACGTCTGAGCGTCATCGACCACAACGTCGGCATCACAGTGACACGGCGGCGGAGGCTTTTGGTTTCCCCAAAGGGTCCCATGTACCGATATAGTAGATTGTAGGGTTTCTATGTTAGGAGTTACTATGATGATTTGGGGAAGTATTCCCCATAACAGTACATAGGACCCTTTGGGTTCAGAGCGTTCTAGGTCCGGATGGCCCTGCATTGCGTTTTGTAGGAGATTGGCTCGTCATTTAGAGCCACTTCCCATGATCACGAGGGCATCAAGCACGGCACCTATACAGTCTGTCTGCCTTCCTTCACACTGTTGATTCAGTCATAGACCTCAGTTCCTTCAGCTACTGCGGGCGAAGGGGTTGCCCTACCAGATACTCACTTGGGCTGGGCACAGAGTCCTCGGTTCTTGTTAGGGAACTGGATTACAGTCACCATAATTAGGATACCGTATTATTTACGAAAGGTCCCTGTAAATCCCCCAGCAAGAACCGAACCCAGATTCACAGAGGGGGGTTTCCGAAAATAGGGGACCCTAACATAGTACCCTAAATAGTAGTACCCTAAATAGTAGGATCCTTATTAGGCACCCCCAATTTTCGGAAACTCCCAAACCCTAAACCCTATAAATCACTTATAGGAACCCTTAAAGGAACCCTTATAGATCCCTTTAAAGGCGCCCCCAATTTTGCAAGCACTGTACTCAGTCCCAGCCTCCCCAGCTTCCTGAACCCTTCATGCTCTACACCCTCAACCCCAAAGCCTCCTGCAACCTTTCAAGGAAAGTTCCAAAGTTCAGGTGCATTTATTGGGCTCTGTGCAAAGGTTGAGCCTTGAACCCATTGCAAAACAAACAAAGTCGAAGCAAAGGCCTGTGGCAGAGGCGGCCAATGGCGCGGTGCACGACGCCTCCTCCGCCAGCGGGGCCTGCGCAGCAGCCGTGGCCTCTGTACGATCGCAGTTTCAGAAAAGACGCGACCCCTAAACACAAAAACACAAAACCCCTAAACCCCTGAATCCCTAAACCCTGCAGAACCCTGATGGATCCCTTTAAAGGAACCCCTATAGATCCCTTTCAGGAACCCTATAGCCCCTCAAGAAGATAGAAACCCAAAGACCGAAGTAGTAGGATCTTCGTTCTGGGTGAATGAGAGGAAGGACTCCCACCCGACGAGAGTCAGCATCCGATGGCAAGGAGCTCTTCTGTGTTTATCCTCGGAAAAGCTTTTTCCGTCTTAAGCTCATAATCTTTTATAGTAAAAGTTCAGTAGTCAGGGGTCTACATAATCCTCTACCCTGCTCTACAGCCTGAACCAGTTGCCCTAACCGGCAATGCAAATCGCGAACCCCGACAGTCATAGGCCATTAACCTTAAACCTTAGATCCTGAGCTTGAATCCGTATAGCAAAATCCTAAAGCTCGGGGTTGCCATTGTCAAGCGAAGTAACATGAAGCCCTATATATGTTAAGCTGAACACCTTTCCGAAAGAACCTATGTCAACCCCTCACGCAGTCTGACGCACTCCCCAAAAAAAGTCTTTCACCCTAAGGGTTCATGTACCCATACATATAGCATATACTTTGGCCGAAAGTACTCTGAGGCCAGTGTATATACATATGAGTACATGGACCATTAGGGTTACAACCCCGATAGAACTCTTATACAACCCATCATAAATTCATAGAAAACCATCCCAGAAGAGAGCCATGGCTGCCCTACATGCGTGGCTATGCCGTTGTCGCACAGCCTGGCGACGAGTGGCACCAGGTTTTGCACCTGCTACATGGCCATATGTGTTTTGCGTTTTTCGGGGAGTCATGGGGTTGATAGTGTAAGGGTTCAGGACCATGAAGCCTAGATGCTCTAGATCTTCACCCCTGTAGACTTTCAGGTGGGGTTTGACGATTTTGGAGCTTTACGGCTTTGGGGTGGATGTAGCACCTTCTCCATGGCAGGCTTTCGGGTTTCGGGTCCTTCTGGTCAGGGTTGACAGGATCTCCCCGAGGCTTCCCCGACAAGTCGCAAGTTGTGGTACGCTTGGGTCTATGCCGAAATTCGGCGTTAGGGCTGAACCTAAGATCCTACCTATAGGCTCATACCCTACCCCTTTTTTAGGGTACCTACTTTTCGATATAGGAGATCCTAACCCTAAAATTCGGTACCCTAAAAAAGGGGTAGGGTATGACCCTTTAGGTAGAGGCCTTTCGGGCCTGACTTCGTAAACCCGAACGCACGCTTCCCCCCAAACAGCTGCGATCGAGCTCTGACTGTTTCGTTGCTTGGGGACTTTGGGCTCTTCGCTTGAAGAACTTCTCGAGCCCGGCCCCACGGTACCCCAGATTGGGGCCTTACATACACTTGTAGCACATCTTCGTAATCATGATTATATATATATAGGGGTAAATAGCTAGTTGATTGCGGGTAGCTTCTGCCCGCTGGCTTGGAAAGGCTCTCAGCTGCCAACCATGCACGTCTGCATGCGAGCGTCATCGACTACAACGTCGTCATCACAGTGACCCGGCGGCCTCGGATTGCTCTGTTCGGTACTGAAGCGCGCGTGAGTCTTTAACCCTAAAACCTAAACCCTTAGGGTTCAGGTTGATGGTCCTTCAATGAGTTTTGGAGCTCCTGGTTTGTTGTTTTTTGAGAGCAACCGTCGTTGCTGCATCTTCCGACAGCCAAATGACCTACAAGCTTTTATCCTTTGCTTAGCTCCCCCGAATGAAGTACCTTTGCCGTTTTGTTAAATATACTTTACTATTGTTGGAGCCTAACTTCCTAACCACTATCGAACCCTGTAACGGACCTCAAGTCCTAGACATGCACAGCTTCCTGAACGCTTCACCCTCAACTCCCTTAGCTATTCAACAGCCGCCACACAAAGCAAAGGCCTGCGGCAGAGGAGGCCAATGGCGCGGTGCACGAGGCCTCCTTCGCCTCCTCCACCAGCGCGGCCTGCGCAGCAGCCGTGGCCTCTGTGCGATCGACAAAACGCGAATAAGATGAAACCTAAAGTCCCACGTAGTCGGATTTGCCTCCTGGCCATGTTTAAGCGACGGATGAGGTACTGCTTGAATTAGAGGCACTAGTGCAACCGTCAAGAACAGATTGAAAGAGGAGTCCTTCTGTTTTTGAAACCCTCAAAGAAGCATTTCTTCTGTTTTTTGGAAACCTCGGTGAATGTCCCAGGCCTGGTGTCCTTCAACGCGGCCAGCAGCGCTTGCGAACGAGGACCGGGCCGGCAAAACCCCGAAGCCATCCGAAGCCCTACCTTAACCTCCCCAAAACCTACCATATTAGGGTTTATAATAAGAACCTACAAAAAGTTAGGGTTTGGTAGGTTAAGGTAAAAGCCCTACATAAGCCATAAACCGGGTAAACCGTACCAGGACCCCCTCCAATGGCCCTTTAATGGATCCCTTGTGGCCCCTTAATAGTGGGTATGCGGGGTATATTAGCGGGTAGTTGGGGGGTCTAGGTAAACCCCAACGTTTTGCCGTCTTGAAAGCCTTGCACGGGTCTGGAACTGAAACCTCCCGCTGCGAGCCTGCCTGAGCCAGCATCAGCAGCACCATCATCATCAGGGTTTAGGGGTTTAGGGGTTTAGAGTTTAGGGGTTTAGGGTTTAGATCAGCCTCATGTACCCCATCTCGCTATTCTTCACCACCTAAGCTCGGGTTTTCGTTGTGCAGGAGGCAGTTGTAGGCAAGGACCTCCTTCCTCTGGCAGAGCAGCTAAGAGCCTTCAAGGGTTAATATAGACGCCTAAATCATTACCAAACTTATTTCACGGCTGCTCATTATAATTGCACCACAAAGGAGCCCAAAACCCTACAATTACATTTCATCCTGCAGATCTGAGACGACACGGTGTAGCCGCTCAATGCCGAAGCCGATGTATGATCCCAGATCTGAGTTCTTACCGAGACTCCAGTACTCGTAGGCAAGGAATACAGCATAAATGTTGTACATCATAGAGACAAGACTACGGCTTCAGGCTGATTCCTTATTGAAGGGGTATTTGGGCGACACTTCTTCCGATCAAGTGTCTCGGATGGGATTTTGCAGATTCAGATTGGCTTGGTTTTCGTTTCCAGGTTTCATTACAAAGAAGCGGGCCTGATTTCTACATGTCGGCTGAAAGGAGGATCACGAGGAATGCACTTCTTCAGAATCTTTGGGCAGGTATCTTCCATGAGAAATCTGCTGCACTCGGATAAAGCAGTGTCATTGAGTCATCTGGTTCCGTATACTGATACCCAAAGCCGCCATTCCGTAAAACCCTATGTAGCCCCCCTTCCAAAACAATAACCCAAGGCCCAAATGCCAGGATGCCCAGTAGCACCCTTATTCCCTTTTTGTAGTCCTAGGTTCCCTGCAAAGTTACCCAATAACAAGAAGGGAGCCCTTTTTCTTCCTAGGTTACTGGGCATCCTAGAATATGAAAAGACTACATATATACCCTAAACCACTAAACCACGAAGGCGGCGCCTGGCAGTGGTGCTTAACGCACCGTGGCACAGAGCTGCTTAAGATGGGTTTGACTGGTTAGGACAGTGTGTTGCGGTTTGGGGGTTTGTCGTTTAGGCTTGAGGGTTTCGAGTTTGGAGGCCTTAATAGGGTTTTCGTGTGAATTGTTGTAGAAGCCAGGAGCCCTACGAATCCCACGAATAAACTATTATACTCAATTTGCAACAGTACCTGTATACCTGCTCTTGATGACCTTCAGGTGCAGCTTTTCGTGGTTTGAGTTTACGGTGATATTACATGGTGTTGGGATTAGTTTAGGGGGTTTAGGGTTGTGTGGTTGTCCCTTCCTTCCTCCTCCCCGGCATAACACATCCTGTCAAAGTCGTTTGATAGTCCAGCCATCGCCATTTACGGTTGGTGCCCGAAACCATGAGCCCTGAATGGAACAGCCCAAACCTCCAAGCCTCAAGCCCCTTTATACTTGGAGCCGATAAGCATCTAGGTGTGACAGCGTCTGGACTTTGTTTTAGGTGTTGGGGCTCCGGGGCTGTGTAAAGAACTTGGGAATGGCAGTTTTTGAGCTTTTGTTCTTTACGGGGTCGAGGGTGCGCGACGGTGCAGGGGCTGGAGTTCTGCATAAACACTAAACCCCAAACCCCAAACCCTAAACCCTAAACCCTAACCCTAAACCCTAAACCCTAAACCCGAAGAGCCCAAAGGACCCATTGAAGTTAGTACAAAAGAACTCGTATCGAGGCTCTTGGCCGAGCTGGCCGCATCTCAGCATCGCCCTGACGAAGTTGCTTGGAAGCAGCCCTCATAGGAGGCCAAAAAGGGTTTAGCCTATGGGGGTTTAGTAGGGATTAGGGCTCCCATAACAGGTTGAAATCTCAAGGAATTCCTACCCCAAGACCTTTGATTTCAGAGCGCCGACTGGGTATGATATTACACTTTTTTCGCTGCAAGGAGCCGATACCCTTAGGCCCCGAAGTAGTTTCTTTTGGGGGTTCATATATGGAATCCTATAAGGTAATCCCAAAAAGGAACTACTTTGGGGCCTATGGGTAATGCCGTACCTTTGCCCGACAGGTACGCTTTTGCAACCCATCACTGTCTAGATTGCTGCTGCAAGCATTTAGATCTTAGGGCAACTGGTTTCGTTAGGCTGAAGTTTCCATCTCATAACGAATGATGTTGCTAGACTTGGCTTCTCTGGTTGGCCACATTTCCCCTCGGCGCTTTAGTTCTTACATGGCCTTACCGTAGGCCGAATTACGCCCCTACTCCCCACACCCCAATGTTTGTAGAACCTCCAAAGCCGGGGTGTGCTGGTTTAGGTTTGATCGTTTTCCCTTCTGGGGGTTTCCGAAAATACGGTTGATGAATCTTGCATTACCTTGAGGACCCTAAACTATGGGAATTATGGTATATTCCTTCTTATGGGTAATGCAGGATTTAGATCATCAGCCGTAGGGGACCCTAATATAGTACCCTAAATAGTAGGATCCTTGTTATAAGGACCCCCAAAATCAGGTACCCGCTATTTTCGGAAACTTCCTTCTGGAAAACCCAACTATACAGAGCTTCAAACCTGAGGGCCCGAAGCAACATTAAGTACTAAACCACACACTATATCGTAAACCCTAAACCCCTAAACCCTAAACCCTGAACCCAACAAAAACCCTAAACCCTAAACCCCTATACATAAACCCTAAACCGTTTAGGTTTGATCGTTTTCCCTTGCAGGTTAGCCGCACAGGCGCCGTGACGGCATTGCAGTCAGGCGGCTTTCGGTGTGGTACGATTGATGATATAAATCCGTGGATTCTTTTACAGGGATCTATAAGGTTATCTTTCAAGGGTTCCTTTCGGTGATCTTTAGAGTTTTAGTGTTTATGGGCTTAGGGTTGATGATATACATCCTGCATTAAATAAATTACCCTAGACTATGGGAATTATGGTGATTCCTTATTCCGGGTAATAATATTCGCTCTTGCCGTTTAACCTGGGACCTCAATAGTTACTAAAACTATCTTGGGGCTCCTTCTTATAATTATGATACATTGGGCCCCAAAACCCTGTTCTAATTGCGAAGGCCCCTATAACAGGTCATGCTTGTCGCATAACCGGGACCCTGCGTGAACTCCTAAACCCTAAACCGCTAAACCCTAGTCCCAGGAAACCCTGAACCCTAAACCCCTAATTCCAAACCCCTAAACCCCTAAACCCTAAACCCTAAACCCTAAACCCTAAATGCTCCAGCCTGATCTCACCAAAGCCCTGCACTAAAGACCCGGAAGCCTCTGAGCCTCAACGGTTGAGGGTCATCCCCCCAATCCCAGCCCTGCAGCTCCTTATAAGTGGGGAATATACCGTAAATCATATTAGGGATCCCATGATAATGTAAGGTATATTCCTGCATTAAGGGGTTTTGGAAGTTCAGTCCAGAAGTACACTAAACCCTGACCGTAACCCCTACCTGCAGCTTACAGTGCCCTACAGCTTCTCAGAGGACAGAAAAGTTAGTACTGATGTCCCATGAGCTTACGAAAATTGTAGTCCGGGTATAGCTAGACTCTCGCCCCTCCCCGAAACTATACGTATTCCAAGTTGCAGCCGCTGCAGCTCACCTCAACAACTCTTATAAAACCCTTGCCCTTGTAGCACTTACATATCAGACCTATAGATCCACATAACATGAGTCTAAAAGCATACTCCCAGTTCGCCTGAACGCCAAACCCTACACCTTTTTTAGAACCCTAAACCCGAAACCCCAAACCTCTCAGTACATGAACCTTTGCGAGTTGCCTAGCGCAGGCGGACATTGGGCCCAGGCGCTAGACACCTCGGAGGCAGCACCAAGAGGTAACAACTCGATTCGGGCTTTATGGAGCTTAGTCAGGTTTCGAATGTTGGAGACGCCTGAATAGTTCTGAACATCATGCCTCATAGGGTTCCTTGTTTATCTGTAGAGTAAGGCACCCAACAGCCTATTCTCCAAAAGGCACCTATATGTGCAAAAGAATACGGAGACTGAGCAAGTTCGCCGTAAAAAGAGTTAACTCAAAGTACCCTGACCAGGGTTATCTCACTTATGACTCTACAGAATACCTATAGGCGCTAAGCCCTCAACCCGATAGCATATAACCTAGTTAGTGCCTTAAGGCTCCTGGACCCTTGTAGTGAGATCTCAGACCCTAGCCCCCAAATCCGAAACCCTCCCGCAGAAAGCCCAAGACCCTCTTTGCAGCCTTAGGGTAGACTCTAGTATCCTAACCCCTAAACCCTACACCCTTTATAGAACCCTTATAGATCCCTTTAAGGAACCCTAGGAGCCTTAGGGTAGACTCTAGTATCCTAAACCCTAAACTCCTAAACCCTATAAACCCTTTATAGAACCCTGATAGATCCCTTTAAGGAACCCTAGGAGCCTTAGGGTAGGGCCTTCAGACACGGTAAGTCCCATGAACCCGGGAGTAGACTCTGCTACTCTGGAGTTGTATTACTCGGACACCGAGATGGAGATGAGCCTGCCAGGACCCCTCCTTCTTCCCCCCAAAAAGGGGTATATGTTCTCTAAGACCTGACTAGTTAAGGACTAACAGAGGGTAGATGGAGGGTCTAGGTAGTCTACTTCAGCCACAAGGTATGTGTAGAACAACTTGATTCACAAGGACATGAGCATAAGCTACCGAAATTCACGAGGATTTGGCTATCTTATTGGGTTGTCGCTTGTAAGCTCTGTGCCTGGGGGGTCCCCCTATCCAGATCTCTCGTGTTGTTTGGCGGGGCCCTAACATGGAGACCACTGAATCAAGGGCTTTAGCAGGTATTGCAGAGATGTTTTGACGACGTAGCCCCCAGTACACTCCCCTGACTCTAAGGGGATTCAACTTAGGATCTCGATTAACACCTTGGTAGGGGTGGGGGTAGACATCCAACGATCGCCGGTGCCAAGGACTCTGGGGTTTAAGGTTTTGCTCTGGTGGTCATGGTTTAGATTGCGTGCTGTTTGTCTAGATTTCGAGTGTGTGGCATTGCATCACCTGGGGTGTTTCACAGGCTACAAGCACAGTTGGCAGAGACTGCCCGAATGCCGTAGTTTTGGGGCAGCCTTACCCGTATGTTTACGAACCTCATTATAATGCCATAAGCTGAGGCCTCAACCATAAACCCTAAAGCCGGGATCCTATGTCGAGCAAATGCCAACTGTCCGCCCGAAGCTGCAAGGCAGGGGCGTCTATAATTGGAATAGGGAGGGGCGGTACATAAGAGTGTATTTAACCACGATCAGAAGACTTTGTATTGTAATGTATGACTTCTACGTTACATGCACATTGACTCGGAAGCCAGGAGACCTTACATAGCAAACCCTGAAGTATACACAAGAGAAGTCAGCCCGAACCAATCACATACGGAAGAGCACAGCAATCCCTTCGGACTAATTAGACAGGATGCAGTGGATCTGGAATCGGCTAACATTGCCAGAGTGTTGGTGTCCATTGGGCCATCTAAGACCTAGGAGTCATACAGTATCAACAGCACCCAAAACTGTAAGCAAGCACCGTTGGGCTGAAGTCCAAGCACTTCAATGCTTTCGTGTGCAGAATGTTGCCGTCTTCAGAGGTTTCAGAAATAATGTAATATAGCCATAGCAGAGCAACCTCTAGTGTCGGTAGTTGATTTGCACTCACCCAGAGACTTCGCAGGCCTTGGGTGCGAACGTCGTGGCGAGAAGCCACCTGGAACGGGAGAAAGCTCGTCCCCTAAACCCTCAACCCTAAGCTTTTGCTTGGATTGCTGCCAGCTTTTGTGGGATAGCGTTTAGGGTGACGCTGGGAGGAGGGGAAGTCTGACGCTTGCAGTGGTACCATGGTTATCCCGTCGATGTGGGAGCTTCCGAAAATTAGGGTTGGGTACTTATAATAAGGATCCTACTATTTAGGGCACTATATAAGGGTCCCTTACTGAGGGGGAGTTCGAAGTTGACAGGGTTAAGGGTCATAATATCTGGGCCTAACTAATTACCAATACTACTGGGGGATTCCTTATTATAAATACACTATAATGGGCCCCAAAACCCTATTCTAATTATTAAGGCCCCTACATTAATAGGGTCCAGGGCGAGATGAGATTATACTGTGTTGCCATGTTGTCGGAGGCATAGTAGTCTGCAGTGCTATACAATCCTGTTCAACCCCCGTGGCTGCCATCGAATTGACACCAACCCTACGCTATGAAACGATGAAGGCATCCAAATCCCATGCTTAGCACCCATGACAGGATTTCGGTCCAGTTCACGGTTAGCTTTTCTTCAACCTTCCTGGAAAATTCATTGGCAAAGCAGGAATCCGCAGCACCCATGACAGGGTGTCGGGCTATGAAGATCACGCGAGCTTTTCCTCAACCTTCCCCCAAGGGTCCAAGTACCTAATAATCATATACTCTCCCAAATAGTAACCTACATAACTACTGTCCGAAGCCGAAGTACCTAACTATTGGGTCCTTTGGACCCTTGGGGTTCTGGACAAAAAGCAGTGGAAAACCAGGCTCGCGCTCCTGCAGAGACTACACAACAAATCCCTTCCATGTTCTCTACGCTTCAGACACATTCATGATCAGAATAGCCCTTAACTCTAAACCCAATACGAACCTTCAACCCTACAAACCCGCTATAAACCCTTGAAGCCCTGGAAATTCAGAAGTCCCATAAAACCCGAAGGCCCTACAAACCCACTATAAACCCTTGAAGCCCTAGAAATTCCGGAGTCCCATTAAACCCAAAGGTGCGGCGATGAGAGGGCAGGTTTGGTGGCGATCCCTGTGCCTGCTGAAGGAGTGCTCTGGCTGGCAGTTGGGGTTTTCGAGGATTGCATGACGGTTTTGTGGAGGTTTTATGAGTTTTGCAGGGTTTCATGAAGGTTTTTGTAGGGTTTGAGGAGGGTTGTCCAGGGTTTCATGAGGCTTTCGTAGGGTTTGTAGAAGGGTATAAGGGGTTTCCGGCCCTGCTGTATGGCTGAAGAAGTGCTGTGGCTGGCAGTTAGTACTGGTTTAGGTGTTGGATGGTTTGGGGATGTGGGATTTCGGGTTGAGGGTACCTTGGAAAGCGGAGGGTCCTCTGCACAGTCTTTATCTATGATCGCAAATACGTCTTGCTGAGTTTAATTTTAAGCCTTATGAGCCCTGTCAAGATCTATACACCCTACAGCCTCAGTTTCTTTTGCCAAGGCTCGAGAGCGGCTGCAGGACGGCAGCTTGGATGCACGAGAGGTGCCTTGCAGATGGCTATACCCGGAGCCCCGGGAGCATCTGGAAAGTAGATTCCCTAATTTGGGGCCCTATACTACTAAGGGTACTGTATAGGAACTCCCATTAAGGGATCTACTTTTTGGATCCTCCCCGGGGGTCTGGGAAGGGATCTATAAGAGTACTGCAGTCCAGGTTGAGGTTTACCTAGAGGCTCCATAGTAGTTCCTTTTGGCGGTTCACATTTAGAATCCTACAAGGTAATCCCAAAAGGAACTACTATGGAGCCTATGGGCAGAATGTAGAATTTATACGGGTCTTGTAAAGATTTAGGGGTTTAGATGCTTATGCAATCAGGGCATAGAGCTTCAGAGCTGAGACATTTGCATTTGAAGGTGCCTCGTTCCAACATTTTCGGGTGACCGATCTCGCCCAAGGCTGTTAGCAATGTATGGATGGTTGTCAAAACTACGGTCCCTTTTTGGCTCCCGAAAATAATATGGCACCTAATATTTAGGGTACCCAAAAAGGGACCCCGAGTTTGACAACCACCCGTATGGTTCCGGGATCTCTGCATCACTCCTGACCTTCCACCCTGCGTAGAACCGCTCTAAGCGAGTTTTGACTTGAGGGCACGGTGTAGGGTTGAGGGTTCAGGGTTTGGGGTTTAGGGTTCAGGGTTCTGGTAAAACCCCAACCAAACAAGTTCGGACACTGGAGGATAGCCCGAGTTGTAGCTGTAGCATCTCTTGCAGTTTGGGGTTCAGAGTCCGGAAAGGCTGGCGGACTTGCCCCAATCTGAACTGCGAGGCATCAAGTACTAATAGTACTAGCAACAAAAGCTCTCATAGTACATACTAGTAGTAGTAGTAGTAGTAGTAGTAGTAGTAGTAGTAGTAGTAGTAGTAGTAGTAGTAGTAGTAGTAGTAGTAGTAGATTCAGTAGCAGTAGCAGCAGCAGCAGCAGTAGCAGCATCAGTACTAGTACTAGTAGCAGTAGCAATACAGTAAAGTAAGTAGCGGCAGTAGCACCGTCTCACCAATCGCATGGCCGAGGATGCGGTTTCTTACCTCGCAGCTTTGACTTCCTTGGCCTCATCATGGGTGGAGTCGTTGGCCTTGCCGCTCGTCATTACAGTCGGACCCTGCGGGCATTGTTAGCCATCTTGACATCACATGCACACATACATACATACACACGTACACCTACAGGCTCAATCTTGCCAAGATCGATTCCCTGAATCACATATCTTCAGAATATGACCCTATACACAGCCGCGACTTCGACACTCTTACATGTCACAGCGTGTCAACCCAACGGATCTGTGCATCCAACCCCGGAGCACCCAAAGCAAATCTCGGCAAGGTCATGTGTACGGTAGGTGCAGCTGCATCAATCTGTTTAGCCGCAGGGATGTCTCACCTAAACTTGTATTGCGTGACAGCAGCATCTTGACTTCCAAAAGCCCCACCAGACTCTGCTGTAATCCTGTATTGAACAGATTTTCTAATCCCCAAAGGACTCCATGTACCTATATAGTCAATGCTGAATGCTGTGGCCCTGAAAGGATTCACGAAGAATCCTCCCAACGGCACATCTATCTATCTATCTATATATATCTATATCTATATCTATATCTATATCTATATCTATATCTATATCTATATCTATATCTATATCTATATCTATATCTATATCTATATCTATATCTATATCTATATATATATATATATATATATATATGTGAGTGTGTGTGTGTGTGTTTGTTACAATAGCCTAATGTTGTTCATGTTTGTTCATCTACACACATGCATGCAGTTGTACATACCTTTACATACATACCTTAACCTACCACAGCCTACTTTGTGTAGGGTCGCTCTAACGTCCATATTAAGGTTCATACTAAGAGCCTACAAAAAGGTAGGGTTTGGTAGGTTAATGTACATGCATGCAGAGGCTGCAGGACCAAAGCCTGCGTCTGGGACTGTCTCTCCAAGCGGCCGTGGCAGCCCTGGGCGCCGGGGCCCGAAGCAGGCCGAGTGACACTGAAGTTTACCATAATGGGAGTTTCCCCCTGGGGCTGTTAGGGGGATTTTAAGGGCTACCTTTAAGGGGCTCCTTTAAGGGATCTATAGGGGGTTTTAGGGTTTAGGGTTTAGGGTTGGTGATATGGGAGTTTCTGAAAACAGGCCTTTAAAGGGTTCCTTAAAGGCATTTATAATATATAAGGGTTCTATAATTCTATAAAGGGTTCAGGGATTAGGGTCTAGGGAGTTTCCGAAAATAGGGGACCCTAATATAGTACCCTAAATAGTAGGATCCTTATTATAAGGACCCCCAAATAAGGTACCCCCAATTTTCTGAAACTCCCAAGTTTACCTTAATCCACCAGAACCTACTTTTTTGTAGGGTCCTTATGAATTCCGTATTTGGGTCTATAGTAAGAACCTGCAAAAAGGTAAGTTTTGGTAGGTTAAGGTAAGGTTTAGTGTTACACTTTTGGGTTTCAGGGTTGTAGAGTTTGCAGTTCAGGATTTTGCAAACTGTCGTGGGTTAATTTGCAGTTTTGGCGGTACCCCTCTAAACTTCCAAACGTATAGTATGTTCCTTTGGATGACTTTGGTACGTCGGGATCTGTTCGGGTTCTGCGGGCTGGGACCCGACATCTGAGTTCTTGTAGGGCCCAGACACTCCAATACCCCTTTATTAAGGAATATACTAACCTTAAATCATAATAGGGATCCTACTATAATTTTTTTCAGGTATATTCCTTAGTTAAGGGCTGTTGGAGTCTCTGGGTGGTAAACCCAAAACTCGTAACTTGTCGCGATAGGCTGCACATACCGCTGGCAAGTGACACACAGCTTCGGGATTCCGTTGGGTTTTGCGGGCGGTATTCGATACGGTCCCTCCCCCGCGCTGCCATAATTTGCCCAAATCCTCATCCCTAAACGCCTCAACCCCTTAACCAGATGACCTAAACCCTAAAAACACCTGTTTTTTGTCGATCCCTCCGTCCTTGTCTGCAGGTACTGGCGCTTAGCACTGGCATTGCTGTCGTTGCTTGCGCTGCAGCGGATACGGAGCCTGCAACCCTGAAAGCCGAAATCTTGTGTGGCAGCTTGTATGATGGCTAGCCTTGCAGACATGTGTTCTAGATAACAGCAAGTCAGATATGCATCAACTGTTCTGTAGGTTCTTTTTCTATACCCTAGAAGAATCATTGGGACCCTACACAAAGAATGATTATTGCTAGGTTTATTCAGCCTGATACTGCTGATGGACAAAATCCTGCATGACCTTAAGGACCCTAAACTATGGAAATCATGAATTATGGTATATTCATTATAATGGGTCATGCAGGATTTTGTCCATCCACAGTATGACTGCAAATGCTAAACTCCAGCACCCGAAGCTCCAAGAACGGTTGTTTGGGCGTCTTTTCCGTGCTCTAGCATCGATTGAGGCTGTAGGGCTCCACTGCTTACGGTTGGGGTTAGGGGTTTAGGGCTCTAGAGTCTAGAGTTTACAGGGCCCCAAAAAAGCACATACGCACAAATTAGAATAGGGATATCCCATGTAAACCCCTTTAGAATGAAAACCAATAAGGTAGGGATATCCCCATAAAATGCTTATGCTTATGTGCCTTTTTGGGTCCCTAGTTTAAGGGTTCGGGTTCTCACCAGGGCTTGCGTGCGGCAGGACCACCGCAGTGGCGCACAGCATTGCGGAAGCTGCAGGCCCATGCCCTTTAGTTTCGGACTTACTGCCCAGAGTTCAGGGTTTAGAGCTTGGAGTTCAAGGTGGTGTAGGGCTCAACTAGAGCTTACAGGCTTCGTTTTAGAGCCGGCAGCCATGAACCTTCTTCGGTTTGTTGGATACTGTAATCCGTATATTCTCCCAACATTGGTTAATCCTTCGATACTCTAGGACACTGAACAAGTAAGGAGGCAAGGTAATTACCATGAGCAATGCATAAACATTTGGGGCAAGTATCACGTTGTTAGATACCTAATGTAGACCTTAAAAACCTTCAAAGATGCTCTGTTTTTGGGGCCAGCCGCCGTCAGGGTGTCGTCTTGCCTAGCCAGAGGTATAAAGTCTCACGCTCACAGTTTTTGTGTGGTGTGCTCAAGTAGCCAGCAGTTAGGGTGCAGTCCCTGACTACAGCCAGAAGACCGGCGCCTAAGTGTCTTTCGATAAGATCGCCATGGCCGCTCCTCCTTGGCTGTCCGGTGCCTCTTCCGCAAGCGCTGCCCCTTTGGGGCCGAGAGGGAGTTCCCACTTAAGTTGCGCAATCCCGGCTTTGATCAGCGATATTTTGATTCAGTGATGATCAGTTGCTTGCCGATAAACCTCTGCCAGCGCCCTTGCAGGCACTCATGCCCGATGCACGGAGAGAGGACTGGAGCCCCAGCCGAAAGTTCGCATATTGCACGTTCCCGGAAGAAGATTCAGCTACCGACCTGTGCACATTTGCTTGCCGTCCAAAGCAGAACACATGGCAAGCCTCGAAACAGGACACGAAACAAAACAATTCGCATAGAAGTCTAATCCACATGGTTGCACGTCTCCTGATTGCCCACGGGGGTACCTTACTTGCACTACTTCAGGAATCGACCGCGGCCAGTCCCCACTGTGAATGATGACAGTGGCAGCGCATGCAAAACGTCACGGCCGAGGATCAGCAGGGGGGTCCACATTCGACAGAAACTGATCTCTCACAATCTCATGACAAGGGACAGGCACTCATGGCACAGCAGGCACTGACAAGGGTGGACATGGCAGCACCTCCCCAGATCATGCGATTGCGGCCTGGAAAGCAACGCAGCTTTTTCAGGCAATGTCTCCGTTGAGCGACAGTGCATTTGTGCGGCCGTTCTGCCGCTCCGACCCGCCAATTATGCAATGTTCCCCTGCTGCCCAAGCCATTGTGAGGCAAGTCTGCAAACGCAGGGCTGGATGCAAGATAGGCCACACGGCTGCACTGACGACGCCAGCCAGATCAATTGAGATGAGGCTTCGCAGCTTGTGGGATGAGGTGTGCGATCGGCGACGAATCCAACAATCCAACATCGTATATATGTCATGTTCGACATGCTGTTACTGTCAGTGCCCTCCCGCCGCAGGCGCTGGTCATTGCAGCCTGTTCAGCACTTGTGCCTGTGCCTGGGTTTTTGTGGGGGCGGCAAAGGATTACCAAATCGTCATCGATGCCAAACAGGTTTTGCTGCCTTGCATGGCGTGTGGTCCTGTTGCCTCTCAGCTCCTGATGCCGCCAGAACAGCAGCGGGATGCCATCTCAGACATTCGCCCATGACCACTGTACCTGGTATGAATCTCAGTAGATTCTACAGCTGCCTTCGGGCGTGCCTTCAATCAAAGAGCGCGCGAAGCGCATGCAGTGGCACTGATGGCAGCGTCTATAGGTTGTCAACTACGGGTGATCAGCGTGATGATTGCATTGAGGCTGTGGTTGATGAAAACACTAGCTTTGCTATTGGTTCGCTGTTCGGGCAATGTGCCCTGGTTCTGTTTTTGATGGACACAGACTGCTCATAGTCAGCAGCCGAGTAGACGGTTCGCCTTTCAGGTGTCTGATGCAAGACACAAGCAGCCGACCATTGTAATGTAGGGAGGTCAAGATCATATATGTTTACTATGTTACAGCTCACGTTTCTCAGACTGGAGAAGTCGCACTTGCGGGGTGAGCTTCAACAAGTAGTCAAGCAGGTGGCAGGCATTTGAGGGCGATCGAAATCAACAGTGCTCCAACATGTGCCGGAGGACCTTGGCACCGTGCGACATCCTTGACAGCCGCCGTGTCGTCTTCCAGGGAAGGTGCCAGTATAGGAGTGATTGAGTTGCTTCACAATTTGTTCCTGAGGGTTCTGACGCTAGATTACATCCCAACCTATTGTGTTACGTTGTGGGTCCTAAGCCTCCACCTCGACCTTGAAATCTAGCACGGTTCTTCTGGTCACGTTAATGGTATTACATTCTGGTGTGTGGCCGAGACACGAAACTGCAAACCCTGGACATTAAACCCATAACTATTCCTGAGACCTTATAAGCCGTAAAACTTCAACAGCCGCACGTCTCCAACCTGCTGGATTTCGGACAGCGTTCTCCTAAGCCACATACATGGGACGTTCCTTGAAGTATTGGCTATGTTTTCAGGAATTCAGTGCATTACGTAATATTTTGAAAAAGAACCAAAACACATTTGTACGTCGTGAAGCATGTTGTGCAGGAGATTGGCAATACATCAGCAGCCTGCTGCAGCTGATGCGACGGGCACAAGTACAGAGAAATGAGCCACTCGATTGATTTTTCGTGGTTTGTTGGCAGTCGTTGATCCCTGTGTGACAGGGCTTTCTGCCGCAATATTGAAAAGACTTGCTTGCATATGTCAATTGCCAATGTCTGTTCATGCTTTGCTTTCAACGCAACCTTCACACTTCATGCATGGCCTTTGGCATACGGTCTAGTGCATAGGAGCCTTGCGCGTGCACATAAAACTCATCCATGCCGGCCATGCCCAAGCTACAAATGACCGAAAACAAGTGCAGTTTGTATTTGTGTGCATACATGTCTTCAGGATCTTGTGCCCCCGAGCAGGTATCGCTTGTATTCTGAAGCTTCAGTCAATTTAAACTTGGAGGGGCAGGGGACCTAGTAAATCGTTTATAACTAGGGTTATAACTGGGGTAACTCCATCTCCGGTACTTATAACTTTACTTTTTAACCTACTTACTAAGTCCCCCTGATCTTCCAAGACAGGTCCCAAAAGCCCCATATGGCTGAAGGTTGTTCTCAAAGGGTCCAAAGTACCTATATGGTAGAATGTAGGGTTTCTATACTTAGGAATTATTATTATGATTAGGGGTAGTGTTCCCAATAACAGTACCTAGGACCCTTGGGGGTTAGACTCCGAAGAAGCCCCACCGTTTGGATTCAGTGCCAGGTTCATTTTCAGCTCTGCCACCTCAGCGCTGTCCAAGGCAGCCCGCTGGGGCGAGGCTGGTTAGGTTTTCAGGACGTAGGGTTGTAGTGTATGTAGATACATATCCTTTCGAAACAGATATGCATGTGTGTATATATTTGTATATACATATATGCATACATGTATAATGTGTGTACAGATGTGTATGTCATTTCTCCATCATAGTCCCGACATGCAATTCAACTAGAACAAATGTGAGGCCTCATCTTACCTTTGGTTAATAGGGAATGGAAGAATGGTATATAGAAATAATAGCTATAATTGCACCCCATTCCTAACCAAAGGGAAGCAAAGTGCACCCGCTTTTGTTGATGCAATGCCCCTCAACCTTGGAGATGACTAGGGTTTATGGTGTAGGGTTTAGGGGTTAGGGGTTAGGATTTAGGGTTTAGGGGTTAGGGGTTAGGGCTTAGGGGTTAGGGTTTAGGGTGTGTAAGTCATGGCACTCTCCGCCTGGGACTGACCTTCCACGAGGCTTTGCTGCTGACTCCGACGAAGCTGGGCATCGAAGCGACGCCATGGCTGAAGTCTCTAATAGGCTTCCTTAAAAGGCCTCGTTCAAGGGGGTACTTTAAGGGATCTATAATAATAGGATTCTGCAATGTGGGGGCCTTAATAATTGGACCAGGGTTCCTTTAAAGGGCTCCTATAAGGGGTACTATCCCAAAGGATCCTATGTACTGTTATGGGGGATACTTCCCCAAGTCATAATAGTAATTCCTAATATAGAAACCCTACATTCTACTATACAGGTACTTTGGACCCTTTGGGCTCCTATAGTCTCCGTTGTAGTTCCTTTTTTTGGTTGAACCTATCTTAGAATTAGGATCCTCTAAGGTAAACCCAAAAACGAACTACAATGGAGACTACAGGAAGGGTTCCTTTGAGCTTCAAGGGCTCCTTGAAAGGATCCCTTAAAGGAACCCTTAAAGAGCCCAGAAGGGCCTCTGTTAGGTTCTGAAAAGTTTTGGGGTTTAAGTTTTGCGGGATTTGGTTCCTATTTCAGTTTGCAGGGCTCCTTTAAAGGCTCCTGCAAGGGTTCCTATGAATGTCTGGGAATCTATGGCTGAAACTTGCGGTTAGCAAGGTTTGGGGTGGCGGGTTTAGGGGTTTGCTAAGCTTAGGTTTGTAGGGTCAAAACCCAAAGCCTAAGCCTTAAACTCGGAATCGCACGTCGTAAGTTTCTTCTCGTACTCTTTATGAGTGTGGCGAACCAGCCCAATTTGCACAGGCGTCTGGGGCAAGACTCTTAAGATCCCTGACGCTCCAAGAAGCCCACAAGCAGCCCACAAAAGCCACAACACCCCAAAACCCCCATACCTCCAAATCCCCGGCTTCCTATGCAATCCCGACATCAGGTTCAGCCCACCTCGGCTTAAACCATGAACCATAACTCCGAAATCCTCGACCCTAACCCCATGCACACCCTAAACCTAAAGCGTGGACCCTATGCCATACATACGTCATCTTCAGCACCTCCGAGTTTCGCTCAGGAATCTGATCTTTCGAGGGGCATCGCTTCCCCGGGGTGCATGGCCGCAGGCTGGACTTATGGACTTATAGTGTAGCGCATCTACATAAGGAAGGTCTTCTGTTTGGTTTTCTCGTCTCCTACTTGCAAGGGCTCTTGTGCACACCATTTCAAATCCTTGTCCCAGCTCGTATACTCATCCTGCGCGCTAAACTTCGAACAACGCCTTGCATATTACCCTTAAGTCCTGCTCCCAACTCGTACAGACCATAATGCCATAAGGCCTTACATACCCCTAAACCTCAAAGCCTAAACCAAAAACCCGAAGCTCTAAGCCCTAAATATTACCCTGTCGGGCCCGAGTGGTACGAGCCATGAGCTCCAGTCCAAGTCCCAAAGGCTCCTTGTACCTTTATAGTAGATACTTAAGCCCCAAAGAAGTGCCTATATAGGTACTTTAAGGCCTAAGTATATACTATACTACTATTTGCTTAAGAACCCCCCAAAAAATAAAAAATATATTCCTTATGGGGGTAATATAGGGATTATTGTTTTTATTTTTTGGTGGTTTCTTAAGCAAATAGTAGTATATGGGTACATGGAGCCTTAGTGAGTCTAGACCTGAAAGACCCCACAGTCCCATGCACGATGCACTTGCGCTTTGGGGGCAATGCTTCCTTCTGAGGGTTTACGGGTTCTCTAGGTTTTCGGGCCTGCTTGACTATAAAAAACCTACCTCTTTAGGGTTCCTTCTTATTAATTCCTTTTATGGGAGTTTGCGAAAATAGGGGACCTTTGTAAAGTACCCTAAACTCATTCGCAGGACCCCAAAACAAGGCACCCCTAATTTTCGGAAACCCCCATCTAAGTCTTCAGAGGTAGGGATATTCAGGGTTCCGGTAGTGTTTATGCCTTTCGATCGTTGCTCCGAGGAGGCCCCAGGATATGAAACCTAGATTGTCCATATATACAATTATGGAATAAGACCACCCAAACCAGTGTTAGGATGGACCTTTGGTGCCTAATTCCATAATGGTAGTATATGTGGACCCTCTTGGTAATCTAGGGTTGCTTGGTCAAGGCTTTGGAGTTTAGGGTTTAGTGAGTTCAGGCTTTATAGAGGTTAGCCTTTAGAGTTTGGGCCTTAGTGTTTTGAAATTTGGGAATTTGAGGTTTAGGGTTTAGGGGTTCAGGGTTTAGGGTTAGGGTTTAGGGCTTAGAGAGGACGGATATGTACCCTAATTGGGCCTGCTGCTCCCTAAACCCTAATACCCCTACACCCTAAACCCTTAAACCCTAAAGCCTAGGCCCTTGTATCTCAACTTTAAACTCCACTTACTAAGTCCCCCGAACAGCGCTGTCTCGTGGTGTGAACAGCAAGTGAAGCCCCTACATTCCAAGGGGAACAGGAGGGACCCTTAATAAGGACCCCTAGCTCATATACCTCTAAAATTGCCATTATATACCCATTATATAGCCCCATTATAGGGTAGGGTCCCCATTAAGGGTCCCTCCTGTTCCCCTTTGATACATGGAATAACATTATTCCTGGAGGCTCCCTGGCTTTCTCGAGGAAAGAACCTATTTTTCCGCTGGGTTCCGTCTAGCACAGAGACCCACCGCCTTAACAGAAAGAACTGAAGGAAGCACGAGTCTAATTATGCAGGCTTCCTGATTTCTGTACTTTGCATCCAAATTCCTTGAGCCCCAGACCACTGAGCCCTATAAACCGATAAGCGCTGTTGATGCTACGCCCTTTGGACTCGAAGCCCTAAGCCGTGTAAACCCCACCGTGACGGCACTCTCAAACCTACAGTAGAAGCCGAAAAGTTGGAAACCCAATAGCCTCAATCCTTACATAGGGAATCCCAGCACGAATTGCCCTTAATGCGGTTTCCAACTTTTGGGGCTTACTGTAGGCGCCCTTGTCGGCCCAGAGGTCCTCGTGCATGTTGCGGCGCTGTCGCAGGAAGGCCTGTGGCGATGAAGAGCCCTGTTTCAAGGGTTTGGGATTCAAGCTCAGGGTTCGGTGTTGGCCGAGGGATTTTCGAGCCTTTTTGACCCCTGCACTCCGGCAAGTGACGTAAACCCAGACCCCCGGGAGGATCCAACAAGTAGATCCCTTAATGGGGGTTCCTATAAAGTACTCGTAGTAGTATAGGGCCCCAAAATAGGGGATCTACTTTCGAGATCCTCCCGGGGGTCTGGGAAGCAACTGCCCCATGTACAGAAGCTGCCCGAAGTTTAGGCCAAGTAGCTCTCCACTGCTGTATCAGCTTTCATACCGTAGCTTAAACAAACACTTCAGGTGGACGTGCCGGGGAATCCTAAACCCCAAAACCTAACCCCTACAGTGGAAGCCAGAAAGTTGGAACATTAGTATCCTCATGCCCTGAAGGTAAAGTATAAGTGATCCTAGCACTAATCCTCCTAAACCCGTGTTCCAACTTTCTGGGATTCACTATAAAACCCGGAACCCAAAGCCTCCAAAGCCTGAACCCCTACAGCCCTAATCCCGGAGGTAAAAAAAGGAAGCCGGAGTTGGCTAAGGTTCGGAGCAACGGTAACCGTGCTCACCTGCTTGGAGGGTCGGGGGACTTACTAAGTAGTTATTTTGGAAGGTACCACTCCCCCAATTGGGATCCCTTTTAGGGTACTTATCAGTCTACTTACTACCCAGTTACTAAGTCCCCCGACCCTCCAAGTGGTCTCCTGATCCTACAAGCGGTCTCGGTGGGTTCAGCCCTGGTCTCAATCTGCTAAGTCTCGACTCGGGCAGGGCCCGGGTGGTGGGGGTGGGGTGGTGGGGGGGTGGGGGGTTGGGGCAGGGTGGGTTCTTGTTAAGCAGTTTAATTCAAGTTACAATAGTAAGGAAGCTTTTTGTTTGCTTACTTTCGAGCCCTATGATGGTAGCTTAAATTAAACCCTTTAACAAGAACCCAGCATTTTCTAGACCTAGTGCCTTTAAAGGCTAAAGCTTAGAACCCGTCAAGTTTGCACGAACGAAGTGGCCAAAACTCCAAGCCCCACTTTACAGTTCGACTACTTGGCAAGCGGGTGCGAAGCAGAGTTGTCGGCGTGAAACCTACTTATGAGAGATGAACATGTAGTGTAAGGACCTAATTTAAAGGAGTCTATAAGGGCTACTATAAGGGATCCACAAGGGTACTATAATAATGTAGGACCCTGATTAAGAAGCCTTGGGCCTCGACTCACCCTGTTCCTCATATGAATCCTACTATTTTGGGGTTACAGGCCCAGGGTTTCTTGATCAGGTTCCTACATTAGCCTCTTTTCCTGCAAGGACCTATATAATCCCAAGGGTCCGAAGGACCGAACGTTAGGTTTGCTGTAAAGGGTTCTATAGGACATAGCAATTTATAGGTACTTGGGTTTTCGGATAGTAGCGATGTCGGCTGGTATTTGCGAGAGGTTGATATTTGCGAGAGGTTATGACTATGAGGTATTATGACGTACTTGGACCGTATTTTGACAAAGTAGAATGGACATAGCTTGAACCTATGTAGGGTTTGGTTTATGGTGTGCTCGCGCGCTCAAGGCAGTTAAAAGAACAGCACCAATCATCATCATGATCCTTTTCTCATGTTAACAAAAACACCAACTACCCTAACTAATTACATAAAATATATTCGGGACCGTAGAACCTTAAGATCCTAATGGACACATTGTTAAGGGAACCTCCCCATGTGTTTGCTTTGGGGGGTTCGCTGAACGGTTGATGATATAAATCCTGCATTACCTATACTAAGGAATAAAGTATAGTTCCCATATAGTCTAGGGTCATTAAGGTGATGCAGGATTTATATCATCTTCTATGGTTTTTGGTACCTAAGAAGGCACACAAGTACTGTAATACTGAATACTTGGACCCTTAGGGCAGGGTTTCTGTATGATCAACCGAAGAACCCGGAGGCCTCGCGCCAAACGCTGTGATCCTCGGCTCGGGCGCTGACCTCTGCGCGAAGCAGAGTGCTCCTCGACAGGGGCACAGATGGTTTTTGCTGTTCTTAGTGGGTTTAGGATGCCTTTGGGGCTTCCTTTGAAGGAACCCTTAAGCGAAGGAACCCCAAAAACCGTAAGCCCTAACAGAGACTCTCAAGCACTACGCCCTAGTAGGAACCCTTGCGGGAACCTTAAAGCCCCCTAAGCCGGGTTCTTGTTACGGGATTTGGTTTAAGTTGCCAAAATAAGGAAACCACATTATTTACTATAGATCCCTATTACGGTAACTTAAAACAAACTCCTGAACGAGAGCCCCCTAAGCCCTGATCGGTGAAAGGAACCTGTCAGGGTTCAAGGTTACGGCTTCCTGAATGAGTAGCCAAGGTACACAAGAACATTCAGAAAACCCGACGGAGTGGATACTTGGACCCTTTCCCTTAGGCCTTAGGCTCTAAGGACTCATATTTTAAGGCTTTTGGGCCCAAAGACCATACTATATAAGCTTTGTGGGTTATTGTGAGCCTTAAATTAAGGGTTACGGGTTTCTGAATGAGTATCTCCTAGTTTGCCATCTATGTCCCCTAAGCCCTAAACCCGTTTTAAATTTCCTACATGAGAAGTTCGTAGTTTGTGTATGTCTAGCGTAGTCTGCAGGGGCCTTTCATGCTTCTTCTGATTGGGAGCTACGGTTGATGAGATAAACCCTGCGTTGCCCATGAAAAAAGGAGTATACCATATTTCTCATAGTCTAGGGCCATTAAGGTAATGCAGGATTGACATCATCATCCGTGCTATAATTCTAAGGGGCTTAGTAAGTAGACTGTGAATAGGGCTACAGGTAAGATGGCACATTAGTGTGTTTCTGTCTCAGGATCCCAAAGTGGTTGCCTTTTTCTGGGTTCTGTTTCCCCGTAAGGGTTCCTATACAAAAGGGTGTAGTTCAGGGCCCCTGTCAGAATTTACGGTTCCAGGATTTTGGGGTCAGGGCTAAGGGCAAGGCTGCCTGCAAGCATTCCCCTACATAAACCCTACACCCGAAGCCGTCCCTTTACATAAGCCGTCAAAAGGAACCCTTAAAGCTTGATAACACCGAACAAGCATCCTTAAGCAGAGACCTTTGAAAGGCGTCCGACAGGAACCTTCAAAAGCAAGCCTTTTTCCTAGAAAGCCCAGTGCTCTTGAATCAAGGACTCTACCTCAAATTTTAGCAGGCGTAATATGATTATTTCAGGTATATTCCTTACCCAGAGGGTCCATATATACTACCATCATGGAAGTAAGTCCCGAAACACCATCCCTATTATGGCTTTGGGGCTCTGCTTCCATAATAGGATTATCTATGGACCCTCTTGGTTAACTAAGGCTCTCTCGGGTAAGGGTTACTATAGGGACCTTTTGTCATTGGTTTCGCGGGTTTAAAGGCTGCTAGCATCCGGGTACCATCAGGGTTACCATAAAGGCATGTTTTTCATGGGCTTGGGAGTTTATCAGAACCCTAAACCCGTTCCCCTGAGGGTCCATGTACCTAAATAGTATATACATTGGCCTTAAAGTAGTCCCTATATAGGTACATTGGGACCAAAGTATATACTATTTGGGTACATGGACCCTTAGGGCCTAAACCTTATAACCAACCCCAGACGGATTACAGAGTTGATGCTATACTGAACTCAGAACCCAAGCAAAAATCATAACTTTAGCTGTTTCTTAGTGATTATAATAAGTTCGTCAAGCAGGACTGGCTCCGAGCAGGGATGCTCCTTGCAGACCTCCGAGGCTCGAAATCGTGAGACCAGAGAACTTCAGCTACTTCTGTTGATGATTTAAATCCTGCATGACCCATAATACGGAATATACCATAATTCCCATATATTCCTTTTTATGGGTAATGCAGGATTTTTATCATCAGCCGTTAGGTTAGGGCTTAGAGTTTAGGGTTCAGGATGGTTCAGGGTTTAGGGGATCGTGGCTGTGTAGGGTTTTAGGCTTTTTGGGGTTTGGAGTATAGGGTTTGGGGTATAGTAGTATAGAGTAGTAGTCTTTATAGAGTTTGGTTATAGGGTTTATGGTTTGGGATTTAGGGTAGAGGGCTTGTCAGGTTTGTAGGGGTCAGGGTATAGGATGTCATGCGGGTTTAGAGTTAATGAGCAGCCTCTCAGTCCAGCTACTATAGTACCCTGACTGTTTGTCTTGCTTGTAAGAAAACACTACAGTTGCACGGATTATTATTACCTTATTGCCTATGACTCTACCCTAAAGCCCCAAAGTAGTGCTTTTTTGGGGTTCATATATAGAATCCAGGTAATCCCAAAAAAGGAACTACTTCGGGGCCTCTGGGTATTTACAATCGACTAGCCAGCCCTAAACCCTAACACTATTGAACTGACAAGTAGCGGGCCCTTGTTGCCTGGGCCAGAACCCTAGACCCAGAAGCCATTATTGGGTCCTTTGGACCCTTGAAATAACCATAGGCCCCATAGTAGTTCCTCTTTGGGATTACCTTATAGAATTTTAGATGTGAGCTCAACAAGAGAGGCTAGGGTTTAGGGTTTTGGGTGCTGACTCGGCAACCTCTGCTGCTAGAGTCACATGTCAAGGCTCTGGCGTTCGCTGTGACACCGTAGCGGTCAATGCAGCCCTCGGTGGCTGCCCAAGCTGCTTTGCAATTAATATAGGGGCCTGAATAACCCTAAACCCTAAACGTTTCCTAACCTTCCGTACAAGATAGAAAATGCAGTATTCCCAAGCGCCTATATAGTCGACCTATGGAGTCCTCTGCATGTTTCCAGCAGCTAGGGTTTGTGTCACTCAGAGCCAGCTCTTAAATCAACCTCAGTCTGAGCCTGCAACCATCATGACTATTTCTGCGATCAGGAGGTTTAGGCTTTAGGGTGTAGGGTTTAGGATTTAGCGATCTTACTGCCCTGAATGTTGTGTCTTGCCTCTTGTGGCATTGGTGAGCCCCTTTCCGGTGCTGGGCGGTTTGGTGGGTCCCGTCGTCTATTGCCAGGCTCCGCCAAACTAGCACTGATAGTGACTCTCGGTGCCCTCTTCCTTATGCTGGTAGGCTCTACGTATCGACGAATCCAAGAAGCAAGCATTAAGCCAAAACCGAAGTAGAGGGCTGATTCTGGTAACGCCGCACAGCGCTCAGGCATTCAGGCTTCAGGGACTAAACGGTCTGGGTTCATGGGTTTCTGACAAAATCGGGTTTCCCAAGCCGTGAACCCCAAGCCCCCGAAGACCCACTGATCCTCGAACCCCATCAGCCAGCAACCCAAGGCGCCCTCACACACCCCAGAAACCCCAAACCCCTAATCAAATTTTAGACCCAAGCCGAAGCCGCAAACCCTAACCCTACTTGAACTCATCCCCATCTCCAATCACTGAACACTAAACCCTGCTTCCAAACCCTACGTACACTTCACATCCTGAATTCCCCAGTTAGACTCGAACCCCAAGCCTTTCACCCTGAATCGCGAGGTCCCAGCTGGAGTGACGCCATCGCTTTGAGCAACGACGCGCTCGCTCGCGGTCTCGACGCCAACGTTGCAACGTGCCTAGCCCTGTAAGTCGGAGTTGATGTGTTTTGTTTCCGTCCAAAGTACCTTTATGGTAGAGTGTAGGGTTCCTATAGTAGGAATTACTATTATGATTTGGGGACGTATTCCCCATAACAGTACATAGGACCCTTTGGGTTTGTTTGTTGTTTCTATAGGGTTTCGCTGAGGGTTTCTATCAGCATTTCTATAGAGGGCTTCTGGTAGATGTAAGGGTTCGAGAATAATAGGCGGTCTATAGTTGAGGTTTTGGGTTTCTTTTTTCAGGATAGACGGAAAGCGAGGGTGGGTTTTCGGGTCTGACTGACCCCCTCTGTCCTGAAGCCCTCTAGACCGTCTGATGCACAAGAACCTTGAGATCCCAATACCCCTTAATTAAGGAATATACCGTAAGTCATAACATTATATAAGCCCCCCATAGTTTAGGGCATGTTCCGTAAAAGGGACATTGGGATCTCTAGGAAGCCTAAGCACTGCTTCATTCGGGTCGTGGGAAGCCTTGAGGTCTCTTCAGTTGCGTCAGCACCCAGTTGGGAGTAATACGGATCCGACTATGTAGGGTACTATATTGGAGTCCCCTAGTTTATTCGGAAACTCCCATTTCTGATCAGGGAGTTCGCGGTGTCACGGTGAGCCCCAAAATTCCTAAAACTAACAGCCTAAACCCTTATAAAGCCGAAAACTCACATCGCAGGTCGGTGTCTTTCTTTGTTGAACCCAGAGGGTCCTAGGTACTGGTATGGGGGACACTTCCCAAATCGTTTAATTGTAATTCAACTTATTTGGGGTTGGGTGTAAAGGTTACAAGGAGTGTAAGGACGGGAACTGCACCTGGACAAAAACCAAGCCTCGGACTTGAAAGATTTACAGTCACCGTAAGCTGCCCCTTTCAAGGGCACCCACGCGGAAACCAAACCTCCGAACCCTAACTTTGAAGCATGCCTTCAGGGCTGAGAGTTTCGGAGTCCGGGGGTTTGGGCTTTAGGGTTTGGGGTTTAGCATGATGGTTTGGAGTTAAGTGTAGGATTCAGGGTTTTTAGGGTTTCAGTAGGGGGTTGTACTTTTAGTTTACAAGCTCTAAACCCTAAACCGCTGTCGGCCCAAAGCCGCAGGTACGGCGCCCTCATTGGTGCTTGCGAGACTCCGGGCCGGTGGGAGACATCTCTGCAGCTACGTGTCTTTACTACTTGCAGGTTATATGGGTTCCTTTAAAAGGGTCCCTTTAAAGGGATCTATAGGGATTCTATAAGGGTATATGGTTTAGGGTTCATGGGTAGTTATAAGTGGAGTTATAAGTCCCCTAATATGGGTTATAAGTATAGTTACCCTACCTATAGCTCCACTCATAACTACCCATGAACCTCCAAGTATTCATGGTCTTCATGGACAGATTCTTGCAGTATCCCAAACAGCACAAGCAATGCATCCGAGCTCATCGAGTTTAGGTTTTTTTGTCATTGCCCAAGCTCGACACCCCAGAAAACAGACGCGAAAGCAAGAAGCAGCGAAATCTCATGAACTGTCAGGCAATTTAGCAACAAGCCTTGGGGTTCGTGGTGCCAAATACAATCATATTCCCAGCCCCAAGCCAGCTAGCGAGTATCATGCCCGTTCTCGGCGGTAGCTTGCTGCTGTGCCTCCTCCCTGTAGGGTTTTCAACCATTCTTATAGACCCCTAAACCCGAAACCCCCAAACCCTAAAACCCTAAAGCCCTACCCAAACAGGCTACATTTAATGGCAGAGGAGACCTTCATCCTTGGGCTTCGAATCAGGTTATTTGCAACTCCCCCCAACAAGTGCTCAAAGAACCTAGGAACACCCTTTGAACTGGTCATTTTGCCAGGGAGAGACTTGTTCGAGTAGTGCCCTTCTACTGCTACATTGTTCTGGTGTTTCCTTAATTACCAGGACCCAGAGTAGGCCCTTATTCCCTTTTTTAGGGTTCAGGTTCCCTTATAACCAAAAAGGGCATCCTTTTTATGCCTGGGTTACTCTTGGGTCTAGATTACAAGAGGGAAAAGGGTAATTACCTGCAGTATTGACGGGGTCACATGGGGGGACCGACATGACTTGTTTTCTAGACCTGCAGTTACTTGGTTGCTATCTACGGTTTGGAGTTTAGGTTGTTCGGTTCGGGTGAAAACCTAGAGTCCATTGCCCTAAGCGCAGCCCCTGAAGCCGTAAACCCTAAACCCTAATCCTTAAGCCCAAAACCCCCAAAGGCACCCCCAGACCCTAAAGCCAAACCTTATCTTTCTCCCGAGACTCAGCTTTCATTCTAATCCCAATACCCCTCCAGACTGCTGAAGCTGTAAACCCTACTTGCTAAGTCCCATGACCCTCCATTAACGAACCCTTATAGATTCTAGATCCCTTTAAAGATTCCAGACCGCTGAAGCTCTAAACCCCAAGTCCTAGACCTCATACCACTGCAGGCTATTCGTAACAACAGTCATACTTGTAATAGGAGCAATGAGAGACATACCATCGCTGTACTTTAATAGTAACCATCGTAGTACTGCAGTGGAAGCAATACGAAAATACCATCTTATAGACCTTACCCTAAACCTTAAACCGTAAGCCTTATAAACCCGAAACCCTTAACCTTAAACCTGTCACCCGAAAGACACACCATCTTATAGACCTTCATTCATCCCTACACCCTAAACCTCAAGAGCCCGTAACACTTACACAAAAAAAGCCCTAACCTCAGTAGGGTTTCTATATTAGAAAGAATTACTACTATGACTGGGGCAGTATCCCCCATAACAGTACCTGGGGCACTTTGGGTATAGACCCTAAACCCTAAAACCCTAAACCCTGAAGCCTAATGCCCTAAACCCTAATTCCTAGACCTTCGACCTCATGAGGCTCCTTCAGAAAGCCGCCAGGGCAGCTGTGGCAGACGGGCACCCGGTCTCTCAATGGTTAGGGTTTAGGGTTTAGGGCTTGGGGTTTAGGGTTTAGGATTTAGGGTTTAGGGCTTAGGGTTTAGACTAGAGGGCGCGGCTGAGGGTCTTGGGTATTGGCAAAGGCACTCGTAGTAGGGTTGAGGGTTGAGGGTTTTGGGTGTCGAGTTTTTGGATTTGTACGGTCTCGGGTTTGGGGTTTCGCGGGTTTGAGGGTTGAGGGTTTCGCATTTTCTTTGGAGGGTACAAATTTAGGGGTTGAGGGACCTCCGGGATTCTGTCTCAGTAATAACAGTAGCAATAGTAGTAGTAATGGATAGTAATTCTTGTGGGTTTGGGATTTTCTTTGGAGGTTTGGGCCTTGAGATTCTGTCTCTGAGTGGTTTCGGGCTCAAGGTTGGGATTTCGGCTTTAGGCCTTCGTTGACAGACCTTTGCAGCGCTAAACCCTAAACCCTAAACCCTAAACCCTAAACCCTAAACCCTAAACCCTAAACCCTAAACCCTAAACCCTAAACCCTATGAAGCTTAGCTTGTCTCTAGGGTAATACGTTTTGAAGTTTTCACGGGTCGGGGTCTTCGGTCGGCAAGGATATGTGGGATACTGGGTTCTTGTTTAAGGAACTTAATTTGAGTTACCATAATAAGGAAGCCCTATTATTTACTATAGATCCCTATTACGGTAACTTAAATTAAGTTCCTTAAGAAGAACCCAGGATATTAACCTAAGGGTCCAAGTACATATAATTATCACATACTCTCCAAACTTGTAACCTACATAACTACTATCCTAAGCCCGAGTACCTAATTATCGGGTCATTTGGACCTTTACAGTGAACCCCGTAAAGTTGGAAACCGGATAAAGGCCAAATAGTGCGGGGATTCCCTATACATGTGATGTCAATGGCTGATGGATCTGGCGCGGTTGTTCTGAAGATGTCTCTCTGCAACCTGAAAGTTTAAGTCCTAAGTCCCATGTAGACCATATAGACTATCTCACCAGATGCCGAAATCTTTGCAGCTTAAGTCTTACATCTCGGGTTTGCTTATTGCGATCCCTGGCACTTGGTAGGTGGTCCTCCCTTAACCTACCAAAACCTACTTTTTTGTAGGGTCTTCTTATCAGCCTTAAAAGGGGTTTATAGGGACCCTACAAAATCAGTCGGTTTTGGTAGGTTAAAGTTCTCTAATCTCGACTTGCGCGGCATGCAGGTTCTTTCACTGCCACCGGTCGTTTCAAGCAGCGCCCGACCCCTCAATCCTCCACCTCAAGCGGTAAAGGATGTGCCCTACAAACCCCAAACCCCATATTCCTAAACCCTAAACTCCAAACTCCCGAACCTTTAACGTCCTGCAATCAAGCCATGCCACAGCCAGCAGCGTAGGAATGTGTCAATTGCTACCTTTTGTTGGCTACCTCAGTTCCTTATTTCAGGATCCAAACCATGCAATAGGTCATCCAATGAAAAAGTATTATGCTTAGGGTTTAGGCATGCTATACTTGATATCCTATAGCTGTCTAAGGGTTGATGCTGGTTCCAAGAGCAGTAGGCTTCAGTGCTTCCAGGGATGAGGCGTCCACCATGTGTAGCCGGTCATTCTCCACGGCTGTGCGTGCGAAGAGGGCCCGGAATACTCCGCCCAGCGAGATCGTAGAGCAACTGCTAAAGCTCAAGCAACGAGTCGTTCCAGAAGACGTACACCAGGTTCTGGCCCGACATCGACTGGATCACAAAACGCTCCGCTCCACGATGCAAGAGCTCAAGGCGCAAAAGCGCTTCGATCTGGTTGGTATGGCACTTGCAGAGACTCTCAAAGCCGGTCGTGCAAACGTAGGTGCAAGAGACTTTACCACGGGCATCAGTGCCTGTGCCAGAGCGAAGAACTGGCAGCTAGCCATGCATCTTTTCGACGGCATGCAGAAAGCCAAGGTGGATGCCGACATGATCAGTTATAGTGCCATCATCAGCGCTTGTGAGAAGGGTGGGCAGTGGCAGAGGGCGCTGCATCTTTTCGAAAGCATGCGCAAGGCCAAGGTGGAAGCCGATGTCATCAGCTATAGTGCCACCATCAGCGCTTGTGAGAAGGGTGGGCAGTGGCAGCTGGCGGTGCGTCTGTTCGACAGCATGTGCAAAGCCAAGGTGGATGCCAATGTCATCAGCTACAGTGCCACCATCAGCGCTTGTGAGAAGGGTGGGCAGTGGCAGCTAGCGGTGCAACTGTTCAACAGCCTGCGGACAGTCAAGGTGGATGCCACTGTCATCAGCTACAGTGCCACCATCAGCGCTTGTGAGAAGGGTGGGCAGTGGCAGATGGCGGTGCATGTGTTCGACAGCATGCACAGAGCCAAGGTGGATGCCAATGCCATCAGCTACAACTCCACCATCAGTGCTTGTCAGAAGGGTGGGCAGTGGCAGATGGCGGTGCATCTGTTCGACAGCATGAGGAGCGCCAACGTGGAAGTCGACGTCATCAGCTACAATTCCACCATTAGCGCTTGTGCAAAGGGTGGGCAGTGGCAGATGGCGGTGCTTTTGTTCCACAGCATGCCGAAAGCCAAGGTGGATGCCGATGTGATCAGTTATAGTGCGCTGATCAGCAGTTGTGAAAAGAGTGGGCAGTGGCAGATGGCGGTGCATCTGTTCGACAGCATGTGCAAAGGCAAGGTGGATGCCAATATCATCAGCTACAGTGCCACCATCAGCGCTTGTGAGAAGGGTGGGCAGTGGCAGCTAGCCATGCATCTGTTCGACAGCATGCACAAAGCCAAGGTGGATGCCAGTGCCATCATCTACACTGCCGCCATCAGCGCTTGTGAGAAGGGTGGGCAGTGGCAGATGGCGGTGCATCTGTTCGACAGCATGAGGAACGCCAAAGTGGAAGTCGACGTCATCAGCTACGATGCCGTTTTGGAGGCAGCATGTTGCAAGGCACAAGGTCAAGCATATGAGCTTTTTCTGCAGGCTCGACAATCTGGGCTGTATGACAACTTGTGCAACAAGGACCCTACCCTACTTGATTTACATGAACTGTCTGCAGGTGCTGGCTGGATGGCTGTGAGGTGGTGGCTGCTGGAAGTCTTGCCACGACAGTTCTGCTCTACGAAGCCCAGCCGCAGCATCATTATCACAGGGTGGGGCAAGTCACGGCCGATTTGGAGGAAGTCTGATGTTCAAGCTTTTGTCCTGGAGAAATTGAAAGGCCACGGCATAGCTGCCAATGTTCAGAAGGACAACCAAGGCAGGCTTGAGCTGCACGTGACGTCATCGGACCTTGCAGCTTTTCGGGCGAAGATGCCCGAAGTAGGGTATCTGCAGCACCCTTGGCAGCAACATGAAAAGAGAGCTGCGAGAGAGAGGGAGAGAGACAAACAGATACAGCGAGAGAGAGGACCAACAGTCAGCAGCATCATCATATAGGGCCTCACGTCTCTATGCGGAGTGCGAAGGCTTCTCCCTCTCAAACCTTGTTTCAAAATGTCAGCCATCAGAACTTTCGCTCAAAACCTACAAGGGCTGAAGAAGCGTGCTGAAACGAGCAGAGTGGTAGAAATAATAGAAATAGTCGTAAGAGTCGTCATACTAGTAATCGTAGTAATAGTAATATTAGTAGTAATAGCTGTGTTGTACCAGTGTGCCTTTGCGTGCCTCTGTAGTAACCCATGTGAAACTTCATCTACCTTAGATTCCCAAACCAGAACCATGAAATCCTTCGAAACCCTGAGCCCCGGAACGTAAACCCGTCGCCCTCAACCCCATGCACTAACACTGCAAATAGCCCAAGGTGGTATTTGCATAGTCTTATAGACGCCAAGGTGGGTACTTTTTGTGAACTTGGAGTCTTGGGGATATGCGAGCAACCCTACGAACCCAAACTCTAAACCTCAGGGTTTTAGGGAATTTAGGGAATTTAGGGTTTTAGGGTTTAGGGCCTTAAAAAGTCAACGGATTTCTGAAATCGACCTTCGGGTTTTGATTCATTTGGGTGGGTGGTGGCGGTCGGGGTCCTGGGTCCTACGGTTGATGATATAAATCCTGCATGACCCATAATAAGGAATATACCATAATTCCCATAGTTTAGGGTCCTTAAGGTAATGCAGGATTTATATCACCAACCATAGTGTGAGGTTCAGTATCCATGTATCTTAAACCACCTAAGGCCGAAACTCCTTGAACCCGAGCATCCTATAGACCCAATTACAGTACCCATATGCACCCCAAACCACTTAAAGCCCTATCCATGTACCTAAACCACGTGAATCCCGAAACTCAGAAAACCCTGGACCCCCAAACTACGGTTGATGGTATAGACCCTGCATTACATACCCATAATGAGGAATATACCATAATTCCCATTGTCTAGGGTCAGTATGTTAATGCAGGAATTATATCATCAACCCAAACCCTAAAACCTGATAGAGGAAGCTTCCCTTGTGTATGTATGTATGTATGTATGTATGTATGTGTATATATATATATATGTGTATATAATTATACACATGTGAGTATATGAGTATATACACACATATACATACACACACATCGATATATATATATATATATATATATATATATATATACGCATATACATACATATTCGTATGTGTATATATACACATGCATACACCCACATATATATATATATATATATATACATATGTATATTTATTTGTTTATGCATATACAACTATATATATATACACACACACATTGTAATTCACTTCAAGATCCCATTCCACATATTCGTAAATTTGTGGGTTTGCTTCTATTGCTTGAACCCTAAAGCCGTACAGCCTTAAACGCGAGACCCCTGAACCCTAAACCCTAACACCCTAAACCCTCAGCGTAGTGGGGATATTCGTTACCTACCCATAGGCTGCATACTAATTCCTTTTTGAGATTGCCTTATAGGATTCTAAGTATGAACCCCAAATAGGAACTACTGTGGAGCCTATGGGCAAGCTCAGGATCAGCTTCCAGTCCGCCATCGCTGCTTGCGCCTATGCTGGGCGACGCAGCGAGCCGAGCTGGGTTCAGGGTTCATAGTGTTGATGGACAAAATCCTGCATGACCCTAAGGACCCTAAGCTATGGGAACTATGGTATATTCCTTATAATGGGTAATGCAGGATTTTGTCCATCAACAGTAGTACCCTTACAAGGAGCCCTAAACCCTATTCTGATTAGCAAGGCCCCGATCCTATAGAACCCTCTTATGGATCCCTTATAGTACCCCCTTAAAGGAGCCCTTTAAAGGAACCCTATTCTAATTATGAAGGCGCCTACATGACGGAGAGGATCACTCCTAGGTCTTCAAGCAAAAGCGGTTCAGGGTTCAGGGCTTGGGGTTTCCAGGAATCCCCCAAGTGCCCTTTCAAATGCTCTGACGTTTGAAAAGGAAGAGTTAACTGGGAGCTTCAGTAAAGGGTAGTTGAGGGGCTTAAGTTTTAAGTTAGGATATGCCCCCTAAATCGTGCCAAAGATCCTTCCATAAAGAAAAGTCGGCTCCTCAGACAAATTGTCTTGGATTCTCCGAACACCTAAGCTGCCAAACCATGCCCCTTACATGTAGCTAAGTATCCCAGACCCTAAACCTTAACTGGTTACGACCGCAGACGTTGCAGAAGTCCCGACCATCCCGCAAGTCTCTCTGAACTTGCAATCCTAGCCCACCAAATTCCTAAGCAATCTACCTTATTGTAGAACCCCAAAAAACTCAGGGAAACCATACGGGGCCCTTCAAGGAGGCACTGCAGCCACTAATGGAGGCTACCCCGAGCAAGTTCCAAACAGCTTGGTGTCTACATAGTTGCCAGAGTTTGATTAAAAGCCTAAGGGTTTCGGGTAAAGCCGAAGTGAAACTTCATTTGCCTTAGATCCCAAACCAGAACCATGAAATCATAAACCTGCAGCTCGGGACCCTCAGCCCTGGCACTTGAACCCATCGCCCTCAACCCCCATACCCTAAGACTCCAAGTAGCCCAAGGTAGGTAGTACGGTTGATGATATAAACCCTGCATTACCCATAATAAGGAATATACCATAATTCTCATAGTTTAGGGTCCTTAAGGTAATGCAGGATTTATACCATCAACAGTATTCATATAGTCTTTATAGACCCCAAGACAGGTACTAGTTGTATACTAAGACTCTAAATAGCCCAAGGTAGGTAGTATTTATATAGTCGTTATAGACCCCAAGTCAGGTACTACTGTAGTTGTATACTAAGACTCCGAACAGCCCAAAGTAGTTTGTTGTGATACACCTGATCTTTCCCAGCGACATCGCAAGGGCACACATAAGGAGAATTGGTGGCTGATTCTCTTACAGACCTTTTTGGCAGCAGGCATGTGCGTTCACAGCCACCGCTCGTTTCATGCAGTGCTCAATGGAGGGCAATCAGAGCCAGTTGCACAAGGTCTTGCAAGTCCTGCCACACGCTAGAGGCGCGGCTACTTAATGGGTTGCTATGTTATGAATACACCTTGCCATAGCTGTATATGATATGTTCGTCGGGTCCAAGACCAGAGGCCTAAGGCTACTTAAACTGCGAGGTTATGCGTAAATCCGTAGAAACCATTGCTTCTCTGCAACACATATCACGGTCTCCCAGGTCTTCCAAAGCCTCTTTGTTCAGGAATAGCATACCAGCGATACTGCCATACTCGTTTCTTCAGGCATGCCCTTCAAATTAGGAACGTATCTTCGGTTCTATTCTAATCCCTAAACCCCTATTGAAACGCTTATAATTCTTAAATGCCAAACCGTGCGCGCGCGCGAAGCCCTAAACCTCCATTCCAAAAGGGTCCCAACAACCTGTGTGGTAGAATGTAGGGTTCCTATATTAGGATATATACCATTATGATTTGGGGAAGTATATCCCCAAGAACTCAGGACCCTTTGGGTATTTGAGCCTAAACCCTAAACCCCTAAACGCCTAAGCCCTAAATCCCTAAACCCCAAACCCCGAGACCCTGAACCCCTATTATTTGAGCCTAGGGGCCTAGGTTCAGCTTCCAGTCGACCATCGCTGCCTGCGCAGATGCGGAGCACCGAGACGAGCAGAGCCAGAAAAGCGGCACCTACCGAGTCCTTCGGTATAGTTTCGAGCGGCTGGAAGTTCGAAAGTAAAAGCCAGAAAGTTGGAATATGATTATCCTAAACCCTTTATGGTAAATTATACCTTACCATATTCCAACTTTCTGGAGTTCCCTTTATGAGGATTAGTAACAACTGGGTTGTGCTTTGGGATAATTCTTAATTTCCCTTATTTCCTTATACAGGAGACCTATTCATAAATATTTTGCAAAGGGTTGAAAGCACAACCCAGCCAAATCCTGGATAGAAACAGTTAGCAGGCAAGCTTCCCCTGAACTCTTTACCAGACAATGCCTTATATGGGGATCAAAACCATTTTGGGGGTTCCTTATTGCATATACCCCAAAGCCCTAAACTGAATGTTCCCAGTGTAGCATGGTACAGAGTCATGAGAATGGGGATGGCTTTGAGCATTACATCTACTCCAAGGATCACGGGGCAGAGTATGCACATGTCATTACGCTGGGTAGAGTTTACTTTAAAGCAGTTTTGCCCATAGCCTGTATACTACATCCCTCGATTCTTTCTGTAGGTAAGTCTCCCAGGGTTGAACTGGAGCCAAGCAGTACGAATACGATTGCTCATTATCACAATATGCCCCTTGGTGTCATCCTAGGCTCGTTTTACCTTATGGTGGTCTCAGGTTCCTGAGCAAGCCACGCTAGGGATCCTAAAGGCCGAGATTATCGACATCGCGGTTATCTTGGCAGCAGACTCTGATAGTACCAAGTCAGTCCAACAGGCAACCAACCTGTATGTCTCCAGTTCCTGAGCCCAGCCACAGACGTATAGCCAAATATAAAGAATCAGTAAGTCGTTTTGCTACCTACTAATCTAGAAGATGCTTTGGCCTTTAAAGTGTATAGAATCGTGACACTTAGAGCCTTTGCTCACAAACGGCATCTGCACAACTTGCCATCTCAGTTCAGGACACGTGCTTGCCGCTCCTCTCACAAGCTTTGGCTGTAACCGGCGCTCTTATTTAGAGACCCATAAATCACATAAGCATAAGCATTTTTGGGGGATATCCCTACCTTATTGGGCTTCATTATAAGGGGGTTTATATGGGATATCCCTAACCTTATTTTTGCTTATGTGCTTTTTGGGGCCCTATAACCGGCGATCTTATGCAGAATCAGCCTTCACGCTCCTCGATGAATGTGCGCCCTAAACCCTCATCCCTCAGCTGGCCCCCATCAGAAGCCACAACCCGCAAGCCTTGCCTAGACCAGGAGACCTGTACTAGGATGCCCAGTAGTACCCTTATTCCCTTTTTGTAGTCCTAGGTTCCTTATAAAGTTACCCAATACCAAAAAGGGAGCCCTGTTTATTCCTAGGTTACTGGGCATCCTAGTTTAGGGTTTGTTGACCCCTATAAGCCCTAAGCCAGAGCAAGCATAAGCCAACAAAAACTCAACATCGTAAGGACATAATCTTTGCGTTTCTTCATATCTGGGAGAGCATCTGATTACTAGGTGCTTGGACCTTGGGGCTTTTGAGCTTACATTCGCTTCCCAAAGTCTACTTCCAAGCTCTCCTGCCGCCATGGTGTCCAACCAACTCTTCGGAGGAGGCCCTGTGTCAATTGTACCCTCATGTACGGCTTCCTTTAAGTCTTTAAAGGTTTCCAAAAGGGTTACGGCTTTAGGGTTTAACGGTTTAGGATTTAGGGCATGTTTCATGTTTTTTCTGTTTTAATACGGAGGTGGGCTCTCCTTTCCGGATCCAATTGTTTAGGCAACAGTTTGTTGAGATCAGCTGACCGGCAACTCTCCATCCTAAACGTTGAACTTTACATTCTTAGCCTAGCCACCCCTAGACCCTACAATGTAAAACCTTCACGCGCTTTACCCCTCCACCCGTATTTGTAATTTCCTCCGTTGCGCTTAAAGGCCTGCACAACTACCCCTAAACCCCTGAACCCTGATATCCCCTACCTTAGCCGTAGCCAGAACTCGAACCCTCACCCCCAACTCCGCGAGCCTTCCCCGAATGCTACGGTTTTTTTTATGATTTTGTTTCTGGATTTGGGTTTAGGGTTTAGGCTTAGAGACTATAGGGTTTATAAGGGGGTGCGGATCAGGTCATGTTGAACCCCAAAAGACCTTCCTTCTTGAGGTTGCCTATTATGCCTTTCGTAAGCAAGTCCTCGAAAGGCTGGGCATTAGGGTTTAGGGGGGAAGGTTTTTGGTCTAGGGTATAGGGCTCATGTTTTCAGGTCTTTGCCATATACTTATTTTGCATTGCATTCTGGGCACGTCATGTTCAGACTTTAGAAACACTTTTGAACTGATGACGAGCCCGAAGAAAGAGGCGTGTAATCCGCAACAGGACTCTAACTCTTAGGCTCTGAGGACTCATCTCTTAAGGCTTTTGGGCCCAAAGGCCATACTGTGGATGCACAATATCCTGCATGACCCAATTTAAGGGATATACCATAACTCCCATAGTTTAGGGTCCTTAAGGTCATGAAGGATTTTGTCCATCAGTAGTACTATATAAGGCTTTTGGGTTATTTTGAGCCTTAGGGCAAGGGGATGCGGGTTGCCGTAGCATCTTGCTGGTCGAGGCGGGGGCCAAGGGCATTCCCAAAGGCTCCATGTACACATATTATAGTGGGTACTTAGGCCTTAAAGTACCTTTATAGGGACCCCTTTTGAGGCCAAAATACCTACCTATGTGGGCGCATGGAGCCTCCCTACCCTGAAGGACCTACCTTTTAAGGGCTTATGTAAGGAAATCATAATAAGGAGCCCGAAAAAGGTAGGTTATTCAGGATAAAGGTAAACCCTTGAGCACCCTTACCCGTAAACTCTGAAACCCTAAACCCTACCAGGACCCCCCAAATACCCTTTAATAGAGCCCTTATGGTCCTTAATAGTGGGTATTTGGGGTATAGTAGAGGGTAGTTGGGGGGTCTAGGTAAGCCCGTCTCTAAACCTTCCACCCATCCAACCTGTAAACCCCCAAGCTTTAAACCCCCAGCTCTAAACTCCAAACCTCAAACCCGTACACGGCTTTCTTGCAGGAAAAGGTCCGGTCAACCCAATACCTTAAACTCCAAAATCCCATATCTCAAACTCTAAACCCTAAGCTCCAAAGCCCTCTTTCCAAACTAAGCTCAGTTGACTCTTGGAACCATCAACCCCAAACCCTAATTATATCCTAAACCTTAATTAATCTGTCTCAAAAGAGACATTCGCTGGATCATGCAGACGGAAAAAGGCCCCTAAAAAAAAACCCTAAACCCTAAACCCTATATCCTAAACCTTAAACCTTAAACCCTAAACCCTAAACCCTATATCCTAAACCTTAAACCCTAAACCCTAAACCCCAAACCCTATATCCTAAACCTTACCTTAATCCCCTGCTACTGTTGCTGATAGAAATCCTGCATTACCTTAAGGACCCTAAACTACGGGAATTATGGTTTATTCCTTATAATGGGCAATGCAGGATTTATATCATCAACCGTAGGACCCTTTGGGTAATATATTAGTACCTGGACCCTTTGGGAGAAGGGCTGGAGCCTGGGGTTAATCCTCTGCTAGGGCGTGTGTTTTCGAGGCCGCAGTTCCCCGTCGCCTCATCGGCGGCGGGTCTGTCGCGCGTCGAGCCAGGATTGGGGCACAGTGCCAAAGTGTCCGAAGTACCGGGGTTTAGGGCTTAGAGTTTAGGGTTTAGGGTTTAGGGTTTAGGGATTATGGGGCACAGTCCCAAAGAGAGGGTTACTTTAGTGTTCCTTTAAGGGGTCCTTAGGGGTTTAGGGTTTAGAGTTCCTTTAAGGGGTCCTTAGAGGTGTAGGGTTTAGGGTTTAGGGTTCCTTTAATCAAAGGGGAAAAGGAGGGACCCTTAGTTATGAATGGGGACCACTACCCTATAATAGGCTATATAACGGGTATATAATGGCTATTTTAAGGGCTGTAGAGGCTTACCCAAAGGGCCCAAAGTACCTATATGGTAGAATGTAGGGTTTCTATATTAGGAATTACTATTATGATTTGGGAAAGTATTCCCCATAACAGTACCTAGGACCCTTTGGGAGTGCTTGAGAGCCACGCTTTGGGGGTAGAGGGGTTTAGGGTTATGTGTTTAAGGTATATAGGGGTCAAGGCTAGCAGTTTAGGGTTTGGGGTGTTTAGAGTGTTAGGGTTACGTGTGATTTGGCTTGTGGATTCGCTTGTGTGTCTGTTGGTTTGTGTGTTGTGGTGTTGGTCGTGTAATTAGTGTTTGGGTGTGTTTGACAATTCTTGTGTCTTGGGTTGAAGGTCTACGTAGGGCTCATGTTGGTAAAGTCATGCAAATTTTTCTCCCGTTAAACGATTTGTTTGGGAACACGCATGTACTTGGGAGGGGCAGGGGACTTAGTAAGTAGATTATGAGTAGAGTTATAAGTACCCTAGATGGATTTACCCCAATTATAACCCCACTTATAAACGACTTACTAAGTCCCTGCCCCTCTAAGCATGCATGCACAGATGCATCCTGCACCCTAGCGTGCTCCGCTCTGAAGCGACATTTTGGTGCAATGAGCGCCAGGCTTTCCCAGATGCCCATTCAAGTCCAAACTCTTTTGAAAAGGAACCTAATCATAGTCCATACTGTAGGGTTTTAAATACTTAGGATAGGGCCGTAGGGTACGTTATATAGGGTTTAGGGTTTAATTCATAGTATAAGTATACTAGTGAACCCAGCGAAAAGTCCGAAGCAGTTCCCTCTGTGTTTTTTCTTGGCACCATCATGGATCCGACTACTCTGGGAAATGAGATCCAGGGCTATCTTGCAGAGCTTCCAGAAGTAGTGTAGGGGCGTGAATAATTACCTCAGAATTACCTCTACTATTTTCGCGGGTTCCTTATGATAGTTACAGCATGATATACCCAAAAACCCCATTCTAAGTATCAAGGCCCCGTTAGTGACCCCAAAGCCTTGAATCAAAGCCTCTGAAGCTTACATTGGCGCTTCGCATCAACATTGCCCTGTCTAAGGAGGCCTCACCGACGGTGCGGAAGAAGAAGAAAAGGTCCAAGAAGGTGCGGCTGCATCCTATCGATACCCTTCAATGTAGTCCCACATTGAGCTGATCATATCTATGCCGATGGCCTTTTCAGGAAGAAACCAGGTGCCCAAGACCTCAACAATTACAGAGACCGGTGGCCACAGAACTAGACATGAATCGTGCTCGTTTGATTTCGGATGCATGGCTGAACGGTATCGTCTCTGGCTTTGTCGACCCTTCCCACGGGGATCTACATACATTCAGTTTCAGCTGCATTTTTTATGGAGTTGGGCCCCAGGATGTCCTTGCTTTTACATGCGGGTCTCTTTTGGCCAAGCAGGTTACAGTGTGGATCCTAATACTGAGGACGCTTAAGGAAAGGGGGTTCGTTTCTCGAAGGTCTACATAAACCTATTACATCCTAGACCCTCGAGCCCACAGCCGAAGCTCGACAGCCTAGACCTTAAGTTCTACGCTCTGAGTCCGGAGCCAGGAACCCCGCAAACCTAAAACCGAGTCAACCTTCACCTTTGGGATCAAACACTAACCCCGGAAGCCATACATGGTTTGGTGTTTGGGGCGAGGAAGGCCTGAATATGAAGCCTTATCTAGACTTGAGAATGATGCCAGCTTTCATATTCAAGGCCTTTCCCAAAGGGTCCAAAGTACCTTTATGGTAGAATGTAGGGTTCCTATATTATGAATTACTATTATGATTTGGGGACGTATCCCCCATAACAGTACTTTGGACCCTATGGGTTAGGCCGGCCTTAACCGTCAACCCCTAAAGCCCCAATCAGCCCACCCAAACGCCTCAGCAGATGAGACCTTCAAGCTTGAGCGTTAGCCCTTAAACCCGTATCATGTGCCCTTATGAAAATTAAATGGTGGTTTCCGAAAAATAGTGGTACCTTGTTTTGGGGTCCTTATAGTAAGGATCCTACTATGTAGGGTACTATATCAGGGTCCCCTATGTTCGGAAACTACTGCAAACCCGAAACCTTCCGCGCACTCCCCCTGGAGCCCTTACAGACCACCCCTTTTCGAAGGCATTCGAAGGCCTCAGGCCAAAGGGGGAACCCTAAACCCTAAACACTGAACCCCTAAACCCCTCACACCCTTAGAATGAGCCCCTTAAGGGAACCCCTAAGAATTGTCATAGATCCCTGCACACCCTTAAGAAGACCGGGGCTACTGGAAAACTACTATGTGCTTAAGAACCCCCCCAAAATAAATAAAATATAATCCCTATATTATCCCTATAAGGAATATATTTTTTATTTTTTGGGGTTCTTAAGCAAACAGTAGAAAACTTCAAGGCGGAAGAGGAAGAGCTTCGCCGTGCCGCAGCTCAGGCTGCCGTGTTGCAGGCCGCCTGTCTTGGGGTTTAGGGTTGAAGGGTGGTTAGGGTTTAGGGGTTTAGGGCGTCTCGGGGTTTAGGGTTTAGGGGTTTAGGGTTGAAGGGTCCTTAGGGTTGAGGGGCTTAGGGCGTCTAGGTCCTTCGGGGTTTAGGGGTTTAGGGCGTCTAGGTCCTTAGGGGTTTAGGGGTGTTTGGAGTTTAGGGTTTAGTAGGGTTGAAGGGTGCTTGTGGGTTTAGGGTATAAGGGTGCCAAGGGGTTTAGGGCCGTTTAGAGGTCCTCGGGGGTCGTCAGGGGGTCCTTACGGGTCCTCAGGGGGTGGTGGTTTGCGGTCTTTAGGCGCTTAGGGGTTTAGGGTTAAAGGGATTGGGATGTAGGCGTTTCTAAGCAGGGCAGAGGCGGTTTTCTGGGCTTTGTTAAGTGTCTCTGTTGTGTCGTGTTGTCCGTTTCTTGTTGCTGTGACTATGGTGCATTTCCCGTGTATTCAAAGCAGCGTTCCGGAGGGTTCGGATTCCAGAATACAAGGTTGGTAAACAAAGGAGGAACTACCATGGAGCATATAGGTAATCACCGAACCGAAAACACGAATGCTTCCAGGAAAGATCGTCAGCGCAATACACATAACCATAACATGATGAAAAAGACACGCTTCGACTTCAATGTTGAGGTCCGTTTCAATCAGCACCCCAGACCTTAATTAATTACAGTGCAGATAACTCAGTTTCTGATGGTCATTTTCAACAACGCCGACTCAAAGAGCTCTACAGACTCCATACAAGCTCGATGATTCGCTGAACCTGAACCCTTAATCATGAGCTTCCTTGATCCTCAGATCGCTACTAAGATTACGTATGGTGGTTTTTGTGCGCACTTTGATTTGGGTGCGGTTCCTGATTGCAAAAGGCTTTTGGTAGCCTGTATGGTGAGAACTTGGTAGTGTAGGGTTTCCAGTGTCGTTCTCAGTTTTAGTGAGGGGTTTGTCTTGGTTAGGCTTTGCGACGGGTTGCTTGCAGAATCATTGTTGCTCACAGAATCCGTGATGGGTTATGCAGCTGATTCGGCTCATGCATGCCACCCCAGAAACGCAGCTATACCCCTTGTAGAAGGGCTCAAGGAAAGTAACCAAAAGGGTCCCAAGTGCCCAACTAGTATGGGAGTTGCGCTATCAAAGCCATAAGAGCCTGACCCAGGCTTCGTCCCTCCGGTAATCTTCCTTCATTACCCAATAGGCCCCAAAGTAGTTCCTTTGTTTGGGTTTACCTTATAGGATTCTATATACGAACCCCAAAAGGGAACTACTTTGGGGCCTTAGGGTAAGGTAACTGGGCTTCTAGGGCCAAATCTTTGTTTGGATCATCTCAGGCGTGTGCTGGTTGGGTGCAGTCCGCGCAACGCGTTGAACCCTTGAGCACTAACCCAAAGGGTCCTATGTACGGATATGGTAGAATGTAGGGTTTCCATATTAGGCATTACTATTATGACTTAGGGAAGTAACCCCCATAACAGTACATAGGACCCTTTGGGTCTGGGTAAACAAGACTCCCTGCAGCAAACCCGGCCCTAGCAATTCTTAACCTTGACCCTGGAGCCTATAGAGTCGAACTTTGGCTTTGGGGGGGAGCTCAGGGTTTAGTGCTTGTTATAAGGACCCCAAAATAAGGTACCCCTATTTTCGGAAACTGCCATATAGGGACCCCATTGAGGCCAAAGTACCTATGGGTTTAGGAGTTTGGAGCTTTGGGTTTCAGGGGTTTAGGGACCCAGACCTTCCAAAATCCCTTAATTAAGGAATATACTACCTTAAGTCATAGTAGGATCCTTACTATGACTTAGGGTATATTCCTTAATTAAGGGGGATTTTGGAAGGTCTGGGGAGAGTAAGATCTACGGTTGCATACCCTAAGGCTCCAAAGAGGGTCCTGGGCTCTCTGGGGAAGGGTTTCGGCTTTGGGGGCTAGGGTCCGGGATCTCACTACAAGGGTCTAGGAGCCTTAAGGTAAGATCTACGGTTGCATCCCTTAATTAAGGAATATACCCTAAATCATATTAAGGATCCTACTATGACTTAAGGTATATTCCTTAGTTAAGGGAGATTTTGGAAGGTCTGGGGAGAGTAAGATCTACGGTTTTTCATGTTTCGCTTGCTTCGCCCCGGGCGCCTCCGTCATGTCCTGGCAGCCCGAGGCCCCGGCAGCAGCGGATCTTTTTTGTGGATTTTAGGGTTTAGGGTTTAGGGTTTCTTAGGGCCTAGTCTATACAGCAACCCTAGACCCTAAACCCTATAAGCCCTAAACCGCACAGCAACACAAGGCTTACCTGTGGATCCAAAAACCTACCGTTTTAAGGGTCAGATCCTCTAATTGAGGGGTCATAACCTACTATTTTGTAGGGTTGGGGGCTACAGGTATGGTTTAGGAATCCAGGAACTCGAACACATGATAGGGCTTGGGGTTTAGGGTCCTAAAAACGGAGCTCTTCTGATATTGGGGGTTAAGTCTTGATGAATAGTTGGTGCCATAGCCCGGTTTATCCTTAGGAGTACTTAGAAATACTTTCGATTTTTGGTTATTATAATCCCTAAGAAACAGCTAAAGTTATGATTTTGCTAGGGTTCTAAGTTCAGTATAGCATCAACTCTGTAATCCGTCTGGGGTTGGTTATAAGTTTTAGGCCCTAAGGGTCCATGTACCCATATAGCATATACTTTGGGCCCAATGTACCTGTATAGGGAGTACTTTAAGGCCAATGTATATACTATATGAGTACATGGACCCTTAGGGATGGTCTTAGGGTGCATTGTTTGGCTGGCTCGGGTTTGCAACTCCCAAGAAAGGCGACGCGGGAGACCTCAAGCCCTACCTACTTGGAGGGGCAGGGGACTTAGTAAGGGTTCTTAAAGGGCTCCTTAAAGGGTTCTTGAAGGGTTCCTTACAGGGATCTATGGGGTTTAGGGTATAGGGTCTACTTGGAGGGGCAGGGGACTTAGTAAGTCGTTTATAAGTAGGGTTATAATTGGGATAACTCAATTTAGGGTACTTATAACTCTACGTATAACCTGCTTACTAAGTCTCCTGCCCCTCCAAGCATAGTCTCCATTGTATTTCCTTTTTTTGGTTAACCAAAAACTCTATTATAGGATCCTAACCATAAAAATGGTTAACCAAAAAAAGTAACTACAATGGAGACTACAGGTATGATGTGTTTAGGATTTGGAGTTTGGGCAGGATCAGGGTTCACTTTGTTTCAGGAGGCTCAGGTGCTTCAGAAAGCACGCGGTCGTCAGACTGAAATGTGAGATACTCGAAGTCGGGTGGCTATAACTTTGCCGGTGTCCTCCGTAGCAGTACCGAGTTTGGGTTGTGTAGAATATGATAAGAATGTACGACCAGTGTGGAACATGTACCCTGAGTGGAAACGTCTCTCAGCTACTCTGCATCTCTAGGAAAGCTATGATGTTCCGTACACCCCAAGCCCTAAGCCCGAAACCCTGAAACCCTGAACACATTGAACCCAAATCCCTAAACCCTACACCCCAAGCCCAAAGCCCTGAACCCTGAGCCCATTGCCCCCAAACACCCCCAGCTCTAAACCGCGAACCCAGGATTCTGATAGCGACAAGTAATTGGAAACGGGCCCGCAACGACGAGCATGATGACCCTAAACGCTCCTAAACCCTAAACCCAAAACCCTAACCCTAAACCCCTAAACCTGAAACCCCTAACCCCTA